CAAACGGCTGCACAAGAACCACACACACATAAACACAACTGTACTCGCAAGACTTTCGTTAGCATTAGCATTAGCATTAGCCTGGACCAGAAGCATTTACTAAGATAAGATAAACCTTTGGTCTCTCAGAGGGGAATATTCAATGTCATAGCTGTGCTTTTTACAACAAAACAGAAGGAAAATAAGACTCAGGTTATGCACACATCCAACAAGATTTATTATTCAAGTCCTAGATAACTGTTGTAGTGTATTCTATGTGTTTTAAATGTGAAGTGCTTTGTGATCATGGTCTGTGAAATGCGCTATACACATAAACTTTACTTACTTAGTGATTTAAGGCCATACAAAAATGAATTGAAAACACAGTATAGGCAGAGAAAGGAAAAATTGCTATTTCAGATTTGAATTATGAGAATCCACTTAAGTTCTTATATTTTGCCAAGTTCATTTGTTTCAGATAATTAAGTGTAAATTATTGTTTAAAATTCAAGTCACAGCATTAGATGGGGCGATGGTGGGAGGGCGCCGCATAGAGGTTTTGAATACAAGTGCTTTTTTACCATGAGGAGAGGCTGCAGCTACATGTTTACCATTTGCTTGGTCAAAAAACATCTAGAATGCATGTTTTTGTTTGGACATTTTGTTTTTTCTACACTGCGTAAAGTCCTCCTGGAAACACCTGGAAACACCTGGAAACACCTGGAAACACCTGGAATGGTTAGTTCACATTGGTCTGACAGACTGGTGTGTGTGTGGTGGACTCTGCCTCGTACCATGCCCCGGGCCCAGCAGTAGACCACCTCCGTCAGCCCAAACTTGAACTGTCCCACGAACTCCTCTGCGGTCTGCGGTATCCCACAATCCATCTGGAGCTCGCCGATCCGCTTGGCCACCGCCAGCACTCTCTCAATGCCCTGAAACCAGACAAACACACACAGTACATATAGATATCAAAGTCATGTAGAAACTCGCAGGAATCTTCACCGTCCGCCCGCCCCCGACCGCCCACGCCGCCCACCGCCCGACCGCCCACGCCGCCCACGCCGCTGCAGCCGGCTCCAGCGCTGGGTGTTTATAAAGGATTGTTGAAGTTGCACAAAGAGGACGTGAGTCAGATCCTGTGCTGTGTCCTTTTGTCTTTGCTTTGGGGGAAATGTTGGTCGTCATCATCAGGACGTTCCAGAACACGCTCATTGTCGTCTGCCGCCGCTCCACAGCCACGGTTCACGGTTAAACTATTACTTTTATAAAACATGGACAGATCCTCATCATCGCGGCAGTCTCAGCAGTTGGTGATTTCCACCTGATGTTTTGTTCCTGAAGCAAACGTATTCACTGATGCTGAGGGGAATCTTTACTCTTTTTAATGCACTGTGGCTATTTATGGTTTTTATCCCATGTGTGATTTTAATGTTTTAAGGTTTTTAACTTGAATTATATTTTTTTTGTTTTTAATATTTAGTGTGCTCTAATTTAATTTGTACAGCTAATTTACACAGTCGGCGTTAACACGTAAGCACGTAAACGTAGACTGCGCACTTATGCGTGTAACATTACTGAGCACAGGTACGAGGCTTCTGCTGCTGTCCCTGTGAATCACATATGTTTGTCTTCATGGTCTCTGTTGCTGGTCTGGCCAGTTTTTACAGGGGAAACCAAGGCACCCAGAGGAAACCAGAGCAGACATGGGGAGAACATGCAAACCCCACACAGGGAGGAATCAAACCCAGGACCTTCTGGCTGTGAAACAAAAGCTCTAACCACCGTACTTGTTGCTTTGTAAGTAACAGGGAGTCACAAACTACAGTCTATATTATGGACAAGTGCCCAGGGGGTGTGAGATTTTAAAGTGACAGAAGTGTAATGTGATGACTGTGCAGGGCTGCGATCTCATGATGAGTTCAACTGCAGAAACCGCCTTTTTGTAATCATTTACTTCAACTCCCAAATGTGCAAGGCTCTGATTGGTTAACTGACAAAACTCACTCCGGCAGTTTTTAACCATGTCACACGACCACACACATTAACCTGGAGTTGTTTTTAGCTTCATTCACACTAATCTAAGGGCTTCTATCAAAACTCACCACAAATACATCACCCCGCCCCTTCTGTCCAAAATCCTCCTATTTCAAACTTGGGGCAGCTCTGTCGTATTGTTTTTTGACTTTTAAAACAAAAGCATTGCCTCCGAATGAATGTTGAAAGTGTATCCAGTCAACTGCCTTCAATGACACCGCGCCATGTTCGACAATTACTACAATAGCAAAACGTAATCTCCCATTTTTAAGATATATTTTTCAGTTTTAAATGGAGCGTGTTGATATTAATGAACAGCTGCTAGAGCAAAGACACCAGCATTAGCTCAAGGCTGGTTTTACGCCATAGTCTCATTGCACATGTTATAGTGGCGGGGGAAACCGGAGCACCTGGAGGAAACTTACTGTATGGAGGCACGGGGAGAACACGCAAACCCCACTCAGAAAAGCCCTGTTCCGCTCCAGAGTCAAACCCAGAACATATTTTTGGTCATACATGGGATGCTCATTCACATATTTTCTAGTCATATTTTGATAATCATTATAATATACTTTCTCTGGATTGCTTCACATTCTAAAAGATGAAAAAGTAAATAACCCAAGATGAAGAATGAGCATAGACATGGTGCAGTGGAGCCTGACCTCTTTGAGCGTGTTGCTGAGATGCGGCTCCACCTGAGTCTTCTGCGTAAACACCAGGCAGGACAGCAGGGCGGCGCTCTCCTCAGGGGCCAGAGGACTCAGGGAGTTCTCAAACAGCAGCTCAGTGAGGAGCAGCTCGTGACTGCTGATCTGACAGGCCACACGCCCCTTCAGCTGCACGGCGCCGCTGCTGTCCACGTACTGGAGCGACTGCAGCACCTGGACCACAGAATAACAAACACAGGAGCCATTAGCTTCGTTACAAAACACAATAACAGAACATGACAATAGATATCCCGACGCAGCCCTTATCGAACCTGAAACGCCTAACTTCTACCAACACGTCACCGGCAAGGGGTGCAAATACCTTGGATTACTGCTATTCCACCAACAACAACAACAGTTAAAAATCCACACCTCTTCCTGCGTTTGGTAGTTCTGATCATAAATCCATTTTTATACTCCCAAAAGCTAAAGTCTGGACTTCCGCAAACAAAGCAGGAGGACCAATGAGAGGAGCTACTCCAGGACTCTCTGATGACGTGGTCTTGCACATGTTCCAGTCCAGCTCTGATGACACTATTCACAGCTTTCACTTTGTTGTAGTTCTGCCTGGTCTTTCACACGCTCAGACTCAGAGACTTACAGACGTTTGGCTCATTCATATGTAAATGTAACAAAATATTTGAATATGAACTTTATTGTCCCTGTAGGGGAATTCGTCCTCTGCATTTGACCCCGATTCCGCTTCCGTCAGGAGCAGTGGTCGCCGTAGTAACAACACCTGTGAACCAGCTCCAGATGTCGGTGCTCGGCTTGGTCAGGACCAGAGCTGGAGGATTTTACCTACTGTGCATTTTTTTAGTGATAGGGGAAACCGGAGCACCTGGAGGAAACCACTCAGCCACCGTGCCCATATGTTCTATATTTAAAGGAAAAGCTCTAAGGACTCTTCAAAGGAGATGATGAGTGTTTGTACTTCTCATGCACAGAGCAGTGTTGGGCACATTTATGAACTCTGAGGCATTGGAGACATTTTGTAAATATGGTTTCTCAGTTTGTTTTTTCATGTCATGGAGCTGGAGCTGCCGCCCGAGTCTCAAAGCACCAGTCTCTCCCTGATCCTCCTGCAGGGGGTAGTTTCTGCGTCATCAAAGACATGACCATGGTCTTTCAATGGGGGCGTCTTGCCCAGGGACACAACAACAGCAGCCAGTGGGGGCAGATGACATGGGTCTACCACTGACACCCCTCCTGTCTGTATTTTAGTGGTATGAACTCTGGTGTGTTTGAATTAAAGATGAAATAAAAACTTTTATCTCTTTCATCCAACACACCTTTTCTCCTCCAGGTTCCAACACATTATTTTAATTTCCGCTTATTTTTGAATCTGTGAATCTTGCTTCCCACAAACGTCTCCCACATTTGTCTTACATCATTTCATTATGTTTTTGTGGGATTGATAAAGTGGTGGTTCTCTTCACTGAGAATCGCCCTCTGTCTCTTAGTTACAGAGCGTTGCCTTTTGTCTATTTCACATTACATTTCTCAAAAAAACACTGCCACATTGATGGTTAATATTATCCATTTTCTTCCCCTTAATCCATTTCTGGGTCTGGGGGGTGGCAGTCAGAGCTGCACCCAGTCCACAGAGCACCAGCCCCTCACTGATCCTCCTGCAGGTGCTGAGTCCACAGGAGCCTTGAGCTTCCTGTGGGGGCTTCAGGCAAAGTGGGGTTAAGTGTCTTGCCCAAGGACACAACAACAGACATCAGTGGGAGTCGTGAAGTAGGTCTTACGATGGGTTGGAACCCACGACCTTCATGCCCAAAGGCCAATGCTCTACCAACTGAGCCACTGTTGCCCCAAAGGATTTGTTTTGGGGATGTTTCTGATCATTTTGAACAGGTCTGAGGTCCATAATGAAGGAAAGAAGACAGTTTCCCAAACCCTAAAGTTATTGAAAAGATTGTGACAAATTCACATCTGCTTTTTTAACATGACACCATCTACAAATATGTTTTAATTGTTGTTGAATTGAAAGTTAAAGGCCAAAGAAGTCCATTTAAAAGTGACTGTTTCCTCTGGTCCTTTTTATCGTGTTGAGTGAAGTAGAGTGAAGGCGGAGGTCACGGGCTGTGATCCTGACGTCACAGACTCAGGGCGACAGGAGCGAGGACTGAGTCACCGTCTGGAGCGTCCTCTGAGCCACGCTCTTCACACACAAGTGAGTCTGAAGAGTGTTTACAGTCGGAAAAATATTGTTATTGCGATATTGGTGCGTGCGATATCCATATAAAAAATATGCGCAATCAACATTCAACAAAATCAACAAACAAACAAAAGTATATAAATAAATGCATTTGAATGTCATTAATGTTTTCGTTATTTGTCTCTTGCTTTTCAAAGCAGAGGCAATTTTAGGAGAAAGACAAAAATATCGCGAAACTAAACACTCCTCCTGCAGCCCTAGTTTAAGCTCATTTCAGTCATAAACAATTTCATTTAAAAAGCAGTAAAAACTAATCCAATAAATGCAGTGGTTTAATGTTGCAGATATTTCATTGTTTGTATCTTATAAATGGCAACACAAACACAAACACACACACTTATCAATAGCGGTTGTGTGAAGAAATATGTTGCCAAATAAATGTGTTTATTTTATGTTTGTAAATATGTAAATAAGAAAGTAATATTTATCTTTATAGCGCCTTTCTCAGACCAGAGTCAAAGCGGTTTATTATTGTGGGCATTAGTCTCTCAGTCCACACAGAGATGGGAGGGGCCTGTACAGGAGACACAGATCTCCAGTAAGGGCAGGCTCCTTTTGTGGCACCGGCACCTGCTACAGCTGATTAGTGGCATGTACACAACAAATGGCGTTTAAAACGGCATGTGGGGAATAAATGGCGTGTAAAGCGGCATGTGGGGAATAAATGGCGTGTAAAGCGGCATGTGGACAACAAGTGGCGTTTAAAACGGCATGTGGGGAACAAATGCCGTTTAAAACGGCATGTGGACAATAAATGGCGTTTAAAACGGCATGTGGGGAATAAATAGCGTGTAAAACAAATACAGTTGAAAGCAGCCTGTACAAAAGACAACAAGCAGCAGTATTAGAGATAGTGGTCCAGTGGCTCAGATGGAAAAGCACAGGTCTACGGTGTTGATGGTTGCTAGTTCAAATCCCCAGTGACTACCAATGACATTTGATGATGTTGGGTCCTTGGGCATAACACTTCATGGAGAATGTCAGAAGTGCCATAAGTTGTATGAAAAATGTAGTTTGAGTTATAATAAATTAAATTTATAATTTGTTGAAAGACTTAATTTCATGTATTATATGTGGTTTAGATTCTGGAGACGTGTATTTTGCTGTGGCGCACTTAGTTTATAACTGTCTCTCATGCGAAAGATACCTGGTTCAATACCAGGTCTGGTCTTTATTTTTTTGTTGTCAGATTAAATACAAATTGAATATGTATGAATATATATTTCATACATATGGTTATGTGTTGTTCCAATAGTAATCTTGCATTAGGATTAATATCGCATCATCGTTAGGGTAAAACTAAATGATGTGTAAAACACTCAACACACAATTTTACTTAAAACCACCTGGTGAGTGGTATAGTTGGTGTGTGTCCGCCAATCAAGCAAGAGTTCGCAGATTCAAATCCAGCCAAGATCAAAAACTTTTTTATGACGGTTATTTCTTTATACATATATGTATCTATAAATATCTATATATATCTTTATATATATATATATATATACAGTTTTTATCTAACTGCCATTAAAAAACCGAAAGATTCTATTGTTGTTTTAGGACATTTCATCAAGAATGGAGCCAACCAAAGATGGTGAAGAGTGATGGATTGAAAAATACAAGCAGAAAGTTGTGTAATTGGAACATGAGGTTTCATCTCTATATTGTTAAAATCTTAATTTCTGTTCTTGGACCGTTTAAACTGTGTCTTATACTTTGCATTCTTTTATAAAAAAAATATATGTATTAATGCTCTTTCTTATTGTTCCATGTTTCTGATGTGCTTTTATTAAAGGAGAGAAATAAAATGATTTTTTCTTTTGTTTTATTTATTTATATATATATATATAAAATGTCATACATATTAAATTTGTATTTAATCTCACAAAGAAAAAATAATGACCTGTCCTGGATTTGAACCAGGTATCTTCCGCATGTGAGGCAGTTACAAACCAAGTGCGCCACTGGATGACACAACTCATGTGGAATTTAAACTATATATAATACATGAAATTAAGTCTTTCAACAAATTTATGCAATAACATATATTATTATTACTCATACAACATTTTTCAAACAATTTATGGCACTTCTGACATTCTTCATGAAGTGTTAGGCCCAAGGACCCAACATCAGCAAATGTCATTGGTAGTCACTGGGGATTTGAACTAGCAACCATCAACACCGTAGTCCTGTGCTTTTCCATCTGAGCCACTGGACCACTATCTCTAATACTGCTGCTTGTTGTCTTTTGTACAGGCTGCTTTCAACTGTATTTGTTGTCCACATGCCGTTTTAAACGCCACTTGTTGTCCACATGCCGCTTTACACGCCATTTATTCCCCACATGCCATTTTAAACGCCACTTGTTGTGTACATGCCACTGATCAGCTGTAGCAGGTGCCGGTGCCACAAAAGGAGCCTGCCCTTTCTCCAGAACTATTGTACATGTTTTTAGTGGTAAGGGAAACCGGAGCACCAGGAGGAAACCTATGTAGACATGGGGAGAACAAACTCCACTCAGAAAGGCTCTGTTCCGACCGAGATGCGAACCCAGAACCTTCTTGCTGAGAGAGTGCAAACCACTCAGCCACTGTGTCGCCCATGTGCAGTTCATGCAAGGCAGCTCAGGAATTTACAGGAACGAAAGGATGACAAATCCTCAACGACAACGACCAACAGATGTTAAAGGTTAAACACAGACTAAAGAGAACTGGGGACGGAGACTTTTGATCAGGGGCCGAGGAGTTTCTGTCGTCATTAAATCTTAAAATAAAATCACTACTAATAACTCAAATTAAACTCTTTCAGAAATACGGCCACAGTGGCTGAGTGGTTAGCGTTTGTGCTTCACAGCAAGAGGGTCCTGGGTTTGATTCCTCCTCCAGGCCTTTCTGTGTGGAGTTTGTATGTTCTACCTGTGTCTACATGGGTTTCCTGCAGGTGCGCCAGATTCCCCTAGCATTAAAATCCTCCTGTACAACAATAGTAAAGGTCTCTGTGAACGGCGCTATATAAATAAATACTACATTTCCAGGGCGTGTGAAAAGAACAGATTTTGTTCTAACCTTGATTCGTTGGTGATATTCCGGCAGCAGCGTCAGGGACTGGTCTGAAATCAGGAACAGCAGTTTGTCCAGCTCGTCTTGGACACGCATCCTCTCTTGAACTCGAGCAAACTGGAAAAATATAGAAAAATAGAAAAAAACAAAAAACAAAAATGTGTTAGACATTTATAACAGGAAGTCATTTAGAAGATTCAAATTCATTCCATTTGTTTCTGTATCGTCCCTTACAAACTTTACAAAGTTCAAGAATCAAGATACCAGAATTTATTTGCCATTTACAGTAAAACCACATTGGAAAAACTGTGCAAGACTTCCCCCAGTGTGCAAGAGACAAAGAAGACGGGGGAAGTTGTTGATTCACCAACAACAGATCAGAGAATCAGACCGTTCGAAGACAGGAAAAAATAACACTGGTCCAGACCATGGCGCCGTAAAGATGGCGCCGTGGCAAGAGCTCTGGTGTGTGTCTGGTGCACACCGGGGTAGTCTTGCACAGTTTTTCCAATGTGGTTTTACTGCAAATGGCAAATAAATGAATCTGAATCTGAATCTGACCAGAGCAGAGAGGATTCATGGTCCCAACCAAGTGGATCAGGAGAAAATCCACTGGAAACTGTATGTGCGTGTGTATGTGCATGTGCGTGTACGTGTGTGTTGTCACCTGTCACCACGTGTGTGTATATACGTGTGTGTGTATATATGTTTGTGTGTGTATACATGTGTGTAGTGACCTGCTCTCCAAAGGTGGGGGAGTGGATGCAGCTGAAGGCCCTCAGAGCGTCCTGGAGCCTCCGCAGCCTCATGGAGCCTTCCACCACCTCCACACTCTTCAGCTGCAGGTCGTTCACCGGGTCCAGAGCGCCCACGCCGCCGGGGTTGGACTCGGCCAATCGCAGAAGCTCCTGAGCTGCCGTGGAGATGGCCTGTCCGGGGGGGTCGTTCCTGAAAGTATGCTGTGTGGTTATTTAGCATTTTACTTTCATAATAGTTTTCACATTTATTGTTTGTATTTTTGGCTTTTGTCACATCTTTGGATCAGCTTTTTCAGACATAAAAGTGAGAAAAAGAGAGGACCCCCCTCCCTCAGCCAATCAGCTCTCAGCCCCAGAGTGTGAAACAGTGACTCCCAGAGCTCAAAGCCAAGAACATGTTTCCAAAAAGACGAAGACTTTTTGACAGGACTCTTTCTGATGGATGTTTTATTAGCAAGAAAGATAAAGTTAAGTACCCCAGCTTTAAGAATACTAAGACATGAGTAGAAAATGTAAGGCTGGACCTGACAAATGGAGTAAGAGATGACTAGAATGAGCAGACACACTAAACCATCTAAATGGTAGAAGTGCTGCTTCCCGAGCTCTTACACTGCTAGATTTAGATCGAATTCCAACATGGCATATCCTGACACTCCCTGCCATTAATTGTAACTATGACAACGAGAGTGCCACTGCCACCTACTGTAGTGGATGTGCAATTACACTTTATTCAAATCTTGCATAATTAATGATAAACAGAAAAAAATCACCAAAAGACTCAAAACAAGCTCCAATCACTTTAGAAACTCAGTTGAAATGGGAAAGCACTAAAACAAGTGGATTTATGGTGTCCCCTTCGTCCTGGACTCACCTGAACCTCGGCTGCTGTCTCTTGTTGTAGTTGTCGATGATTCTGTCGGGAATGACTTTGAGAGTTTTCACGGTGATGGCGGAAATGTCCTGCAGCTTCAGCTTCTGCACCGTGTGACTGCAGGGACCTGCAACAACCACACAACCATCAACACACTTCAAACTGAGGAAAAAGAAGACGAGACAAGTCAGTTACACACATCAACAGCCCTGGAACATGTTTCAGAATCTAAAACTCATTTTGGTCTGAGACCAAATTAATGAACTCAAAACTGCTCAGAGCTGAATAAAAGTGTTTTTCTTAGTGGAAAGTCAAGACATGTTTTGGTCTTAGTTTTCTGGCCCCTCTCTGGCGCCCCTCTGGCCCCTCTCTGACCTTCAGGGATGAACAGAGCCGTGTTGAACAGATGAGGAAATGCGTCGCTGTTGTTTCTGACGCCTCCTTCTTCGTTTCCTTTCTCACAGAGGATCAGGGCCGTGAAAGTGCGATTCACCGAGTCACTGGAGACCTGACACACACACACACACACACACACACACACACACACACACACACACACACACACACACATACATAAAAACACACACACACACACACACACACACACATACATACAAACACACACACACACACACAAACACACGCACACACACACACACACACACACACACACAAACACACAAAGAATTTAACACTAAATAATGGAAATAAAGACATAAAGCACCAATAGAAAGACACAGTATAATAGGATTCAGTACATAGTATTAAACTATGGTTCAATTTAGATAAAAAGGCTGGTTTTACCTGAAGCACCTTTAAGGTAAAACCAGCCTTTTTATTTAAATTGTACAGACTATTTGGAATGAGTAGTGATTTTTTAGTCTCATTTACAAATTGTTATTTGTATAGCACACTTACCCTAACCCACATTAAAAGTTTATTATCCATGATTATGTATGCATTCAAAGGGCTTAAATAACAGTAAATAGTACAATCCTTCAGTTGTATGCAGCTGAACAGAACTATTTTAAACCTGGATTTAAATATTGAAGAAGTCTGTCTCACACTTCCAGGAAGACTGTTTCAGGTTTCAGCTGCATACATCTGAAATGATGCCTCCATGTTTAATCTTGACTCTGTCCCTGTGCTCCTCAGAGTCCCAGCAGGAGACCAGTCCCTGTGCTCCTCAGAGTCCCAGCAGGAGGCCAGTCCCTGTGCTCCTCAGAGTCCCAGCAGGAGACCAGTCCCTGTGCTCCTCAGAGTCCCAGCAGGAGGCCAGTCCCTGTGCTCCTCAGAGTCCCAGCAGGAGGCCAGTCCCTGTGCTCCTCAGAGTCCCAGCAGGAGACCAGTCCCTGTGCTCCTCAGAGTCCCAGCAGGAGGCCAGTCCCTGTGCTGCTCAGAGTCCCAGCAGGGGTTCATTGCAGGAGCAGGTCTGATTTGGAGTTTGATGTGAAGTTTTTTACTACTTTGTTAATATCCAGGAACTGTGAATGTGTTTACTTTTGCTCATGTGTCTGTTTCAAAAGTAAATAAAGAATAGTAGTATTAGTATTAGAAGGAGCTCCATGGGCTCTGGAGTCACCTGCAGTATGACCCCCAGAGCGTTCAGGTGTTGTCCGTTGTTAACGACGATGACTCGACCGACGGACAGAGCTTTGAGTCCGTTCACCGACTCCAGGACGGCCTTCTGTGTCCACAAAGAACAGGGTCAGAGGAGGATACAGGTTATCCAGGAGTACCAGGTGTGTGGAGGTACAAGCGAGACGTGTCTATGTTTGTTCTTATTGTTGTGTTGTTTTGTACCTGCACAGCTTCCGTAGTGGTCCGCAGCTCCGTCACAGTGTGGTAATAGGGAAGCAGGTCGGACAACTGCCCCTCGGAGTCCAGAGGAGGCAGAGACGACAGGGTCTTCTTCAGCTCACTGATGCGCTGCTCACTGGCCTAACACAGGGAAGAGTGTGAGATTTCAGAGGTAATGAGTTTGAGTTTTAAAAGGTAATGAGTGTGAGTGAGTTTGAAAACAAGTCCAAATGTCTCAGGTCTTTGTCACGAGGGAGAGAAGGATGGAGTGAGAGATTGACAGACGAATTGGTCTGCGTTCAGAGCTGTATCGGACTGTTGTGGTGAAGAAGGAGCAGCGTCTGCAGTCAGAGCTGTATCGGACTGTTGTGGTGAAGAGGGAGCAGCGTCTGCAGTCAGAGCTGTATCGGACTGTTGTGGTGAAGAAGGAGCAGCGTCTGCAGTCAGAGCTGTATCGGACTGTTGTGGTGAAGAGGGAGCAGCGTCTGCAGTCAGAGCTGTATCGGACTGTTGTGGTGAAGAAGGAGCAGCGTCTGCAGTCAGAGCTGTATCGGACTGTTGTGGTGAAGAGGGAGCAGCGTCTGCGTTCAGAGCTGTATCGGACTGTTGTGGTGAAGAAGGAGCAGCGTCTCCAGTTAGAGCTGTATCGGACTGTTGTGGTGAAGAAGGAGCAGCGTCTCCAGTTAGAGCTGTATCGGACTGTTGTGGTGAAGAAGGAGCAGCGTCTCCAGTTAGAGCTGTATCTGACCGTTGTGGTGAAGAGGGAGCAGCGTCTCCAGTTAGAGCTGTATCTGACCGTTGTGGTGAAGAGGGAGCAGCGTCTGCAGTCAGAGCTGTATCGGACCGTTGTGGTGAAGAGAGAGCAGCGTCTGCAGTCAGAGCTGTATCGGACTGTTGTGGTGAAGAGGGAGCAGCGTCTCCAGTTAGAGCTGTATCTGACCGTTGTGGTGAAGAGAGAGCAGCGTCTGCAGTCAGAGCTGTATTGAACCGTTGTGGTGAAGAGAGAGCAGCGTCTGCAGTCAGAGCTGTATCGGACCGTTGTGGTGAAGCGGGAGCAGCTTCTAAGCCAGGGGTGTCAAACTGGTTCTAGAAAGTTCCAGGTTTTAATTCCAACCAAGCGGGACTCACTTCAGGAAATGGGCAGAGTCTGGACTGTTTCTGATTGGCTGAATTTAAAACCTTCAGCCACACCGGCCTTTTCGAGAACCGGTTTGACACCCCTAAGCTCTGGATTTTGCGGTCGATGTACGTTCCCACCCTCACCTACGGTCATGAGCTTTGGGTCAAGACTGAAAGGACACGATCTAAAAGTAGAGCTTCCTTAGAGAGCTTTAAAGTAGAGCTTCCTTAGAGAGCTTTAAAGTCGAGCTTCCTTAGAGAGCTTTAAAGTAGAGCTTCCTCAGAGAGCTTTAAAGTAGAGCTTCCTCAGAGACCTGTGAGTCGCGGTGACTCTCGGAGAAACTCCTCCTCATCATGTCTGTGACTCTGAGCGCCTCGACCCGCAGCAGGTTCAGGATCATGGTGTAGGTCAGTCTGAACTGGGACTGCAGCATCGTGGGCCTTCCCTGGAGCCAAACAAACACAAATAAGATAAGATAAGAGTTCCTTATTCGTCCCACAGGGGGGAAATTTCAATGTTGCAGCGCACAGACAGGACTGTAGTAAGAGCACACAGGGAACACAGAGAAATATACAAAATAAGTACAGTGCCTTGCGAAAGTATTCGGCCCCCTTGAACCTTTCAACATTTTGCCACATTTCAGGCTTCAAACATAAAGATATAAAAAATTAATTTTTTGTCAAGAATCAACAACAATTGGGACACAATTGTGAAGTGGAACAAAATTTATTGGATAATTTAAACTTTTTTAACAAATAAAAAACTGAAAAGTGGGGCGTGCAATATTATTCGGCCCCTTTACTTTGAGTGCAGCAAACTCAGTCCAGAAGTTCAGTGAGGATCTTTGAATGATCCAATGTTGTCCTAAATGACTGATGATGATAAATAGAATGCACCTGTGTGTAATCAAGTCTCCGTATAAATGCACCTGCTCTTTGATAGTCTCAGGGTTCTGTTTAAAGCGCAGAGAGAACCATGAAGACAAAGGAACACACCAGGCAGGTCCGAGATACTGTTGTGGAGAAGTTTAAAGCCGGATTTGGATACAGAAAGATTTCCCAAGCTTTAAACATCTCAAGGAGCACTGTGGAAGCAATTATATTGAAATGGAAGGAGCATCAGACCACTGCAAATCTACCAAGACCCGGCCGTCCCTCCAAACTTTCATCTCAAACAAGGAGAAGACTGATCAGAGATGCAGCCAAGAGGCCCATGATCACTCTGGATGAACTGCAGATAACTACAGCTGAGGTGGGGATGGTGTGTTCAGGGTGATGAGCTGTGTTGCTTTTACACCAAACATATCGTTTTGCATTGTGGCCAAAAAGTTCGATTTTGGTTTCATCTGACCAGAGCACCTTCTTCCACATGTTTGGTGTGTCTCCCAGGTGGCTTGTGGCAAACTTTAAAAGAGACTTTTTATGGATATCTTTGAGAAATGGCTTTCTTCTTGCCACTCTTCCATAAAGGCCAGATTTGTGCAGTGCACGACTGATTGTTGTCCTATGGACAGACTCTCCCACCTCAGCTGTAGTTATCTGCAGTTCATCCAGAGCGATCATGGGCCTCTTGCCTGCATCTCTGAAGTAAAGGGGCCGAATAATATTGCACGCCCCACTTTTCAGTTTTTTATTTGTTAAAAAAGTTTAAATTATCCAATACATTTCGTTCCACTTCACGATTGTGTCCCACTTGTTGATTCATGAAAAATTAAATTTAAATTTTATATCTTTATGTTTGAAGCCTGAAATGTGGCGAAATGTTGAAAGGTTCAAGGGGGCCGAATACTTTCGTAAAGCACTGTATATACTGTACATATAGAGCAGGGTAATAAGTAGATAAAGTAAAATTACATTGTTCAGTGACATTCTGAAGTTGTAGTATTGCACATGATTTTAGAATTTACTTTTTTTACATTTACAGGCTCAGCAGTTCTCATTGTACAGTCTGACAGCAGCAGGAAGTCTTCTGAGATGATACTGTTGTGATTTAGGGCTATACAAGAATTCATTGTGAAATACGTACATTAGTTTGTGTCTTGTCATTATACCTGTTAGTGATTTGAAATGCGGCCTATACAGCAATGTGGCGGATGTAAGCATTTTTATTTTGTTAGAGGGAACGGATTTTGATCTCCAGAGCTGGTGACGTGCACATTCCTGCATCAGTGGACGTTTATGTGAACAGCAGAGAGAGCTGACACAAGGAAAAGCAGGGAAATATACACAACAGGTATTATGTGATTTTGGCTATTGTCAGAATCAAGTTTATGGACCTACTATTTAGACAAGTTTCAGTAGGAATGAGACGCACATTTATTGCCAAAATCAACGGGATCCACAGAGTTTTATGATCATCTCGGGTCAACAATACATCAAAACACCTTGTCATTGACTCATGTTATTACCAGTTACCAGTTGCTGTGTTTTTCTCCATCAGCCGTTCATTCAGTGTTATCTGCGGCTTATATTCAAGTGCAGTCTATGTGTGGACAAAATGCACTTTATTTTCAAATTCAGCTGGTTCAGTACATACACAGGTGCTCCTTATAGCAAGTACTGTATGTAGTGGACACAAAGTAACCTATGGATATAAACAGCATCTTCTTCAGTTATTTTTAAGTTGATACCACAGAGAAAAAATAATAATGTTTAGATTAAAGTCCTCTAAACTTTTCGAGCCTTTGTGACTTTTTCCCTAATTCATTGTGTGAGATTGATCACCAAATTCAAATATTATACACATGCAACTTTTTATGACATTGTATGAAGCAATCTGAAATCTGCCACTTGCCTTTGGAAACGAGAATGCCCTAAACGCTAAAATATATGTACGTTTTGCTGCAATTAAACTATATTAATTCCCACTAATCCAACCTTCATTGGATCAACTGTGGGTGTATAAAATGCCACTGCAGCGTGTGGTAATAATATTTCTTGTGGAACCTGGTTGGGATTACCATATTCTTTTCCAATGTCATTTCTGTAATCCCCGAACTGCATCTTCTTCAATGCTTCCAATTCAAACCAAAAAGGATTATTATTTCTGAGTCTAAGAGCTCAGGCTTATCTCCACGGAGCAAAGTGTAAAGCAGCAAGAATACTCTAAACTGGATAATTGAATGTAGCCAGAGAGGATTCAATAAAACTTCTATCTGCAGGTTTTAGAACTTAAATATCTGTGACCCTGCAGCATTCAGTATTCATTTAAAATCCATGGTTTGAGAACAAAACCCTGGCGCTCACCAGCATCATGACGTGGAGGTCGGACATTTCGTGAACTCCAGCTTTGCACAGAAGGATGACGGTCCCAGTGGCGTCCAAACCTCTTCTCCCCGCTCGACCGGCCATCTGAATATACTCCCCTGAAGCCAGATTGGGAATGCATCGTAGAAGCAATATTAATCATTAGTAATATTACAGATTAACAGTAGAACTAGAGGTGTGCCACAATATCGCTATGGTGACATATGGAGATGACGATTGATTATTGAGGTTTTTTGCAGTTTTATCCATTTACCATACACCATAGCCTGGTCTTACCACACCATGGTACTCATTTCATTCCGTACTGAGGTCTGGATTTGCTCCATTGACTCCGTTAACAGGTGGGAGGGGTTAACTCTTTTTGCAGATTGAAACCATTGGCTCTGAGTTTACTGTGACGTATATAATGAGCCCGAGTGAGTCATTAGCGTTTAGCATTTAGCCTAGCTTTAGCATTTAGCCTAGCTTTAGCATTTAGCCTAGCTTTAGCATTTAGCCTAGCTTTAGCCTTCTCCTTTGCCGCTAACGGAGCCCAAAGATGAGTAGAGCTAACATCTTTGCTTCAATAATATTTACTAAACATTCCTCTTGCTCCGGCTTCAGTTTCTTGATATTTGGATTGAACCAGAACAGATTATTTTACTATCGCATTCTCCGACAAACTACAACCAGCAAATTCAGCACAAACTCTTGACGTCACCGACACCGACTTACAACACCCGCCTCCCCCGCTCTCTGATTGGTCGGAGAGGATTCAACCGAGGAAACTGCAGCCAATAGGATCAGACCCAGACGTACATGTAGGAAATGATCATGGACCAGAGTTTACACATGGTAAGACCAGACGTACATGTAGGAAATGATCATGGACCAGAGTTTACACATGGTAAGACCAGACGTACATGTAGGACCAGCTGGGAACTCGACAGGTGTGAGTGAGCACGCGTTTTGACGTCCCTGCTCTGTTTACCCTTTTTAAGCCTTTTAAAGCCTTTTAAACACGTTTTTACGGTGTATTAGTGTCTTTTGTACACTCTAGAGTTTTATTATCTTAAATGCAATGGTTCCAGAGCATCACGTCTTTTAACACAAAGACCCAATCGAAACGCGCTAGCTCGGAGGCTACCACGAGCGCACCACAGACATGGAAAGTGACACTGCAATGACCACGAACGACATTAGTCGCCTCACATTGGAGCTTCGTGAGAGGGACCGTGCCACTATTGCAGACCTCCGTAAAGAAGTCCTTCGCCTCACTGCAGAGCTGCAGGATAAACAGTCACTCGTGTCCAAACTCTTTGATGTCGCTGGCGGGCAGCACTCACGGCTTATGTCACTGAGCGCTGCATACTGTGACACTGTCGTGTGGGAGAGGTCTGTCAGCTCTGGGCCCTCTTGCTCTACACCTAAGTGCCCGGTTCGGAATAAAGAGCCTGCGGACTGCGAGGAGCCATCCAGCGCCGTGGCCCATGTCCTGAGCCTTTCAAACCGCTATGCAGCCCTCTCCGCTGACATACCAGCCCCCTCAGCAGAACCCCTGGACTCTGCAGCAAACTCTACTGCTGTCCGTGGATCCAGGTCCACTGCGAGAAAGACACTCTTAAAGGAAGCTGTCCTCAGACGAAAGAGTGATCATTCCCCTTCTCTGACCCCAGTGCATCACCACCACTTACCTTCACCGGGTCAGCAGCAGCGACCCGAGCCTGCTCCTCTCGCTGCTCCAGCGTCTCCGTGCACACAGCGTGGGTTGCCCGGAGCTGGGAATCAACACCCCCACTCCTCTCCATGTGTTCAGCAGCGCCCTGGTTCGGACCCATCCCTGGATGAGCCCGCTGGTTCCGGCCATGGACACCGAGCGCCCTCTCCGCAGCTACGTCCACTCTTCGCCCCGACTACTTTGATTGTTGGAGATTCCATCGTGAGGCACGTCCGCTTTTTTAACGCGGTCACTCACTGCATTACTGGAGCTACTGTCCCAGATCTGCTCATCCGTCTCCCTCCTCTGCTTCACTCCCTGCCTGATACCATTTCAAAGGTAATCGTGCATGTGGGGATCAACGACATGAAGCTGCAGCAGTCCGAGGTCACAAAGAAGCATTTTATGGATCTATTCCGCCTCCTCCAGTCCTCCGGGTTGTGTGTTTTTATCTCTGGTCCAGTCCCGACTGTAAACCGGGGAGACTGCTTGTACAGTCGCGTTGTGGCGCTGAATATGTGGCTCCAGTCTGCATGCAGCACTTTTAACTTTGTTTTTGTGAACAACTTTGGCCTGTTCTGGAAGCGTCACGTGGCCTATCGTCCAGATGGTCTGCACCCGAACAGATACGGTACCAGTTTATTGATGGACTTTTTACGCCATGTTGTTCAGTGCTCCCCGAGGGGGGCGTGACTGTTTACATCCGAGGCCCCTCGGCCCCCACTACCACCTTCCTCCTCCACTCCAGCACCGGGTGAGTACTGTGGTGCAAACACTGACCCCTGTCCGTCTGGCAGTGTAATACCAGTCCTGCCACTGAACGGCACTTACTCAGTCATGCATCTGGAACTTAACAAAGTAAAACAGAGTTCACTTTTTAAACCAATAGAGACTGTGTGTGTTCCTCGCACCGGCTCAGAAATGTGTTTTAATTTGAATAAACACAAATATAACAGAAGGACAGCAGTTAGACGGTCCAACTCAGGAAATCTAATTCCAATTCTTTGTAGTCAATCAACTAAACCCACTGACACTGATATTATTTTTAACCTTGCTCTGCTTAATGTCAGATCACTATGCAATAAATCCTTTTTAATTAATAATTTTATCTGTTCTTATGATCTTGACTTTATGTTTATGACTGAAACTTGGCTTGACCATAATACAGAAAATGCAGTCTTAATAGAAAACAACACCACCAAATTTCAAATTTGAATCAGAAATTCGAGAAAATAAAAGAGGAGGAGGCACAGCAGCAGTTTTTAAAGATTGTATTGTCTCCCATAGAGTACCTCTTGGGAAATTTTCCTCATTTGAGTATGTCTCTTTTAAAATAGAACAAAAACAATCTTCTATTCTTATTATTGTTGTGTACAAGCCGCCACAGTCATGTCATAGTTTCACTGATCATTTCACCGAGTTGCTTTCAGTTGTGTGCACAGACTTTGATAGTTTAGTCGTCATAGGTGATTTTAATATACATGTAGATAACGTTGATGATAGATACGCGAAAGAGCTGAGCTCTGTGCTGGAGACCTTTGGTCTCACTCAGCATGTGAGTGGCCCCACCCATAGCAGAGGACACACTCTCGATCTGCTAATTACTAAAGGGGTTAATATCTCAAATGTAAATGTGGCCAATGTTGCTCTGTCAGATCATTTCTGTGTATTTTTTGATATGTGTCTCAATAGTAAAGCACGAGCTGAATCCTCAATTGTTAGAAGAAGAAGACACATAAACAAAAATACAGGTGAACTTTTCATGGGGATGATAAACTTTGATAACACGTTGTGTTCTACTGTGGATGAATTACTTAACTCTGTCACCTCTAGTGTTTTGGATGTTCTGGACACGATTGCTCCTGTAAAGGTCAAAATTGTTACAGATAAGCAAAAGGCGCCATGGACAAAAGCGGACTCTGTCAGGGCACAGAAGAGAGAGTGCCGGAGAGCCGAGCGGAAGTGGCGAAAGTCAAATCTCCAAGTTGACCATGAGATCTTCAAAGATGCATTGTGCAAGTTCAACAGTGTGCTACGTAGAACGAGGGAAACTTATTTTTCCGAAACAATCGAAGGTTGCAGTAACAATCTACGCGTTCTGTTCTCAACAGTAAATAAATTGACAAATCCCCCTGTCAAGATGCCATCAGAGCTTACCTCCAAAACCAAATGTAATGAGTTTGCAGAGTTTTTTAATGACAAAGTCCAAGGCATCAAAAATGCCATCACCTCCACAGTAGAAATTACAATCCAACAGCCAGTGAAGCTTTTTGGGCTGACACACTTTACACCAGTACAAAATGAAACTGTCCAAATGATAATTACAAGTCTGAGTTCTTCTACATGTAGCCTGGATGTATTACCTCCTAGATTTCTTAAATCTGTTCTGAGCAGTCTTTTACCTTCACTCACGCATATAGTAAATATGTCTCTTGAATCTGGAACATTCCCAATGGCCCTGAAAACGGCAGTCATCAGACCCCTCCTAAAAAAGAGGAGTCTGGATGCCTTGGCACTTAAAAATTATCGGCCCATTTCAAATCTGCCTTTCATGGGTAAAATTCTAGAAAAAGTTGTCTATCAACAACTTACAGAATTTTTAATAATCAATCACTCTTTTGATATGTTCCAGTCTGGTTTTAGACCCCACCACAGCACAGAGACCGCTCTAGTGAAGGTAACAAATGACATCAGACTTAACACTGACGCAGGAAAAGTCTCAGTTCTTATCCTGTTAGATTTAAGTGCTGCTTTCGACACTGTCGATCATGGTATCCTCATTCAGAGACTTGAGGACTGGGTTGGTGTTTCTGGAACAGCCCTAAGCTGGTTTATATCCTACCTACAGGACAGAAAGTATTTTGTGGAGATCGGAAACTGTATCTCAGACCATCTGGCCCTAACCTGCGGAGTGCCACAGGGATCAATCCTGGGGCCTCTCCTGTTTAATATTTACATGCTGCCTCTGGGTAGGTTAATACACAGTAATAACGTGTCCTATCACAATTATGCTGACGATACTCAGGTCTATGTGTCCCTGACAGCAGGAGAACATGGACCAGTGGACTCGCTCCTTCACTGTATCCAACAAATCAGTGATTGGATGCAAAATAACTTTCTCCAGCTAAACACAGAAAAAACTGAAATTATTGTTTTCGGACCTCAAAAACAAAGAGAGAGCGTTATCTGCCACCTCCAGTCTCTCTCCCTAAAACCCTCAACTCAGGTCAGAAATCTAGGAGTAATAATGGACTCAGACTTAAATTTCAATAGCCACATATCATCTGTGACATCATCAGCTTACTTCCACCTAAGAAACATTGCTAAAATTAGGAACATTGTGTCTAAAGCAGACTTGGAGATTCTTATCCACGCATTTGTCTCCAGTCGATTGGACTACTGCAATGGCTTGTTCACAGGTCTCTCTAAACAAGCGGTAAAACAGCTGCAGTACATCCAAAATGCTGCAGCTCGAGTCCTGACTAGAACCAGGAAGTACGACCACATTAGTCCGGTCCTCAGGTCTCTGCACTGGCTTCCTGTGGCTCAGAGAATAGATTTTAAAGTAGCTTTACTTGTGTACAAGTCTCTCCATGGCCTCGCACCAGGGTACATCCGCGACATGTTGGTGCCATATGAACCAACTCGGGCTCTGAGGAGCACAGGGACTGGACTTCTGTTAGTGCCAAGAGTCGGAACTAGACATGGGGAGGCTGCGTTTCAGATTCATGCAGCTAGAGTCTGGAACCGTCTTCCCGAGAGTGTGAGACAGGCGTCTACTCTAGCAGTTTTTAAAACTGAACTGAAAACAGTTCTTTTTAGCTGTGCATACAAGTGAATGATTTTATATTTGTTTTTATCTTTAATCTTTTTAATGCGCTATGATTATTTATGATTATTTATGATTGTAATCCCTTGTGTGATTTTAATGTTTTACAGTTTTTAACTACTTGTGTGATTTTATATATCTTGTGCTCTTAATCTGTCTTTTTATGTTTACTTAAATTCTAATGTTTGATGATTTATGCATGATGTTATATGGGTTGTGAGGCGCTTTGCGTTGCCTTGTGTAGGAAAGGCGCTCTATAAATAAACGTTGATTGATTGATTGATTGATAGGAGATGATCATGGACCAGAGTTTACACATGGTAAGACCAGACGTACATGTGGGAAATGATCATGGACCAGAGTTTACACATGGTAAGACCAGACGTACATGTAGGAGATGATCATGGACCAGAGTTTACACATGGTAAGACCAGACGTACATGTAGGAGATGATCATGGACCAGAGTTTACACATGGTAAGACCAGACGTACATGTAGGAGATGATCATGGACCAGAGTTTACACATGGTAAGACCAGACGTACATGTGGGAAATGATCATGGACCAGAGTTTACACATGGTAAGACCAGACGTACATGTAGGAAATGATCATGGACCAGAGTTTACACATGGTAAGACCAGACGTACATGTAGGAGATGATCATGGACCAGAGTTTACACATGGTAAGACCAGACGTACATGTAGGAGATGATCATGGACCAGAGTTTACACATGGTAAGACCAGACGTACATGTGGGAAATGATCATGGACCAGAGTTTACACATGGTAAGACCAGACGTACATGTAGGAGATGATCATGGACCAGAGTTTACACATGGTAAGACCAGACGTACATGTAGGAGATGATCATGGACCAGAGTTTACACATGGTAAGACCAGACGTACATGTAGGAGATGATCATGGACCAGAGTTTACACATGGTAAGACCAGACGTACAAGTAGGAAATGACCATGGACCAGAGTTTACACATGGTAAGACCAGACGTACAAGTAGGAAATGACCATGGACCAGAGTTTACACATGGTAAGACCAGACGTACATGTAGGAAATGACCATGGACCAGAGTTTACACATGGTAAGACCAGACGTACATGTAGGAGATGATCATGGACCAGAGTTTACACATGGTAAGACCAGACGTACATGTAGGAAATGATCATGGACCAGAGTTTAGTGATAGATAAGACCAGGCTAAATCCACCAGGCCACTGACAAACGCTCCTTTAAAATAAGTCAAAACCCAAAGCACATCATCTCAGAAAATCCACCACAAAATTGATTTTACTTTGAAATTGAGTCATAATTAAACCTTCTTCACCTCTGGCCTCATTTTGGGCAAATCTCACTTCTCAATAACAACAAAAACCCCAAACTAAATATTATATCATATTTAAATATATGATTTTCCTTTCACTTCACAGTGGTGTGTTACTGTGTTCAGGTCGTTCAGAAAAACCAAACAGCTGCAGTCATATAAAAGGTAAAAGGACCTGGGAGCAGGTTCCTGAAGCCCGTCCCGTCGTGTTTCCGGATGCTGTCGAAGACCACGGTGCGCGCCGGCATGTTCACGCCCATCGCAAACGTCTCAGTGGCAAAGAGCACCTGCACAAACACTGGATTATCAAACAATGGGACCAGAAGAAGACTTTTATGGTAAGTCAGAAGGAAAGTCAGTCCTCATGAGCTAATATACAAGTCTACCCCATTATCTTAATCCCATGTGTGATTTTAATGTGTTAAGGTTTTTAAGACTTGTAAGTAAGTAGTAGTAAGTAATGTTTATTTATATATCGCTTTTCACAGACCAGAGTCTCAAAGCGGTTTACAATTGTTATTTTTGGGCACTCACTCCACACAGAGATGGGAGCGGGGTCAGTACAGGAGGCATATGCTGAGTCCTATTGTACATATTTTTAGTGGTAGGGGAAACCTACGCAGACACCGGGAGAACATGCAAACTCCACTCAGAAAGGCCCTGGTCCGACCGGGATTCAAACTCAGGACCTTCTTGAGAGGTGAGAGTGCTATCCACTCAGCCACCGTGCCGCGACTTGTGTGATTTTATTCTCCATGTTTTTAATATTCCTTGTGATCTTAATATTTGTTTTTAATCTTTTTTTATGTGTAAGTAGACTTTAATGTTTATGATTTGCTTGATGTGATTGGGGTTGTGTGTTGCCTTGTGTAGGAAAAGCGCTCTGCGTATAAAAGTGAATAAAAGATGAATTCATGTGTGAGTAATCCTTCGGCCAGGTCCACCCGCTGGTCTGGCCTCACCTTCACGAGGCCTCTGGAAAAGAGCATCTCGATGACCTCTTTGAGAATGGGCAGGATCCCGCTGTGATGCACCGCGATGCCGCGCTTCAACAGGTCTCTCATCAGTAAGATCTAAACCACACGGACCACCAAGAGTTAATTATCATTCATTAAAGACCAAAAGTGTGGATACCCTCCTCCTTCACTGAGTTCTTTTCATGACTGTTGCTGTAGACCCGCACCAGGCTGTGAAAGGGCTGTTTGACCAATAAGGAGAGAGACCGGACCTGAACCCAGTCCAGATGGTTTTGGACCTGAACCCAGTCCAGATGGTTTTGGGGCTGGACCACAGAGTGAAGGGGCCAACAAGTGCCAAGCATCATGGGAACCATTTCAGGTCCTGTTGAAGCTCATCCAGAGAATGCCAAGAGTGAAGCAGTATCAGAGCAAAAGGTGCTACTTTGAAGAACCAGAATATAACACATATTTACACTTGGTTCATACTTTTTTACTACGTACTGTAGGAGAAATTAAAATGACCTCTTTCCTCAATCAAAGACATTTTGTTGTATGTTGAGACATATTATAACTTCTGTCTCCACTGTGTGTAAATCATTGTGGTTCAGGTTTTATTGTGGGTAAGAATGTCTTAAGATAAGTGCCATGGCAACACCCTTCCCCCAACGACTCTACAAGATGTGAAGAGTTACAAGGACCCACAGGGAAGACAAACCAGTCTGCTTTGGAACCACGGAGTGACCAGACCTCCCTGGGCTCTGCCCTGGGCTCTGCCCTGGGCTCTGCCCTGGGCTCTGCTCGGGCAACCAAGGGGCTTTGGGCCTCTTAGATGGCCTCAAACCTCAGCTCCACGTTTGAGAGGACTTCCACAACCCTTCAATAGCCTCCAGCTTCAATCTGAAGAAGTTGCTGAGTTTTGGCACCTAGACTGTGGATCGTGGGAGGACTTGGTTCAGCCACACGATGCAGCCGCATGGTCCAGGCCCTGGGGACAAGAAGCCTCCATCCAACACCATCAAGACCCAAGGACTGCTATTCACCAAAGGCTATTCTGGTTGTATGATCTGCTCTCTTGCTACACACAGTTGTTGGCTTTATTAAAACCTATACTTCAAAGAATACTTCTCCTACCAAGGCTGAACACATGCAGGCCTCAGCCTATACCAATCCATTCATAGACAAAGGCCTTGCTAAGCTCACTTTAGCCTAGCATTTTAACAATGTATCTTGAAATCAACGTTTCCTTCATGTTATTCTTGACAATTTGCATATTTCATATCTAGTCTGTATTGTGTATACTTCATTAAATCTACAAAACCATCTTTGTCTGAAAGTGATATTTGTACTTTTAACTCCAGAAATTGGGTCACTGATTTGTAAAAGAATTCACTACCTTCAGATTCTATTGAAGAGAATTGGACTAACTAGCTAATTAAATAATGAAAGGACTCATGAGATTACTTAATCAATAAATGAGCCAATTAATTGATATTGTGACGTCATATGCACGTTATCAGTTGGGAATTATTCCCTGGTGCCCCTAAATAAAGCTATTATCAATTATTGTATTTATTACATGATTGTTTTTGATCCAATTCTCCGATATCAGGTACATAACTTAAGTTATGTGTGATATCGACATTTTCTCACCCTACAGTACATAATTCACATGAGTTCATTCATAGGTTTGATGCCTTCAGTGTCATTCACAATATGAAGATAAATTACAGAATTGATTATGAAACAGAACATTAAAAAATCAAGCAATAATCCTGTTGACATAGGATGTCATGTTGTCATAAAAAACAGCTCTTTGTGCCTGGGACTGCATATCACTACAACAATGACACTGTAGTTTATGGCCGTAATTCTGGCCTAGTGTTTTTGAACTGTAACCGTAGACTGTATATAGATGGACATTGCTCACACCCCAGCTAAATGAAGCCCAGTAGGGAAGTGCTCATGGGCAAAGTTTTGCTCAAACTCGCTCTGACTCCTATCCACTTACATTGAAAAGTAAACTCTTCAAGCTCAGTAAATGTTTTGGGCTTTACAAATCTATGGTTTGGCGCTCTCTTTGGTGTTTATATTGAGATATTCCCTTAGTAAAGTCAGATATGAGCCCAAACAACTGACCAAAGCACTTTACTTTAATTTAGCATATAATTAGGTAATATATAATATGTAGTGTATATATTATATATATATGCTGTATTATGTTATATATTATGTTATATATTATTCAATAATAATTGAATAATTGAATTGAAGTTGTGTCAGTGCTGCTGACACAACGACAGCAGCACTGATGACTGCTGTCGTTGTGTCCTTGGGCAAGACACTTAACCCCACTTTGCCTGAAGCCCCCACTGAAAGATCTCAGCTCCTGTGGACTCACCACCTGCAGGAGGATCAGTAGCTGCGTTTCCATTGAATAATGCGCAAAAACTTTTTCGATACATTTAAAAATTCGAAAAACCTGTAATTCGCAAAAGCGGCCGTTTCCATTAAGACATATTCGAATAAGTACTATTTTTGCGCGTTTATTCACTAGTTTCTAGTACGTCAACATGGCAACAGAAGTAAACAACACTTTGATTTACGTGAGATATATTAATGTCTTGACTTCTGCTGCGGCTCTCATCCTCTCTGACCTCTGACCCCGGGAGAAACTGTGGCTGCTTTGACAGCTCCGCAAACGCGCGTGGTCATGTACCGAGCGCGGACCATAGACGCGCTCACAGAACCATAGACACGGGTCTTGCCTGTCTCCCCCGTCTCTCCCCCATGCCTCTCCCCCGTCTCTCCCCCGTCTCTCCCCCGTCTCTCCCCCGTCTCTCCCCCGTCTCTCCCCCATGCCTCTCCCCCGTCTCTCCCCCGTCTCTCCCCCATGCCTCTCCCCCGTCTCTCCCCCATGCCTCTCCCCCGTCTCTCCCCCATGCCTCTCCCCCGTCTCTCCCCCGTCTCTCCCCCGTCTCTCCCCCATGCCTCTCCCCCGTCTCTCCCCCATGCCTCTCCCCCGTCTCTCCCCCGTCTCTCCCCCATGCCTCTCCCCCGTCTCTCCCCCATGCCTCTCCCCCGTCTCTCCCCCGTCTCTTCCCCGTCTCTCCCCCATGCCTCTCCCCCGTCTCTCCCCCATGCCTCTCCCACGTATCTCCCAAGTCTCCACACGAAGCGCAGCCAAAACTAAAGCAGCTCGGCTTCCTCCGCTATATCGAAATAAGTGTTTCCATTGCCGTCTTGCGAAAAACTTAATTTCGATACGTCCAAAAAACCACCTATTTTAAGCGCATTAACTTTTTATCGAAAAACTGTGGTTTATTCGAAATTTGCGCGTTTCCATTAGACATTTTATGATGCGCAAATTCAAATTTCGAAATTTGATGCTCAATGGAAACGCAGCTACTGAGGGGCTGGTGCCATGTGTACTGGGTGCAGCTCTGACTGCCACCCCCCCGACCCAGAAATGGATTAAGGGGAAGAAAATGGATGGATGGATTATTCAATACTGTATTGTGTTATGTTGTATATTATGTTATATATTATGCTGTATGTTATTCTTTATTCAAGGCTAGGTTTAAAACAGTCCTCTTTAGTTTAGCATATGGCTAGGAAGGTAAGACTCGGAGAAGGTTAAACTCCTCAGAGTGTCAGTCAAGCTGCATAGGGAGTCAGTTTGCTGGGAGAAGTATGGTAACTTGAGCACTATCCTCTCCTCCTTCCTACTTTATCTGTTTAGCATTTTTAGGATTCGGACTGTAGTTTGTTCATTGCTATTCACCCGTTGTCCCATTGTCTGTTTCATGGTACGATGACGGGATCTCTGAGCCTGGCCTCTTCCATCTACACCTGCGGACTGCCCCGCCCGACCCGCCTGGGAGTGCTTCAGTCCTGCACCGGACCTGTCCACGTTCAGCGGCCACTGGTCCACGTTCTGTAGCTAGCTTAGGTCCTGGATCATTAGTCTGTCCGTCCGGAGGAGCGGATCCCTTTCTCATATGGGTCTCCCTCCCTGTGGGTTTCCCTAGTGCTCCCCAAGGTTTCTCACTTTTTCCCACTGGGTTTTTAAGAGTTTTTCCTTGTCGATGCAGGAGGGTCTTGTTGGACAGTTAGTGTCCAACAGAAAGGATTGGTGATGATCAGGACACTTTAGCATTCTACAACATGTATGGACATTTTCTTCTGTGTGTGCTTTATATTCTTCATGTGTTTTAACTGTTGATTCTCTGACCTGTGTTGGTGATTTCAATGGTTTTGTTAAGTCTCTGAGATGACTTCTGTTGTGACCTAGGGCTATACAAGAATAAATTGTATTGTATTGTATTGTATTGTATTGTATTGTGTACCAATCAGGAGCCTTCTGTTGGTGAATTTGACTCCAGCTAGAAAGTAGTGCAAGAGAGGACAGACAGGCGCCGCTTCTGATTAGCGCTTGATGACTCGGTCGCTACTACTGACAAAATTAGCATACTTCATTATCCCGCTCACATAGCCTGTTGGAGCTAGCTATACTAGCTATAATTGTCTTCTTCCACAATAAGGCTAGCACTATGGGAGATGTCAGCCCTCGTTAGTCCATACCTAATATACAGTCTATCGTGCAACATTACATTTCCCCCCAACATAAGTCAAATATAAAATTGCATCTTATGTAGAAATACCTGGGGCAGCTGTCGGTCTCCTCCTCGCAGTCGGCTCAAACTTTTCTGGAAGAACGAGTGAATTTCTGCTTTTTCGATGGAGGTGGTGAGGTCCATGGAGTCGAGCGAGCGAGCGTTGTCGTCACAGCGCGTCCTGGAGAAAGTGAAGGCCACGACCGGGGTCTGCTGCCGCTGGGACAGGAAGTGGAGCAGCGTCAGCCACACAGAGCGGTCCTGGGCAGAGACAGAGGCCGAGACAGAGGCTGAGACAGAGGCAGAGACAGAGGCAGAGACAGAGGCTGAGACAGAGGCTGAGACAGAGGCTGAGACAGAGACAGAGGCAGAGACAGAGGCCGAGACAGAGGCCGGGACAGAGGCCGAGACAGAGGCCGAGACAGAGGCAGAGACAGAGGCAGAGACAGAGGCTGAGACAGAGGCTGAGACAGAGACAGAGGCCGGGACAGAGGCCGAGACAGAGGCCGAGACAGAGGCAGAGACAGAGGCTGAGACAGAGGCAGAGACAGAGGCTGAGACAGAGGCTGAGACAGAGGCTGAGACAGAGGCTGAGACAGAGACAGAGGCAGAGACAGAGGCCGAGACAGAGGCCGAGACAGAGGCCGAGACAGAGGCCGAGACAGAGGCCGAGACAGAGGCAGAGACAGAGGCCGAGACAGAGGCAGAGACAGAGGCTGAGACAGAGGCTGAGACAGAGACAGAGGCAGAGACAGAGGCCGAGACAGAGGCCGAGACAGAGGCCGAGACAGAGGCCGAGACAGAGGCCGAGACAGAGGCCGAGACAGAGGCCGAGACAGAGGCCGAGACAGAGGCAGAGACAGAGGCTGAGACAGAGGCTGAGACAGAGACAGAGGCCGGGACAGAGGCCGAGACAGAGGCCGAGACAGAGGCAGAGACAGAGGCTGAGACAGAGGCTGAGACAGAGACAGAGGCCGGGACAGAGACCGAGACAGAGGCCGAGACAGAGGCAGAGACAGAGGCTGAGACAGAGGCTGAGACAGAGACAGAGGCCGGGACAGAGGCCGAGACAGAGGCCGAGACAGAGGCAGAGACAGAGGCTGAGACAGAGGCTGAGACAGAGACAGAGGCCGGGACAGAGGCCGAGACAGAGGCCGAGACAGAGGCCGAGACAGAGGCCGAGACAGAGGCAGAGACAGAGGCTGAGACAGAGGCTGAGACAGAGACAGAGGCCGGGACAGAGGCCGAGACAGAGGCCGAGACAGAGGCCGAGACAGAGGCCGAGACAGAGGCAGAGACAGAGGCAGAGACAGAGGCCGAGACAGAGGCCGGGACAGAGGCAGAGACAGAGGCCGGGACAGAGGCCAGGACAGAGGCTGAGACAGAGGCCGAGACAGAGGCCGAGACAGAGGCCGAGACAGAGGCCGAGACAGAGGCCGAGACAGAGGCCGAGACAGAGGCCGAGACAGAGGCCGAGACAGAGGCTGAGACAGAGGCTGAGACAGAGACAGAGGCCGGGACAGAGGCCGAGACAGAGGCCGAGACAGAGGCCGAGACAGAGGCCGAGACAGAGGCAGAGACAGAGGCAGAGACAGAGGCCGAGACAGAGGCCGGGACAGAGGCAGAGACAGAGGCCGGGACAGAGGCCAGGACAGAGGCTGAGACAGAGGCCGAGACAGAGGCCGAGACAGAGGCCGAGACAGAGGCCGAGACAGAGGCCGAGACAGAGGCCGAGACAGAGGCCGAGACAGAGGCCGAGACAGAGGCCGAGACAGAGGCCGAGACAGAGGCAGAGACAGAGGCCGAGACAGAGGCCGAGACAGAGGCCGAGACAGAGGCCGAGACAGAGGCCGAGACAGAGGCCGAGACAGAGGCCGAGACAGAGGCCGAGACAGAGGCCGGACATTCGTTATAGGAGAGTACATCGGCAAAAGACAGTAAGGGGACAGAAATGTTGATGTGCAGAGCATATTGTTTTGAAAGTGAGAGTATGAGGGATGCTTTTGATCCTCTCTGTGAAAGCTCTTTGCATGAAAAAGCACATTATAAATACATAACGTTCATTCAGAAACTTCACTTGGACGAGAAAAGAGTCGTGGATTGAACGGGGATCAAAGACCAAGACAAGTTTAGAATGACTTTTGAGACATAACGTGACTTTTGAGACATTACCTGACTTTTGTAGCCTGGTCATACCACACCATAGTACAAATTACATTTAGTTCTAAGGTCTGGATTTGCTCCATTGACACCGTTAACAGGTGGGAGGGGTTAACTCTTTTTGCAGATTGAAATGATTGGATCTGAGTTTACCGTCACGTATGTAATGAGCCCGAGTGAGTCGTTAGCATTTAGCATTTAGCCTAGCTTTAGCCATCTCCTTTGCTGCTAACGGAGCCCGTGGGGAGTAGCGCCACAATGTTTGCAGAGATTACATTTGATAAACATTCCTCTTGCTCCGGCTTCAGTTTCTTGATAGAACCAGACCAGAATACTTTACTATCACATTCTTCGCCAAACTCAGTTCGGCGCAAACTCTTGACGTCACCCACATCTAACTACAACATCCGCCTCCCGCACTCTCTGATTGGTCGGATGGAATTCAACCGATTGTAATCACAAACACAGGGACCAGACCCAGACGTTACATGCAGGAAATTATAATTGACCGGATCTGGTCTTAACGGATGGATAAGACCAGGGTAGACTTTTGAGACTTTACCTGACTTTTGAGACATTACCTGACTTTTGAGACATTACCTGACTTTTGAGACATTACCTGACTTTTGAGACATTACCTGACTGGCTGTAGTGCTCTGATTTGTGCCCTTGGTCCCGAACGACTGGGCGTGTTTACTCGTGCGCTCCTTTTTGGCATCAACAGCTGCATAATATCTGAAACAGTGAAATACCTCAACAGCGGATACAACAAAGTGAATTTCAACAACTGTCTGAGGCTCATTGAACAACATGACGTAATTCCTGATATTTAGAAATGGACATCTAGACAATGTGACATCAAGACATCCAACACTCATCCAGAATTGTTATTTTAGGATGAATCTTATGGATATAGATGTTAGGTATCTGTCTATCCATAATCTGCTGCTGTTGCATTTTAATACTATTGTTATATAGAATTGTCCATTAATTTGTTTTGTTTGTTTGGATGGATATGTTTCTGCTGCTGCTGGACACCTTTATCCTACAGTATCTTTAGCCTGTATTTGCCAGTGAACATCCATCCATTTTCTTCCCCTTAATCCATTTCTGGGTTGGGGGGGTGGCAGTCAGAGCTGCACCCAGTACACAGAGCACCAGCCCCTCATTGATCCTCCTGCAGGTGGTGAGTCCACAGGAGCTGAGATCTTTCAGTGGGGGCTTTGGGCAAAGTAGGGTTAAGTGTCTTGCCCAAGGACACAACGACAGCAGTCATCAGTGGGAGTCGTGAAGTAGGTCTTACGGTGGGCTCGAACCCACGACCTTCAGGCCCAAAGGCCAATGCTCTACCAACTGAGCTACTGTCGCCCTAGTCACTGATTGCCAGTGAACAATCAGTATATAATTCAATCCATCAACTTTTATTTGTAGAGCGCCTTTCCTACACAAGGCAACACAAAGCGCCTCACAACGCATATCACATCAGTCATAAATCATAAATATTAAAATCTATATAAAAAATACAAGTAATTCATCTAGATTTCAAATACAATGCTATGTCTATTGTTGTTGTTGCTGCAAATGTGTTGTCAAGAGAAAAGGTTGATATCACTTTTGGGGGCGTGGAAGAACTACACTGAATCAGTATGAAGTCTTGAAGTCTATATGAAGAAGAAAGCAAAACTCTGAGGAAGACGATGGAACACCACAGTTTACAGATTACAGGAGGTGATACATGTGTCCTCTACTTTTGGAGTTGTTTTCTAATATCCAACTGCCTCAAGTTAAAAACATGCCTGACACAAACTGAGCTCGTGAATAAAACATGAAAAAGTTCCCATACCCTTTGGTGAGGAAGTTCCCAGTGGCGTCCAGCAGCAGGAACAGTTCCTTCTGGGTCTTGGTGCTGTTTCCTGTGTACAGATAATGCTCCAGAGGCACCGGTCTTTTCAAAGTGCTGATCACATAAATGTGTCTCTTCTTTATGCGACTGGGGAAAAGAGAAATGAGATAAGTTTAATTTGAGGCAAGTAAACATTCTTCACAAATGGCCCAATGACAACATGTGAATAATGAATAAGTGCGGCCCCAGGATTGACCCTTGGGGCACTCCACAGGTCGAGGGCATATGATCTTCTAAAGCTTTAGAAATGTCTACACTGGATCCAATAGGAAGAAAAGCATGTGGAAATTAATGAAACAACAATCATCTGGGGTGTTTTCAGATGTATGTCTTGTCATGTACAGTATTTTCATAAACGTAAATACATTCTGTAAAGTAAAATAAGTTCTGCATATGACATTAATTTGTAAGTTTGATGATGAATGTCCAACTGGGTCATGGATCTTGGTGTCCTGATCCAAATGTTTTATTGTGATGTCTCATTTTAGTTTAACAAATACTCTGGTATAATAATAAGTGGCTTAGAGCAGTGTTTCCCAACCTTTTTGGGCAGTGGTACACCTTTGTCATTGCATAAAATCACACACCACCAACTGAGATTGATACAAAATGTAAACTCTACAGCCGTTATTAACAAGATTATTATTTATTATTATTATTATTATTATTTCACATGATTTTGACAAAGGAGGTGATTTTAGATCATTTCCAAGGCACACTAATAAACATCTCGAGGCACAGCAACGTACCACGGCCCATAGGTTGGAATACACTGGATTAGAGTAATACAACATTGAATTCATAATAAATTATCTAATCTGAAAAGACCTGAAAAGAACAACAAGAAATGCAGAAAGTTGAGAACTATGAATCGAAATGACAAAAAATTAAATATAAATAGAATACCTTAAAGTTGCATCTTCATAAAAACAAATTAAATTGTGTCTTTTTGGGAGTTTTGGGACTTACCCGATCCAGTCACTGAACTCCAGAGCGTTTGGGACCGTGGCACTGAGCAGAATGATGCTGACGTGGTCCGGCAGCATGATCAACACTTCCTCCCAGACAACACCTCTCTAAACACAGCAGCGATTATGTTCAAGTGGTGGAAAACAGAAGAGCATGAGCGTCATCCTGAAGTAAAGAAACTGTGGAATCAGACCTCAGCGTCATTGATGTAGTGAACCTCATCGAATATGACCCACTCCAGGTCCCGGATCACCTCCGAGCCGTTGTACAGCATGGACCTGACAAACCAAAAGGACCAAAACCAAAAGGACTTCAGCGTTCAGTTCAACAAGGAATAGAGCTGGAGCAAAAACATTAATATTTCGATAAAGCAAAAGCATCAAGACAAGATCAGAACAAATATTCAAATTAAAGTAGCATTATGTAAGCTTTTCATGTCAAGTCATCATTAATCTGTCAAAAGTCATTAATATCACATGCTCTTTTTGAATACTTCTTTAACTGAGAAGTAGTTCAACCTGCTACTGCGCCTGAAACTTCTTATTGTTTTCATTTCCATGTCCCGCCCTCCACCGTTTCACCAATCAGAAAGTCTGTGATCCGGGCGCCAGAACTCACCGCGTGGAGCTAATCTCACTGGTAAAGTACCATGTGGCGCAGAACTAAAAAAGGTCTCGTTATGATTCTCAAATCATTAACGACAAAATAAGGAATAAAACCAGGATTTCTATCTTTGTGAAAAAGGTGTTGGTTATAGATTTGTTGTTGACAAAACTCTTGTCTATTCAGCTGTTATGGTCCCAGCTGGATTCGTCTGCATATCTGGCAACCTGAGTCAGGGAGAGTGGGAGAGGCTGCAGTACGACTTTTGGCCACATGTTTACACACTGCTCCTTTAAACAGCAGGTACAAGATTTAATGTATAAACAATTCCTCTGCGTGGGTTAAATAAAGTTTGGATACTAGATACATATAACATGGCAGCTCTAGCGTGACTTCTGTCTGTAGTGCATTAGTGACAGCCTCAGAGTGTTACCGCAGGATCTCTGTGGTCATGATGAGACAGGACGCCTCTGGGCTGAGCTGCACGTCCCCTGTCAGGAGACCCACGTCTTTAAACGTGGTTTTGAAGTCTCTGAACTTCTGATTGGACAAGGCCTTGATCGGCGACGTGTAGATGGTTCTAAAAAGAATAAAGCCAAGATTACAGTCAAAGACAAAAAGTGAACATAGAACATGGAATAGACGACTCAGCAGGAAGACCTTTAAAGTGATTAACGATTATAATGAAACGACTTTATTCCACTGAGTTCATTCACCTTATCAAACCCTCTACTTTTACTTTAGAAGGTTCTGGAAACAGCAGCGAGCAGAGGATTCATGGTTTTACACTGGTCCAGACCAGAGCAGGGAGGATTCATGGTTTCACACTGGTCCAGACCAGAGCAGAGAGGATTCATGGTTTCACACTGGTCCAGACCAGAGCAGAGAGGATTCATGGTCCCAACCAAGTGGATCAGGAGAAAATCATAATCATGAAGCATTTATCATTTAACATTGGACCAGAGCAGAGAGAATGGTCTGAACCGAGCTCCACCTGCTGCTGTGACCTGAAGGAATGTTGCTGATTATTATTATTATTATTATTATTATTGTAACTTTTTAGAATAATCAATGTGTTTGTTTTGTTTGTTTTGATGGATGTGTTTCTTCTGGATACCTGCATTTCTCCAACAAGGATCAATAAAGAATCTATCTTCTAACTACAACAAAAATGTCCTCGTTTTTACAAAGAAAACTCTCCACTTTGTCAAAGAAAATGTACAGACGATAAATAGTGAACTCTAAGTCTGAATCTAAAAAAGTACAAATAATCTCTCGTCAGGTGCAGAAGATGTGAGGTTAGGGTGAGGTCTTTGTGGTTTTACTGCAAACGACTGAGTGTGAAGAGAAGGAGCTAAAACACAAACGAAGCGAACGCAGGCTGTAGACCATCGGATGTGAAACCGGATCGGTCCGGATGAGTCCAGGGCGGGTTTACCGTGTCATGTGCTTCTGGGACAGGGCGATGGCGTACTCGGCGACCACCGTTTTCCCGGCTGAAGTGTGGGCAGCGACGAACACAGAGTCGTGGGCCTCCAGTCTGAGGATGGCCTGCTTCTGGAACACGTCCAGCTCAAACGGCCACTGGAAAAGGACAGAGATATCACCTTCACTTTAACCCTGCTCCCAGATCAGATAATCACACCAGAACAACACACACATGCCTAATCTCGGTCTTATTTGCAACCTTTTGATTTTTGATTAATGTATTATTATTTTTCCCTCTTCCCTTTTTCTCGGTATGAATGTGTGAGTCTATGTTGGTTTTATATATAGAGCATATATGTATATAAAATCTTTTTTTTAATTATTTTTTTTATCATTGTAACTCCCTCCTTTCTATATTTTTCTATTTATTTTTTTTATTTTTTTATTTGTATCATAATTATTTTTTTATTAGATATAATAATAATAATGATATTATTATTATTATTGATATTTTATTTCATTGTAACTCTCCCATTTGTGTAAATGTACTTTTGTATTTCTTTTTCATTTGGATTATTATAATTATTGTTTTTATTTTATTTTATATATTTATTTTTTTGCTGCCCGCATGAGTGGGGGGATCAGGTTAGGGGGTTATTTTCTTCTTTAGAAATAATGGGTTTATAAAACAGATAGGAATCCAATGGTAGTAGCAATTTAGTAGCAAGACATTTTTGTAAAGAGAGGATTAATCCGGGACATAAAACTCTCCAATGAAATGAAAATACAGACGATTCCAAATGTAGTTTTGTGCTGACAGAGACGGATATAAATGTGCTAACCTGCCTTCCATCTGAATGTAAACTTAATATATGTTCCGGGGCACATTTGGTGTAAAGTAAAAGCCTTACCTTGAACGCCGGGTTGGGGATGCGTTTATAGAAGTCGTCACAGGGGGCGCTGATGTTGACAGGAATGGCCCATTTCTTCTTCTCCTCTGGGTTTTCTTTAGATTTATCATCTTTGTTCTGTTCTGACGAAGCAGACGGCGAGACGCTATCCTGAAATCAAACCGTGCAGCAGTTAGAACTTAGCTCCAACATTTTAGAAAAGGAAACACCCCTGGGTCTGACCCTGATGCCGAGGTCTTCCAGGCTGTTTGTTCTCGGTAACGTCGGAGCCTCTTTTGCGTCTTTCGTTTCTTCTTTCTCCTCAACGTCGCGATGGAAGTCAGAGATTCCGTCGTACGAGGACAGCAGCGACATGAGGTTGACTTCTGGCTTTGCTACTTTGACTTCTGTCGAGAAAAACAAAAGTTATGAATGCCGGTGTAATGTAATTCAATACAATATTTGCACGTTTTGTTAACTCAGTGACTGGGATTGACGGATTGTTTTGAACTTGTGATTTCTGTCAAACTTCCTTCTATTCGACGGGGGATTACAGAAAAACAAAACTAGCTAAAAACAAACTTATTTTTTCTGATGAAAGTAGAAAAAACAGTTATTTAGAATCTAGTTTCATATTTCACATAGTCTTAGCACATAATATTCTGTGGGTGTTGAGAATCAGTGAAATAATCAAAAACGGTTGGCAGTCAATGAGAAAAGAAAATATATCATGCTTATTATTATTATTATTTTGTGCCTTAAAATCCATCATAAGACCATTAACATTAGCATTTCATGTTTTAGAATGTAGAATGTTAATAAATGGATAAACATGTATAAAGGAGAGAAAAAGTATCTCTGATTGTAATTCCCACTTCTACCACCAGAGGGAGGAGTTGAATATCAAACATTGCAGGCTGCCACGCTGTTGTAAAGATTGTTGTTCAGCATGATTCATTGTCAAAACTAATTTCTTTTGTTTTATGATACCGAAAACAGCTTCAAACATAATGTGAAAGTGTAAAGTTTCAACAGGACAAGTTTGAGACAGGAGCATTTTTTATTTTTTAAAAGAGGGGAAGAGACGAGCTTCTGGATATTTGTGTGAATGGAAATAAAAACAACTCCAGGTCGAACCCAGGACAGAAAAACTTTGCATAATTGATCTTTTGTTGACGTTTGAAACATCCCAAAAATGTGCTTTAAGTTAGAGCTGCTCGATATCGGAAAATAGAGCGATATTCGATACATGTGCTTAATATTGTGATAACGATATTATTGTGATATTTTTGTCTTTCACCTAAAATTGCATCTGCTTTGAAACGCAAGAGACAAACAATATATAAACACAACATTAATGAAATTCAAATGCATAAATTTATATACTTTTTTGTTTGTTGATTTGTTGAATGTTGATGTCTGTTTTGTCTTAATAAAGAAAACAAAATGTAATTAAAAATCCATCCATCCATCCATCTTCTACCCTTTAATCCATTTCTGGGTCAGAGGGTGACAGTCAGAGATGCCACCCAAGTCTCATAGCACCAGCCCCTCACTGACCCTCTGCAGGTGGTGAGTCCACAGGAGGACGGCTGCTCTCTGAGTGTGAGCATAGCCTTGATCTTTCAGTGGGGGCTTTGGGCAAAGTGGGGTTAAGTGTCTTGCCCAAGGACACAACGACAGCAGTCATCAGTGGGAGTCGGTGGAGAAGGTGCAGAGGTGGGAATTGAACCCACAACCTTCTGGCCTTAAGGCTCTACCAACTGAGCTACTGTCGCCCTCGTAATTAAAAACATTTTTTTTAAATGTATCGCGTATATTTTTGATATCGCACGCACCAATATCACGATACCGATCTTTTATTAATATACCGTGCAGCACTACTTTAAAATATGAATAAATAATGCATAATATATAGAAATGTCATTTACAGACTCAGCAGTTCTTTTCATACAGAAAGTTAGTTAAAGTGTCACTGATAATAATTCACTAATAACTTTGTCACAATTATACACATCTGTAAATACTTAGAATACATTTTGATTCTATTGCCAAAATGATCTTAAATGATAGACTTTGATGACACTGACATTTCCCACCGTGAGACCAATAACGGAATATCTGATCTTATCTTAACTAACAAATAATATATGAAAAATAAATGAAACCTTTTTCCGTGAAGTCCATCCCAGTTTTCAGTCCTGGAGCCACTTTGAGTAAATCTACCACGAAAACACAAAGTGAAGTCAAAAGTCAGTCTAACGTACATTTAAACCCACATTCTGAATCCCATCCAAATACCGTTTTCAAAGTCGATATCTTCCTCCAACTCAGACTTCTTTTTAATCTGGTCCAGAGTGAGCTCCTCCATCCCTCCTGCGCCAACAACATCATCATTAATTCAAGTCCGTTTCAACACTTGGGATTTGTCTGTTTACATCTCGCAGCTAAAGGAATAAATACATGTGTGAGGAGGGGAAAGCTTTAGAAGAGTCTGACCCGGGAGGAAAGGGAAGCTGGTGTTGCTCCCGCGAAGGCTCTCGGACGGAGGCCCGGGCTGCCGTTGTAACGACAGAGAGTTCTTGGCAGAGAGGTCCGTGTTTTCAAGCAATACCTTCAAATAAGTAAAAAGGTTTTCGGTCACGGTTGAGCAGAGAAATGGACATAACTTATTCTGCACGTTTTTAAAGGTCCCTCCAATGTCCTGATGTAATAGACATGTCACTGCTCAGTCTGGTTTAAAACATGCACTCCTCAGGTAATGATGACTTTAATGGTTAAAGAAGAAAACATAACTGGCCTCAACTAAAGTAGCAATATGTAATTAAAGGGCCCTAATCTCTCATCATTAAAGGGCCCTAATCTGTCATAATAATAAACTGCTCTTTTCCAATACTTCTTTAACTGATAACAGTAGTTCAGAGATATTTGAATTTCTAAATTACTTTTCCAGCCTCTAAATCTTGTTATTGTTTTCATTTCGATGTCCCGCCCTCCACCGTTTCACCAATCAGAAAGTCTGTGATCCGGGCGCCAGAACTCACCGCGTGGAGCTAATCTCACTGGTAAAGTACCATGTGGCGCAGAACTAAAAAAGGTCTCGTTATGATTCTCAAATCATTAACGACAAAACAAGGAATAAAACCAGGATTTCTATCTTTGTGAAAAAGGTGTTGGTTATAGATTTGTTGTTGACAAAACTCTTGTCTATTCAGCTGTTATGGTCCCAGCTGGATTCGTCTGCATATCTGGCAACCTGAGTCAGGGAGAGTGGGAGAGGCTGCAGTACCACTTTTGGACACATTTTTACATATCGCTCCTTTACAACCTGTAACAAGCTGAGTGAAGTAATATACTTCTTTCTAAGGTAAAAGGGAAAGTTTAATGAAGAACTATATAGATATCCACAACAATCATAACATTTTGAAGAGCCGGCCCACCTCCAGGACAGTGGAGGAACGATCTTGTCCTTTCAGTCATTACCAAAAGCTTAGGACCATTTTAATCTTTTGTAGTAGTTATTTGACTCCTTATGTAGTGACTCTCTTGTAGTTTGAGTTTGCTTCTTGTCTCCTGTTGATTGTTAGCCCCGCCCTAATGTGTGTCTCCAGCTTTTTGTCACTCTGGATTTGGATTTTATTAAATGACTTTTGATTTTCAGCCCTGCATTTTGAGTTCCCTTTTTCTTCATTTCCCCACGTGACTCCTAAACCTCAGACTATACAAACAGCTATGAATACAATTTCTGTTGGACGGATTACTATTGTTTTAATACATTGGATTCATTTTTACAATGCACCATGCTATAAATAGAAACTGGGAAGAACATTTAGTTTATGTCAAATAGGGAACATAAATAAAAATAGGAGACATGGGCAGGCACTAGTACTGAATATTTTACTACTGCTACTGCGACTGCTACTGTTACTACTCTTTACTACTACTTTATCCTATTGTTATGGCTATAGACAGATGATGCATTCCAGTGTGAAATAGCACAGAATCATTTGCAAACATTACCTCTGTGAAGTCCAGGAGCATTCCGGTGGTCGGGTCTCGAACCACAGACAGACCGGAGTGAAGAGGAGCAGCGGCACAGTTAAAAAGTGAGTCCACATTAACGTCCCTCTTTGAAAGTCTGAAGACATCAACAAGAGGAGATTCATTTGATGGTCAGAAGCTTCAGTATATAAGCGAAAGTTTAATATGCACTGGATAGTTTGTAAGATATCATTAAATGGCCGTATGTATTAATCTGTAGTAAAAAGCCATATCATTTTAAAAAGAGAGTAACATATTGAAAACATACTTAAGAAACTTTTGGAAGCAGAAGTCTGTGTCGTGGATGGGCAGCCAGGCAGGGTCACGTAAGAACTGCTTCTCTACTTCCTTCTCTAAGGTCAGATTCGTGGGAGGCAGACCGTGGGGAAGCTGCGTTTGGTGAAAAGCAGCATTAGAGGTGTACATTCATATCTCAACAAGCAGCAGATTGCAGTGATGTGGACGGACCGTGGTGAGAGGGGGTAACGGCAGCCCCGGTGTGGGGTGTGTGATCAGCTCAAAGCTTCCAGAGCAGCCCATCTCCAACAGGGACATGGGCAGGTCCAGGGGGCTCAGCGGGGGCACTTCTGCAGGGAGGGGGGCAACAGAAGGATTACCAAAACAAATGTCTTTATTGTCAATAAGCTAGTACTTTTGTTCATTGACACCTCTACACTGTGTTGTAGAGGTGTCATGTAACTAAGTAGAAGTTTATTTTTTTTAATTTATGTATTGTACTTAAGTCGTTTTCATCCTGAGATCTGTACCTTACTTCTTATTTTCTAGTTAGTTTCTTTGCAGATGACGCTATATTAGTGAATAATATGTGTTAAAATTAACATATTAATGCTCGCTTGCCCACAGGGATGTGTAAGAAGAACACATTACCCCTGTGCTGGCCTCACTTCATTGGCTCGCTGGTTTCACTTTCAGGGTTGATTTTAAGATTGAGATTCAGTTTATTTTCCATTTGTAAAAGTTGTGCAAATGTACCACAATGTGCAACAGAAGTACATAAAATCAAACAAGCTCAAAAGTTCAAGAAGCCTTAAACAATAATCTGTAAAACCTATCTTTAAATGGTGTCAGTGAGGTGAGCTGCTCCCAAACTGTGTAGTAGTCGACCGCTGTTCATTATAGGGTTCCTTCATTTGAAGATTTTTAAATTTAGTCTAAAAAACATTTGTGCCTTGGACTTTGTTCATGTATTTCCATCTACTTTCCTTTTTACTTTCACAGTTTTCTTTTGTGCATTTTAGATACTTTTGGAATCAGGTGTTGTTGTAACTGTGCTATGCATATAAATATGAAACTGACATTGACAATTAATTGTGGTAAGCCATGCTTCTAGATGAATTGTTTCAATGTGGTTAGACATGCTTCGAAGTTAAGATAGATAACAGCTTTGCCAGTATAAAACTCTTCGACCAATAAAAACAACTATGTTGCACAGGTAACTTAAAAAGTATCATTGCTTTTATCTTTACTTAAGTACACAGCACAGTTTGCACTTCTTTACTTTTATCTAGGTTAACAGAGTAAACGGATGAAGTCACCTCTGCCATTTTATCATTATTGATTTAGATTATAATTACTTTATTGTAACTAAGCAAGTATTGCATCCCTCTTTGTAAACACAAGTTTCCCTACATTGACTTCCTACAAATACAAAGTAATCAATTAATTACACATTATAAACACATATACTGAGCAAGTGAAACCAAAGCGAGCTACATTTATAACATATATTGTGATGGACATGTGGACAGGAGGTTGGCCACTCGCGCATGCGCCTCATAATGAACAACAACAACCTGCAGTGACTGTAAATTATGAATCAGGTTTTCATTCTAAGGAGTGTTTTTAGATATAAAGTCACACTTACTGGTTCTGTCCATGTCCAGCTCTGATAAATGAAACCTAAAGTTTCTGCCGTCGCGCCGGAAGTTACTGGGCGGAAGTAGATGTTTTTGTTTTTAATTATTACAGTCTGTGGTTTGAAGACAACAAATAAATGAAATCACATCAAACCTAAACCCCTTTAAAAATGATAGAGGTCATTAAAAAAAAGTAAATTACAGAAAAACTCTGTGATAGAAAAAAAAATAAACCAAAGACGCTCTATGACGTCACTGCTTCTTTGACGTCATATCTCTGCGACGTTGTTTGTGTTGTGCTTCAGCTTTGGGTAAGAAATATTCGAATTTTGCTAAATTTCTCTGATAATTCTGCATAAATTATGACTTAACCAGTCGAGCATGGCTGTGGTTAACGATCGTAGTAATGTAATATTTTTTCAAGTTTGTTTCAAAGTCACAAAAACCCAATCGTCAACAAAGAGTCGGTATCGTTAATTGCTCTTGTCCTTTTATAGCAAGAGAACTACTTGTCTCCAGCAGAATCAGAATCATTTAAATCTATTTAACCGGTGCTATTCTGTCTTTCAGGCGTCTTGGTAACACTGTTGTGGGTAAGATGGTGTCATTCCCAAGTTCTCTCACTGATGAAGAAGAGGCGCTGCAAAAGAAATATGCTAAACTCAAGAAAAAGGTAACTATAGCGATGCACTACTGCACTTAAAACCAATCTAACTGTATAAATTTCAAACTACAGAAATGTACTTTGTAATGAATAGTTCTCAAAACAGTTTGGGTCTTTCACTAGTGTTCAGAAGAATGCATGTTTGGGCTTTGTCTCAGCCGTCAGCTGTCTGCCCAAAGTTTACAACTGTTACTTCTAGGGCCTTTCTTCCATGTTTGCAAAATGTTAAATGTATCATAGAGATAAAGATAGCATGTATTGGTTTGACATTTTACTTTTACAAAACCCTTTCTGTGGGGTATAAATGTATTATTTATTAGAAAGTTCATCAGCTTAAATGCTCTATGTAATTGTATGTTTGTTATATATGTCATGTATGTAATCTATGTTGGATCAATTTCTTTATAGAAAAAGGCACTGGTTGCTTTGAAGAAACAGAGTTCTACCAACCAGACCAACCAGAGTGGACTCAAACGAAGTACGAATATTTGTTTATTTCCTGTTGTGTTGTTATCTTTGCATTTTTGTGATTAAATGTTTTTCCCCACAGCTTTATCGGACCAGCCTGTGGTTGACACGGCAACAGCAACTGAGCAGGCGAAGATGCTTATCAAATCTGGAGCCATCAGTGCTATCAAATCTGAGAACAAGAACTCTGGATTCAAAAGGTCACGGATGTTGGAGATCAAACTTAAGGTGATATACATTTATTAAAACAAAATCGCACACACAGCCTGTTGTGAATTATTATATATTGAGAGACATAAGTAAACATTTTAATTGCTTATGTGTGTCTTTGAAGCCTTACTGCTAGGTTTGTACATCATATAAATTCATGTGACATTTTCTTCTTCTCTGGAATGGTTTAGGATCCTGAAAAAGGCCCAGCTCCGGCCTTCTTACCTTTTCAGAGGAGCGTCTCAACGGACGACGAGCCACCAGACGTAATGCAAAACTTATTCTTAATGATTATATAACAAATGTAGAACACGGCGGCTTGAAATTGAACTAATAAAATGACTGCTCTAATGTAATTGTGTCTTGTTTTTTAGTCTAAGAGGGCCCAGAGGAAGTCACTCTACGAAAGGTAAAGCCATGAAGTCTTTTGAAATCTATTAAAAAGGCATAGAAATGATGTCTCTCTATGCTTTGATTAATCACACTGGACTTTGATCCTTTCAGAGCTGTTTCTTTAAGAGCCGCAAATTTGAGAACATTTAATTTATTACTCATTTTACTCTTTGTCAGTTTCGTCAGCTCCAATGACCGTTACCGTGGCGATGATGACGACGGAGGCGGAATGTCCTCCGGCCGGGACATGGACCGGGATCAGGATCGTGAGAGAGACCGGGAACGAGAACGAGATCGGGATCGGGAGCTGGGAGGGCGAGATTTTGAGCGTGAGCGAGAGCGAGGGCGGGACAGAGACCGTGAACGTGAGAGAGGACGAGAGAGAAGCCAAGAACGAAGCCGCGACCGGAGCCGAGACAGAAGCAGAGACAGGAGCGGGGACCAGAGCAGGGACCGGAGCAGGGACCGGAGCAGGGACCACAGCAGGGACCGCAGCAGGGACCGGAGCAGGGACCGGAGCCGAGACCGGAGCCGAGACCAAAGTCGGGACAGAAGTCGGGACCGGAGCAGAGACCGGGACCACGACCGCGAGAGAGACCGCGAGAGAGACCGCGACGGGCCCTTCAGACGTGAGGGATTTTATTTTTTAGTTGAAGCAGGTATTCACGCTTCTAAGGTTTTAAGTTCCCTAGGTACATAAAAGTGTCCTTCTTGATACCTGCTGGTAAATTGGTAAATAGAGGACACCAGGACCCAATTACGAAAATAATATACATCACTGGGGCTGTTTCAATCCCTCATTTTGATGAACAATAATGTATTGCGATAAACGATAACATTGAAACTACTTTTATACCACTGATATATGTACCATACCACATAATATTCCCAGTAATCCCTCTTTTCCATTAGTCTATTTCATTAGAAAGGATGCACTAAGAATTAAGTTGTATTGAATCTTCTACAAAGAAAAAAGCAAAAATCTCTCCACTTTTGCTTTGAAGATCTGCATTTGGGCCCAAACAGTTGCTTTGATCATGAAGTATTGGCCGCTGAATCAATTGACTCTGAATACTGAATATGTATTATAGATTTATTAAGTATAGGTTTCTTTGCACTAGAGCAAACTCCAAACTAGTTTTATTAGAGCAGCTATGTGGATGACTCAATGTGTGGCTTTGTTTTCAGGCTCGGACTCGTACCCGGAGCGCAGAGGCGTGCGGAAGGGGAACACGGTCTACGTTTATGGATCCGGACTCACGGAGGACAGTCTGCGCACGGCCTTTTCTCTGCACGGAACCATCATCGACCTTTCTATGGACAACCCTCGCAAGTGCGTAATGCAGCAGTGTCATGAGTGTGGCTGCAGGTTTTCATTCCAACCAAGCAGGAGCACACACCAGACTCCTCCTATTTCCTCAGGGCTTCATGTTAACACTGGACTCACTTGAGGAAATGGGAGGAGTCTGGTCAACGCTTCACATTTGCTTTGAGTTCAATAATCGAGCGATAACTGTTTGGTTTTTGTCTTTGCAGCTGTGCGTTTATCACATTTGAGAAGATAGAGTCTGCAGATCAGGCCATAGCAGAGGTGAGGCTACATACTTTATCTATATTACTGACAATAAATCTTGTTTGTTTTGCACTTTGTCACTATACATTTGTTCTTTTATGTTTAGTTTTTGTATTAATTAGATTTTCCCCATTTTTGGAAAATAGTGGAAAATAGATGATTTCACCCCCCGCCCCCCCGCCCCCCCCCACCGACCCAGAAATGGACTAATAAACGGGTTGAAAATGAATGAATGAACAAAAAACACATGCAAGACATTCAGTTCAGTCAGTCATCTCCTGAGTGATGATATTATTGACAAGGAATCAAAACTAGGAGCAGGTTAAAAACGTATTGCATCCTAATCCTCTGAAATGATCTATTATTTAGCCCTCAAAGTCCCTCAAAGGTTCCAGGCCCCAGAGAGAGAGGAGCTAATGTACAAGTTTTTAGTGACAGAGAAAACCAGAGCACCCAGAAGAAAGAAAGACACGAGGAGAACATGCAAACTCCACTCAGAAAGTCCCTATCTGGAGGTGGACTCAAACCTAGGATCTTCTTGCTGAGAAGCGAGAGTGCGGTGGCTGAGTGGTTAGCACCCAGAAGGTCTTGGGTTTGAATCCTGACTCGGAACAGCCCCTTTCTGGGTGGAGTTTGCATGTTCTCCCCGTGTGTGTAGGTTTCCTCCAGGTGCTCCGGTTTGCCCTACCACTAAAAACATGCACAATAGGTCTGAGTGTAATGAGTGAATGAATGGAGAGTGTTTGGTCGGAGGCTTTGATGGACCAGTGCGTTCGGGTCTCGCTTCTGTCATCACCGTGTGGAGAATGGAACAATATATTATTTCTGAACATTGTAAAGTGCTTTGGATAACCTTGGTCTGTAAAAATGGGCTTTATAAGTAAAGATTAAATACTTACTTTGCCGCTGGGAGGCTAATGTATATATTTACATGATAATTCTGCATATTTCTGGCTTGGTTTAAAGGCACTCTGCCCTTTTGAAGAGTGAGTTGAATACCCTTTACTGATGGGGATCTGTTCGTATGTGAGGGGACAGTAGCTCAGTTGGTAGAGCATTGGCCTTTGACCCTGACGGTTGTGGGTTCGAGCCTCACCGCAAGACATTCTCCACCAACTCCCACTGATGTCTGCTGTCACTGTGTCCTTAAGCAAGACATTTCACCCCCATTTGCCTAGAATGAGTCTGGTGTGTGTGTGAATGGTTGGTAATAACATGGTTGTCCAAAAAAGCGCTATATAAAAACCCATGCATTTTTATACCAAATATTAAAAGTAATCCCAGTCTGTTGCTGTTTTGCGGCGTCTCAGTTGAACGGCAGCACAGTGGGAGAAGTGAACATCAAAGTGAGCATTGCCAGGAAGCAGCCCATGTTGGACGCAGCCACCGGGAAGTCGGTCTGGGCTTCTCTGGGTAAAATACACTTATTATTGTTAGTCAGAGCTGGATCCGACTCCAGTCTCTGAGGAAAGTCCTGTGTTTTGATCTTAACGTCTGATTCTCTGTCACAGCGGTTCAGAACAGCACAAAGGGCTCATACAGAGACAAGAGGAACCAAGTGGTCTACAGCGAAGACATTTTTTGAGTTTGTCATCTTGATAAGATTTGTGTCTTCATTCCATGTTTTTTTATTGTCACAGAATAAATCCTTAGTTTCCTCGACTGGTGTTTTTCTGATTTCCTCCAGAGACAGTTCATGGCTTGAATTAAACTCTTAAAGGAGCAGTTTGTAAACATGTGGCCAAAAGTGGTACTGCAGCCTCCCCCACTCTCCCTGACTCAGGTTGCCAGATATGCAGACGAATCCAGCTGGGACCATAACAGCTGAATAGACAAGAGTTTTGTCAACAACAAATCTATAACCAACACCTTTTTCACAAAGATAGAAATCCTGGTTTTATTCCTTGTTTTGTCGTTAATGATTTGAGAATCATAACGAGACCTTTTTTAGTTCTGCGCCACATGATACTTTACCAGTGAGATTAGCTCCACGCGGTGAGTTCTGGCGCCCGGATCACAGACTTTCTGATTGGTGAAACGGTGGAGGGCGGGACATCGAAATGAAAACAATAACAAGATTAAGAGGCTGGAAAAGTAATTTAGAAATTCAAATATCTCTGAACTACTTTTATCAGTTAAAGAAGAATTGGAAAAGGGCAGTTTATTATTATGACAGATTTGGGCCCTTTAATGATGACAGATTAGGGCCCTTTAATGATGACAGATTAGGGCCCTTTAATGATGACAGATCATGGCCCTTTAATGATGACAGATCAGGGCCCTTTAATGATGACAGATAAGGGCCCTTTAATGATGACAGATCAGGGCCCTTTAATGATGACAGATCAGGGCCCTTTAATGATGACAGATCAGGGCCCTTTAATGACTCGACATGAAAATGCTTATTGCTACTTAAAATATACGATAGAAGAAAATCACACAATAAATGCCGTACTTGATTATATTTTAATAAAATGTGCTTTTTTCTACAACAGTATTAAATTCACACAAGACAATACTTTGACATTATTTTTTGGAGTAATTATGAAAACATTTCCCCTGACATTTTGTTGCCAAATCGTCTAAAGCAGCGACCTCCAACCTCCATAATGTCACGGACCGGTTTAACATCAGACTGTCATTTCTAGATTTCAGCGCCATCGTGTCACTCGACCGATATGTGGGTTATAAAAACAGCAATAATCAGTCATTTGATCATTCCTTGCGGCCCGGCTCCAAATGACCCACGGCCTGGTGCCAGTCCGCGGACCAGGGGTTGGGAAGCGCACGCCGAAAGAACAAGAAGCTGCACTCGGCTCACTGCTGGTAATCATTTGGAGATTTCTACGCTGACTAAACTCTGATGTTGATTTGTTCTGTTGAAATTGGAACGCAGGGGAAAAGACACATGTATGTAAACAACAGAATGAGGAATAAGAAAAGCATCAATAGATAAAATAAATTAAGATAAGGCCACTATGCAGCATTCTCACAGTTTTTTTCCACACTTCCCTTGAACCTCTCAGTTCTGTACCTTTGGAGAATTACACAAAGGGTTAATATTTTTGGACACAGCACAAGAATTACTAAACCGTTTTTAGGCTTGAGTTTCAAACACAAAATCTTATTGGATAAAGTGAACTGGTCCCATTCTGCAGCCAAACCAGTCATAAACTTTAGGTTAAAAAGAATCTCATTTTTAAACAATTAAAGGCAATTTTAAAATGAATGGTGTTCAGAGATACAAGTGGACAGCTGAACCTCCAAACGTCTGTGGGTCATTGTTAGTTTGTAGAACAGGATAATAATGTGGAAGATAAAAGCAGGGCACGGATGCATTATGAAAGCAGGAAACTAACGTCCCAGAATGAGTCTATCATGTCACAAACACTATCAATGAAGTTACAATTAAAAAGGAAAAATGCAGCATCTTCAGAAAGTTTTGATAATTTAACTATTTTGAATTCAACAGTTCTCAAAAACGAGACGTTGTAGAGACTCGGTCACTGTCACCACATCATCACGGTCCTACAGAGGATTCAAACAAGTTACAGTTAACATCAGAACCTTTGTCACAGTGACTCAGGTCAGCGCGACTCTTGGAAAGGTTCTGGTGTTAACATTGGTTTCCTTTTTCCCTTTTTCTCTGCATCTAAACAGACTTCTGCTCAGCTGAGGTGTCAAAAACAAACTGAACTGTGGAACGGAAAGATGAGATCATTTTGACGTGACAGCTCCAGGTGCGAGAACAAAGAGCTTGCGTCTTATGGAGTATGAAAAGGCCTTTGGATCCTAACAGCCTGACACAGATATCTGTTTGCATCTCTGAGCACCATGAGAGTAGCATTAATAACAGCTGAGAACCACTAGTGCTGCTCGATGCCCTGCTGCGCCTCCCTCCTCTCCCTCTCCTGCTGCTCCAGTGAATTCTGCCCTGTGGTTTTGCCGTGCTGCTCCTTCAGGTGGCGCCGTAGTGCCGGCTTGTGGGCGAAGCAGGCGTGGCAGTAGGCGCAGCGGTGAGGCTTCTCTCCGCTGTGCAGATTCATGTGATCGATCAGAGTGGACTTCTGTGTGAAGCTCTTGCAGCACAGAGGGCAGGGGTGGGACTTGCCGCCGGCCCGGTGCACCGACATGTGGCGGCTCAGGTTTGTCGCGTGGTGAAACTTTTTGCCGCAGCAGGGGCAGGTGTAGGGCATGTGCGACGTGCGGCAATGCAGGGCCAGGATGTTGGCACTCTGGAACGCTAGCCCGCAGAAGTCACATATAACTGGACCAGGACCACTGCTGGAAGTGGATCCCACCACCGCCACAGACTCGTCCCCTCCTCCTCTTCCTCCTGCTTCCTGCCCCTCTAACCCAGAGCCTCCTTCTGCGCTGTCGTCTCCTGCGAGCTGTGCGGCCTGCTTGTCTCCCTCTCCTTGGCTGTAATCCACCTGTGGAAGTTCGACAGAGATGTAGCTCCCTGGTTTGAGGGTGTCCTGGTTGTATGCGGAGCCCAGTGCCAGACTAACCCCGGACAACCACATGTCCTGCGGATGGGCGACTCCCATAAGTCTCTTCTCTTCAGAAAAAGCCCACTTCTTCCTCTTAAAGCCTCTGCTCTTACTCTGCCTGAAGTCGCTCAGTCGGTGCCTGAATGCGAATCGTAAATTCTCCACAGAATCTTGGCTGCCTCCCGGCTGCTCCTCTGAGGGACGGAGCTCGTAGTTGCCTCCCTCACCGATCATCATCTCCTCTCGTTTGGTCATCGCACCGAGAGACATTCCAGACTGAGTGTCAGTCTTCACTGCGTCTTTGTGATTCCTTTCCTCTTCAGAGATGTACAATCTGTAGACCTCACTGTCCTCCTGTCTGACAGCCGCCTCCTCGTCAGATTCATTCACCTGCAGAGACAGAAGTCATATCAAAGATAACCATAGAGCAAGAGGATTCATGGTTTTACACTGGTCCAGACCAGAGCAGAGAGGATTCATGGTTTTACACTGGTCCAGACCAGAGCAGAGAGGATTCATGGTTTTACACTGGTCCAGACCAGAGCAGAGAGGATTCATGGTTTTACACTGGTCCAGACCAGAGCAGAGAGGATTTATGGTCCAAACCAAGTGGCTACTCCACCTCTGCTGCTGTGACCTGAGGCTGTTGCTGATTATTGTTATTGTTAGCTTTTTAGAATGATCAATTTAAATTTTTATTTTTGCTGCTACTAAACACCTGAATGTCTCCTACGAGGATCAATATAGTACCTACCTATCCATCTATCTATCCATAAGCATGTATCAAAGATAACCATAGACATGTTGTGAATGCTGAGTACCTGTGGGTTTCAACACAGAAATGTAATATTGTGGAAAATGAAAAGGAAAGATCAGGAAGCAGAACCGTGTGTTTGTGTTTGTCCCCAGGCTCTGACCTCGATACAGGCGTTGTCCACTGGGCTCTCACTCTGGAACTGAGCGCTGCCGTGAGCTGATTGGCTGTCGTCGTAAACTTCGGGGGTCAGAGGTCGTTTGGGGGAGGGTCCGACCGGGAGTGAATGCACACTTCCACTGACGATGACGGGACTCTCCTGACCCTCCTCTTCCTCCAGCTACAACCAGAGGAAGGACTTTACTGTAACTGTCACGGTTCAGACGAGGAGATAATGTTGTAACGAGATTTAAAAGAGGTGTCCTTTAAAGGAGCAGTTTGTAAAAATGTGGCCAAAAGTGGTACTGCAGCCTCTCCCACTCTCCCTGACTCAGGTTGCCAGATATGCAGACGAATCCAGCTGGGACCATAACAGCTGAATAGACAAGAGTTTTGTCAACAACAAATCTATAACCAACACCTTTTTCACAAAGATAGAAATCCTGGTTTTATGGGGGCAACAGTGGCTCAGTTGGTAGAGCATTGGCCTTCGGGCTGTCGCCGTGCCCTTGGGCAAGACACCTAATCCCACTTTGCCTGAAGCCCCCGCTGAAAGATCAAGGCTCCTGTGGACTCAGCACCTGCAGGAGGCCGACCCAGAAATGGATTAAGGGGAAGAAAATGGATGGATAGAAATCCCGGTTTTATTCCTTGTTTTGTCGTTAATGATTTGAGAATCATAACGAGACCTTTTTTAGTTCTGCGCCACATGGTACTTTACCAGTGAGAGTAGCTCCACGCGGTGAGTTCTGACGCCCGGATCACAGACTTTCTGATTGTTGAAACGGTGGAGGGCGGGACATCGAAATGAAAACAATAACAAGCTTTAGGGGCTGGAAAAGTAATTTAGAAATTCAAATATCTCTGAACTACTTTTATCAGTTAAAGAAGGATTGGAAAACTTGCTAAGAAGTACAGATGATGGGTGCGAAACCTTCCTTTGCTTTGACCAGTGTTGTGTCAGTTCACAGATTTTCTGAACTAGTTCAAGTTCAGTTCATACATGCTCAAAGTGAACAGTTCACATTCAAAGTTCACATTTTTAATTCTGAACTAGTTCAAAGTTCAGTTCATTTGACTTTTCTCGTGAGATACTTAAATACATATTTTTTTCACACTACGAGAGATTTATATATATATATATATATATATATATATATATCTCCTGTACACCCACAGGAGGAGAGCCTTTTGACCACAAAACAGACCAGATTTACATGGTTTTCAATGGGAGCCAAACAGAGTTGCCCCATCTCTGCTCATAAACTACAGACAGTAATGTGCTGCAGTGCTGTGTCTGTACTTTATGCTCATAAACTACAGACAGTAATGTGCTGCAGTGCTGTGTCTGTACTTTATGCTCATAAACTACAGACAGTAATGCGCTGCAGTGCGTGTGTCTATACTTTATGCTCATAAACTACAGACAGTAATGTGCTGCAGTGCTGTGTCTATACTTTATGCTCATAAACTACAGACAGTAATGTGCTGCAGTGCTGTGTCTGTACTTTATGCTCATAAACTACAGACAGTAATGCGCTGCAGTGCTGTGTCTATACTTTATGCTCATAAACTACAGACAGTAATGCGCTGCAGTGCTGTGTCTATACTTTATGCTCATAAACTACAGACAGTAATGCGCTGCAGTGCTGTGTCTGTACTTTATGCTCATAAACTACAGACAGTAATGCGCTGCAGTGCTGTGTCTATACTTTATGCTCATAAACTACAGACAGTAATGTGCTGCAGTGCTGTGTCTGTACTTTATGCTCATAAACTACAGACAGTAATGCGCTGCAGTGCTGTGTCTGTACTTTATGCTCATAAAACTACAGACAGTAATGCGCTGCAGTGCTGTGTCTGTACTTTATGCTCATAAACTACAGACAGTAATGCGCTGCAGTGCTGTGTCTATACTTTATGCTCATAAACTACAGACAGTAATGTGCTGCAGTGCTGTGTCTGTACTTTATGCTCATAAACTACAGACAGTAATGCGCTGCAGTGCTGTGTCTATACTTTATGCTCATAAACTACAGACAGTAATGCGCTGCAGTGCTGTGTCTATACTTTATGCTCATAAACTACAGACAGTAATGTGCTGCAGAGCTGTGTCTATACTTTATGCTCATAAACTACAGACAGTAATGCGCTGCAGTGCTGTGTCTATACTTTATGCTCATAAACTACAGACAGTAATGCGCTGCAGTGCTGTGTCTATACTTTATGCTCATAAACTACAGACAGTAATGTGCTGCAGTGCTGTGTCTATACTTTATGCTCATAAACTACAGACAGTAATGTGCTGCAGTGCTGTGTCTATACTTTATGCTCATAAACTACAGACAGTAATGCGCTGCAGTGCTGTGTCTATACTTTATGCTCATAAACTACAGACAGTAATGTGCTGCAGTGCTGTGTCTATACTTTATGCTCATAAACTACAGACAGTAATGTGCTGCAGTGCTGTGTCTATACTTTATGCTCATAAACTACAGACAGTAATGCGCTGCAGTGCTGTGTCTATACTTTATGCTCATAAACTACAGACAGTAATGTGCTGCAGTGCTGTGTCTATACTTTATGCTCATAAACTACAGACAGTAATGCGCTGCAGTGCTGTGTCTATACTTTATGCTCATAAACTACAGACAGTAATGTGCTGCAGTGCTGTGTCTATACTTTATGCTCATAAACTACAGACAGTAATGTGCTGCAGTGCTGTGTCTATACTTTATGCTCATAAACTACAGACAGTAATGCGCTGCAGTGCTGTGTCTGTACTTTATGTTCATAAACTACAGACAGTAATGTGCTGCAGTGCTGTGTCTATACTTTATGCTCATAAACTACAGACAGTAATGCGCTGCAGTGCTGTGTCTGTACTTTATGTTCATAAACTACAGATAGTAATGCGCTGCAGAGCTGTGTCTATACTTTATGTTCATAAACTACAGACAGTAATGCGCTGCAGAGCTGTGTCTATACTTTATGCTCATAAACTACAGACAGTAATGCGCTGCAGTGCTGTGTCTATACTTTATGTCAAATGTAAACGGTGTAAACTTTGTCGCTAACTCACCCTGTGTTTTCATCACGACTCGGGCACATGTGAAAAGCACCAGCTCACAGCGCCGCACCGGCTGGCTCAACACGGAGTCGGGGTGCGTTCACAGACGGTGGAAACCGTAGGAATTTTTAGATTTCGGCGGAAAAAGTGCGAGAATACAGGAGGGAGGAACTTTCTCTCGTTGCGTTTCAAAAGAGAAAACAGATTACAACGTTTATAGTGATGTCTGCCGTTCATGACACATAAAATGAACTAATTCACGTTCAAGTTCTGTTTTTAAAAATGTGTTGCGTTCAGTTCAACGTTCACCAAAAAATGAGCGCGTTCAATGAACGCGTTCTTTTGAACTCGTTCACGCACAACACTGGCTTTGACTAATCCCTGTACGACTGAGGGCTTACACAAACTTATTGGAAAAGAACATGTTTTATTGATGCCTTTGGACAGATTAGGGCCCTTTAATGATGACAGATTAGGGCCCTTTAATGATGACAGATTAGGGCCCTTTAATGATGACAGATTAGGGCCCTTTAATGATGACTCGACAGGAAAATCTCACATATTAGTCCCTTACAGCGGCCCCTCAGAGTGAGTGTCAGACCTACCCCCAGAGAGCTGAGGTTGTTGAGTTGGATGTACTTCTTCAGGGCTCCTCGGCAGCGCTCCACGATGTGCTCCATCTGCAGGTAACTGGCGGCGGTCAGATAGTTCACGATCTCTTTGGAGTTGAACTGCAGGACTCCAGTGTAACAGGACAGAAGCAGGTCCACCACCACCGACGAGCTGTACAGCATGGACACCTGCACAACACAACGTGAACTTTATTCATCATAAAAATAATCATAATCATAATGCATCAGTTTTATAGACGCTCAAAGACACTTCTCATGTCATTATTCATTCACAAACTACTGCTATAGCCACGACTGCCCTGGGGCACACTGACAGATGCGAGGCAACCTGTCTGCATGGACACTTGCACAACACAACGTACACTTTCATAATAATAATGATAATAATAATGATAATTCATTCATTTTCCCCCCCTTAGTCCAAAACTGGGTTGGGGGGTGACAATCAGACCTGCACCCAAGGCTCACAGCACCAGTCCCTCTGATCCTCTGCAGGGGGTGGCTGCTGCATCAGTGGTGAGTGACACAGCCTTGGTGTTTCAGCGGGAGCTTCAGGCAATCGGGGGTTCAGTGTCTTGCCCAAGGACACAACGACAGCAGACATTAGTGGGAGTAGTTGGGCTAGAACCCACGACCTTCCAGCCCAAAGGCCAATGCTATACCAACTGAGCTACTGTCGCCCCAAATAATGAAAATAATGATAATAATAATAATAATAAATCGGTTTTATACAGAGCTTTTTTGGACGCTCAAAGACGCTTCAACTGTCATTATTCATTCACTAATTCATTCATAAACTTCTACGGAAGCCACAGCTGCCCTGGGGCACACTGACAGAAGCGAGGCAACCAGTCTGTGCCATCGGCCCCTCCCACCACCACCAACCATTCACGCACACACCAGACTCATTCTAATGTGGGAGAAGTGTCTTGCCTAAGGACACAACAGCAGTTTGGCACTTTACACCCGCCCCACTGTGGCACCTGGTTTTCCCAGAGGTTAAGTGTCTTGTCCAAGGACACAACGACAGCAGACATCAGTGGGAGTTGGTGGAGAAAGTCTTGTAAGTCTTGTGGTGGACTCGAACCCACGACCTTCAGGCTCAAAGGCCAATACCACCTGATCCACTGTCGCTCCTTTACCGTTCTGTGTCTGCAGTTCTGGGTGTGGCAGCTTTGTGTGATTTAATAATTTAGCCTTGTTTCTGGTGAAAACAAGGCTAAATTATAAGCTCTAGCTAGAGCTGATGACATGATGTTTGTCTGCAAGAAGGTCCTGGGTCAGATCCCCAGGCCAGACAGGGCCTCCTGTATGAGGAGTTTGCATGTTCTCCTCATGTCTGTGTCGGTTAAAAATATGGCCACCCGCGGCTGCTCCACCTCTGCTGCTGTGACCCTGTGCTGTTTTAATACTATTGTTAGATACTTTTAAAATTATCTTTTTATCTGTTCTGCTCCTGGACACCTGAATATCTCCAACAGGATCAATAAAGTACTGTATCCATCTTTCTAGCTAAAGCTCAGAATGAAACTTGGAAAATATTAAGCTGAAAAAGAATATAATAAACTCGCCTGTGTTTGGTGAAAAGTAAAGTTGAACTTGACATAAGAAACTTTCAGACTTTCACATTTTAAATGTGTTTTTTGGGATTAAAACAGCTCCAGCTCTACTGCCTCAATGTGCTTTCCATCTCCTCTTTCCTCTACAGGGAAAACGATCTTTCCTCCAGAAACAGAGCAGACTTTGAAGTGGGCGAGACTTCACAGTTCTTTATAGAATGTGTTGTTGCTGTTGACGGGAAGCTCTTATTTACAATGAGTGTGGAGCGAGAAAGAGGGCAGCAGTTAATGATAAGAAAAACTGAATGAGCTACACTTTATCATATCATTGCTACAATTGAATACAACCAGGGCTGGACTGGGACCTAAAACGGCCTGGGCATTTTTGCCTCCTTGACGGCCTTTTTTTTAACTGTTATTTATGCCCCCTGGACTGCCACCTTAACGTGGTGGGGGAGTTTGAGTACTCTGATGATCCTGGGAGCTAGTATGCTGTCTGGGGCTTCATGCCCCTGGTAGGGTCTCCCATGGCAGACAGGTCTCGAGTGACCAGTCAGACAAAGCGCAGTTCGAAGCCAACCATGGACAGCACGAAAAGAAAAACCGTGACATCGCCCGGCATGGCTCAGCCGGGGCCCACCCTGGAGCCAGGCCTGGGGTTGGGGCTCAAAGGCGCACCTCCGGGAGAGCTTCTCTCAGATCCCGGCGGAGGAGGGGGATATTGAGTCTGAGTGGACCATGTTCTCTTCCTCTATCGCTGATGCGGCGGCCCGTAGCTGTGGTCGCAAGGTCTCTGGTGCTGGTCCCGGCGGCAACTCCCGAACCCGGTGGTGGACACCGGCAGTAAGGGATGCCGTCAGGCTGAAGGAGTCCTATCGAGCCATGATGGTTCGTGGGACTCCTGAGGCAGCTGTCCAGTACCGGCAGGCCAAGGGCGCCGCGGCCCGGGCTGTTAAGGACTGGGAGGAGTTCGGAGAGTCCATGGAGCATGACTATCGGTCGGCCTCGAAGAGATTCTGGCAAACTGTCCGGTGCCTCAGGAGGGGGAAGCAGGTCTTCCATTTCCATCTCCCTGGCTGAGGTCACCAAGGTGGTTGGCAGCCTCCATGGTGGCAAGGCTCCGGGAGTGGATGAGATCCGCCCTGACTATCTAAAGTCTCTGGATGTTGTAGGACTGTCTTGGCTGACACGTCTCTGCAACATCGCGTGGCGATCGGGGGCGGTGCCAATGGAGTGGCAGACCGGGGTGGTGGTCCCTCTCTACAAGAAGGGGGACCGGAGGGTGTGTTCCAATTATCGTGGGATCACACTCCTCAGCCTCCCCGGTAAGGTCTACTCCAAGGTACTGGAGAGGAGGCTACGGCCGATGGTCGAATCTCGGATTCAGGAGGAGCAGTGTGGTTTTCGTCCCGGTCGTGGAACACTGGACCAGCTCTATACTCTCCATCAGATACTCGAGGGTTCATGGGAGTTCGCCCAACCTGTCCACATGTGCTTTGTGGATTTGGAGAAGGCGTTCGACCGTGTTCCCCGGGGTGTCCTTTGGGGGGTTCTCCGGGAGTACTCCGGGGTCCTGTGCTGAGGCCTGCCCGGTCCCTGTATGACCGGAGCCAGAGCTGCGTGCGCATTGCCGGCAGTAAGTCAGACCTGTTCCCGGTGAATGTTGGCCTCCGACAGATGGCCCGTCCAGCCCTGAATGTAAGACGTGTTATTATGAGTATTTTTGAAAAGCAGTAATGCATCTGGGTTCCTGTGGCTCGGAGCAGACTTTAAAGCAGCTCAGTTTGTGTCTCCAAACTACATCTGAGACGTTTGAAGTAGATTTATCCGACTGCTTTGACGTGACAGGGGTGTACCTGGAGTTTGGACGCAGGGTTCAGGAGGAACTGGTCTCTGAGATAAGGAGAGCAGGCGGCGAGGACCACTTTGTGCCCTTTGAAAACCTGGTTGTCGCTGGAGACGATGGTGATGTCGCAGAAGTGCTGCCGGGACCGGAGCGAGTCCATGTGCTTCAGGGTGGAGTCCCCGTGACCGGGCAGCCGGAAACACAACGTCTCCATCTGGACACACACACAGACACTCGGGCTGAAGAACAAGGCGCAGAGAAGAGGATTACAAACACAGTGTCACCTGTTTTACAAAATTGTTGATTTGCCAAACGCTGATCAGAGAATCAAACAGTTTAAAGGAAATGCAATAATGACAAACACATAAAGCCATTGGTCCAAAAGGGGAAGAACGATGTCCATAAATGTTACTAAGAGTCCTTAACTCACTGACTGTCATTGACGTAGTTGTCTGGAGACTTCTGTCAAACTTTGACTGAGGATTACACAAGAACTAAACAAGCAAGAGACCAACATATTTCTGCAGTGAAAGCAGACAGTCCAGTCTTTCAGAATCTGGTTTCATATTTCACATAGTCATGGCTCACAATATTCTGTGGGTCTTGAAAATCAGTGAATGCATCAAAAACCGCTGGCAGTCAATGAGTTAAATGTCCTGGATCACCACTGTCCTTAGACCCTCCTGCATCGGCAAAGAACAACTCAAAAACCCAGTGGGAGAAAGTGAGAAACCTCGGGGGGCCACACTGAGGGAAGGGTCCTCTGCCTCGGAGTCTTGTCTTCAGACCCACTTCTAACTAGGAGTGTGACGATATATCGATATGGTGATATCGTGATACTTTCTCAAGCGATCGATTATCAATATGCTTTTGCCAAGTATCAATCATTTTTTATTTTTTTAAACCATAAAAAAAAAGTGTATTAATACTTAATATATGGTACATATGCATCTCGTAAGAATCTGCTTTGACCTGAACATAAAGTTCTATGACCCAGATATTGCCAAAGAAACACATCTCCATCCATCAGCTGCTGCCAACAGACCATGTGCTGTATTTGAGAGTTGTGAATTAGTTAATAACTTACACTTATAACTTTTTTGTGTTTATTCTGATTGCTTTACTAAAAGATTTCTATAAAACAGTATATTTCTGACCAATGTTTTGATAATCGTAATATCGTGATATAATCGTTATCGTGAGCTTTGTATCGTGTATCGTATCGTGAGGTACCCTGAGGTTCCCACCCGTACTTTGACCTCTGTTTGTTATAGTGTTTTATACGTTTGCTTTGATCTTATTTATATGAATGTAATGATTTTACTCTTACAATGGATTTGTTTTAATTATGTTCATATTTTAGTATATATCAGACCTGAAATTTACTAAAATCTGATGTTTTGTTTTTGTATAGCACTTTAGAAACTATATAATTGTGAAAAGTGCACTATAAAAAGTAATTTCCACTGAGTCATGTTCTTTCCAATCTGACCATTCAGATCCCCTTCTATCCTGTTTGGGCCTGAACAATTCTAATCCCCCACAAAGTTTCTTGGAAAATACCATAAACCACCCATTCTTCAAAAGTGAATATAAATTTCACAGAAGACTGAAATATCCACGATTAATTATATCCAATGGAAGTTTATTTTCGTAGTTGTGACCTACTTGAGAGACCAGTAGTTTTCCCACCAAATTCCCGTCCTAATTTAACCGGTCGTTCTGGCATCAGGACCATAACAAGAGGATTTTGTTGTCACTTCAGAAAGTGTGATAATATCTTACTGTTGTCTCGATCATTCTACAAGAGCAGCTACGTATATTTATTTTTCCTGGAATGTCTGAAAGTCCGGCTTTAGACGAGCAGATGGCAGCAAAAGGGCAAACACTGGATCTCTTTAGACGTGAGATAGTTCTCAACAAGAGAATGCATGTTATTTTTTTTAATCTGAACTTGTCATCACAGGTTATGAAAGATATGCTTCAGGATCCAGTATGTTTAATTATATACTGTGGAGAGATTCGGGCAAATTAAATAAGACAAGAAAAACAAGTGAAAGATCCAAAGCTTTAGGACACTGATGCTGCATTCGCACAGTCTGATGTTGGCTTGTGCTGTACGCCAGGGATTGAAGTACCCGAACGATATGTGACATTATGTCTTATATTTGATCTCTACTGCAGTTCCTAAAGCTGTAGTGGAAGGAGCAGAGACTTTGCAGCCATGGCATTTGTCCTGAGGGTAAAAAGTTGACAGGAGGCAGCTTACCAAGGATGCCCCGCCTTCAAACCCAACAAACACCTTCTAAACGTACAAAAAGGTGAAACTTGAAAAACAACTTAAGTATATAAAACGGCAAAGTTACCTGGAGTTCAGAGTGAAATAATTTAGTGATAAGTATAATAGAATTTTAATATATAATATAATATAATAATATAATAGATAACTATTATATATAAAATATAATAGAATACTTATGACTTTAATTAGAATTAAAGTCATAAGTATTATGTAATTAGGTATCATTATAGTAATCAATTATAGTAGTTAGTATAATAATAGAATACTTATAGGTATATTGGAGGATTTTCTACTTCCGGGTGGATGGTGCAAACCATCTCTTCTTTTGTAAAGACTAATGGTTTCTGTACATCTTCCCTGTTTTATAAACAATAAACTAAATTAAACTAAGACTATGCTCGTCAAATAAGACCAGAAAGTTTTGTTCAAGAAGTGGAGAGGGCGGTTCTTTCCTAAAATGTGGGAAAATTCTCCTACATATCTTTAATAATAATAATAAGCGTAATATTAAAATACTTTCAAACATTATTTTCTCTCAGATGTAATTTATTAACCTCTGAGACAATTTCATGATTCAGTTATAATCAAATCATAATAATCATAATAATAACAACAATAATAATAATAGTCTGTCTTTAGATATAATCTGGTCTAGAGATATTCACTGCGATACGAACCTGGGAGCAGTAAGTACAGTAATAACACTGGTACACATGAATCTTTAGGTAGTTGCATCATTGCTCCAATATCAACTAATTCCATAAGTTAAAATGAGTGCACACGTCCTTTGAAAAGCTGTAGAAAGTTAATAAGAGCATTTCCTTCTCCTTCAGTCAAACGTAACTCAGCAGAGCTACAGATGTCTGTCGTCGTGGCCTAAACTTGTCTGAACCGAGCGTCTGACCGCTAGCCTCCCCGTTAGCTTCTGCATTGACCACAAGACACAACACAAACACATCCCACGGCAGATCCACGCACAACTTACGGCTGTTTTGTCCTGAACTCGGGCCTAAGATCTATCCTGTCCCCGGGGAGAACGAAATAGCACTGGAGGACGCTAGATGCCGTCCTGAACCATGCTTCAGTCTGGCTGCTAAACCAAGGTTTGATGTTTACTTTTTGGGATCTTCTTTTGGAATGAAAGCGGAAGTGCATCCCCGAGATCACAACAGAAAGACCGATGTGTGGCTAAACTGATCTCAAGTCTGTTTTGTTCGGGTGGTGGTAAATATAGGAGCTTGAAACTGACTTCAGATCAGTGTGTCTCTGTTTATGGGCGTTGGGTCAGAGATACTTTACAAAGAGGAGATAACCAAAAACAATAACGCCGATTTTGTATTATATTTTATCGTTTTAATCTGGTTTACATACTTGCATTGTTTTACGTGTTTATAAAATGTATTTACAACGCAAAGTGGTCTATTATGTATTTAAATAATAAAATAAAAGTACTATACAAAAGCATCTCCTCACAGTCTATGGTCTCTGAAATATTTTTTCCCCAACTCAGAGTCTCTCTGTAAGTTTTAGTTAAACATTTTTACCTTTTTACCGTAACTTTAAACACTTTCAACGTTGTTTAATTTGAGTTATGTGTATTAAATTATACAACAAATAGCTTTATGTGGGAGTTTGCTATTGTTGAATTAGCTTAGTTCCTTCATCTTTCGACTTATAAAGTAGTGTGATTTTCAATACCTACAGTAGTCACTTAACAAATGTTTATTTTAGACCATAAATGATTCGTTTAAAGAATATTTTGTCAAGGAATAAGATTAGATTGATTATTTTAGCTAATTATGATGCAGTGTCGGATAGGCTACTCGGGGGAAAAAGTGACTATGGTTCAAATACGTCGCTGCTCGCTTCGGAGACATGTCTGCATCTGAGGAGACGACAAAGGTACAATTCTCACCTGTATCACGTTCAGAAACAATATGCACTTACAAGATGAATTTAAAATACCCAAGAAAATCTGTGACGCTCAAAATACACAACCATCGATAGCATTTGTCTCATTCTGGAGCTGCCTCTGCCTGTGGGTGCACTGCTGCTAAAGGCTAGCTTGTGTCATTTCTGTAGTGGTGAAATTATATTTGCGGAAATCTAACCATTTTTACATTACATATACTAGTCCATTTCCTCGTCATTAATGCTCTGGTGGCACACATTTGTTTTTTTTTTTTACAACTTAGACTAAGGGGAAAAACGTGGGTAAAACCAAGGGTGTTCATCAAGCAATGTTTTGTTAGTGTCCAAAAATGACAATACCTTTTATACAAGTCAGACTTTTTTATGCGAGGGTTTATTTTATGATCTCATTTGCATTTGTTGAGCTATAACAATGTAATACACTATTGTACGTTTAGATACTCAATATGAAAGAGTAATTTATTTTAGTGAATATCTAACAATGTATTATTGAATGATGTGTTGTCAATTCATTTATATGCATGTTGTTGTAGTTTGTTTTGCTTGAATGAAGAATTTGACCTCTATATAATCGTGGCCTTTGTCAATAGTGCATCCCGTATGAGATTGGTAGTTAGACAGTCGTTTTTTTAATCCAGTTTTAATTTTTTTTTATAGCACTTTTATTATGAAATTCAACAGGAAGTCAGGCGGAGGACAAAGTTGCCATGTCCGCTTCTTTGTAGCGACTTTAAGCTCTTCTTTTGTTATTTTTAATGATTGGTTGGCGTGGAAACCCCATTGACCTTTTGTATTGGGGTTTTGTGCTTTTGTACCTTTGTGCTTGCTTCTGAGGCCCTTTCTTATATTTGCCCTTTATCGGGCCATGGGCTGCAGGAGGGACAATTTTTTTTAGGATTGATTAATCTGCTAAAAAGTCAGTCTAATCTCAAAGCCTGATATGTTGGTTGTGGTCGGAGGGACTGATGGCACAGACTGACTGCCTTGCTTCTATCAGTTAGGGCAGCTGTGGCTACAGTAATAGTTATGGAGTGAATGAATAATGATATGTGAAGCGTCTTTGAGTGTCCAAAAAGGGATGCATAAAAACAATGTAATATTATTATTATAGTCAGAGATTTCTTCCTTAATACTTACTTCTTCATTACAGTAAAGCTAGAGATTTTATTTAATTTTATAATATAGAGTGATTGTTACTGGTCTGTAACGGCTGATGCAACACTGAAAGTTTGCCACTGTGGGATAACTTAAAGGACCACTTAATCTTAAAGGATTTTCTACTTCCGGGTGGATCATCAAGACTATTGGTCCTCCCAACTGTGTTTTTTGCCTAAAATGTGGGAAAATCCTCCCCTAGTGCTCTGTGAACTGGGTGCAGCTCTGACTGACATCCCCCGACCCAGAAATGGATTGAGGGGAAGAAAATGGATGAATGGAATGCTCCCCTAAACCTTTAACCATTATTAAAGCCCAAAGCATCAGTGACTCACAGGGATCTTTCTTCCTGGTTTGGTAGCTAGATGACGTCTGCATATTGAGGTCTTTCTGTGCTAACAAATCTATTGGGGTGAGAAGTTCGGTACCCCAGCTTTAACGTCTTGTTCGCTGGTTATTCCCTAACGAACCTGGCACCCCGGAGCTGGAGCCAGCCTCCTGCAGAAGCGCGCACGCCTCTAAACAATGCCCGATCCGCCATGGACGGCAGCCCCGGTGAAAAGGCGCAGATCGTGTCCCCCAGCGGGAGTAAGTCCGCGGTCTGGGAGTACTTCGGGTTCTGGATGATCCACGGGGTTCTGGACAAGCGGCGCGCCGTGTGCAAACTGTGCCGACATGAGATGGCTTATGTCGGGAACACTACCAACCCAGCCAGGCATCTCAGGGTCCATCACGACATCCTGACCACGGGCATCACCAGCTGCAGCACCAGCGGGGCTAAAAACAGAGACAAAGTAAGTTAGTCTGCAGGAGTGGCCCGTGCATTGGAAACATCAGAGTTTAAAATGTGCATTCTGTCAATAAAAGCTGTGGAAGAAAGTTGGAGATAGTGATCCCAGAGCAGGGGAAAGTAATGAAAGTGTTACAGCGCAGAAGTTTTTGAGCTGGGTGACCTCCTGTTCCTCTTTTGGTTTTCCTGCACAAACCCATGTCCCTGTTATTTCAGAAAAAAACTCCCTTTTTCATTGAAGCCACAAATGTACCGTTATGTAAAAGATAAAGCATGTGCACGGCATTATAACAATAAGAATACAGCATCAGTTTCGCTTTGTCACAACACCTGCTTCACATGTCACTCTTTCACTCCATACACGTGTGGATTAAGTACTACTGTAGCCACAGCTGCCCTGGGGCACACAGCAGACTCATTCTATGTAATCATCATTTACAGACTGTTGTCATCCTGCTCTTATGGACCAGTGCCTCCTATATCTTTGCTATTATTGTAATCTCTGCATTCACACGGTCTGATTCTCTTTTCTATTGTTGGCGAATGGAAAACTTTGTAAAGTCCTCCATGACGACTGTGGATGTGATTTAAGGCTAGACAAAAATAGATTGAAATGAACTGTCAAAAATGTCTTGGTTCTATTTAGATAAACAGGGAAAAGTTGCACATATTCAAAAACCAAGTATTAAAGACGGCATCTGTCTCTAAAGCTTTTCAATCTGTTTTAGATGTTTTTGTTTTTTAACTGAATACATTTTGGCGCTGCACCGTATTCGCTGCTGTGTTTCTTTGTTTATTCCAATGTGTCACAAACGTTTTGGACTCGACCCGTGTCTTTCAGCCGTGGTACGTTAATCTGCCTGGAGACGTCGTTTGGTTCATACTTTGTGAATAATCCAGTCCTTCATCGGTCAAATAAATGTGATTCAGAAAGAGTTTTTGGGCTTGTTTGATTTTCTGATTAAAACACTTAGAGCAGGGGTGTCAAACATACGGCCCGTGGGCCGGAACCGGCCCCCAAGGAGGTTTGATCAGGCCCACAGGATCATTTGAAAGTGGAAAAAATGCATAAAAGACATGGAATTAATATTTTTAATTCGCTGCAATTCATGGATTATCCGCTAAGGGGCGCACTCTTTCCATCAGAGTAGAAGACAAGCCGCATCACTGAGACAGACTGAAAACAGCAGACGGTATCAATGCGCCATCTGCTGCTTGTTACGACGTTGTTAATACCTTGGTCTCTACCTCTCCGCTACACCCTCATTAGCCAAAATGTCGTTATCCAAACGGAGAAAAGTAGATAAGGAGTGTAGAATTTTCAAAGAAAAATGGACCACGTCCTATTTATTTACAGAGATGCACGGAAAACCTTTGTGCTTGGTGTGTTTGCAACAAGTTTCGGTATTGAAGGAATATAATATTCGACGCCACTACGAGACTCATCACAGCGAAAAATATGACGGCTTGCAAGGACAACTGAGAAGAGATAAGATTAACGAATTGCTGGCGGGTCTGAGGAAACAGCAGTCAACTTTCATCAAGAGCCGAGAAGTCAGTGAAGCAGCGGTAAAAGCCAGCTACCTAATTGCTAGCGAAATAGCATTAGCATCGAAGCCGTATTCCGACGGTGACTTTGTTAAACGATGCATGATGAAGGCGGCTGAACTTGTATGTCCCGAGAAGCGACAAGCTTTTGCCAATATTAGCCTGACGAGGAATACTATAGCAGAGAGGATTTCGGAACTATCGGCAGATTTAGACAGTCAATTGAAACGAAGAGTCAAGTCATTTATGGCATTTTCCGTGGCAACTGACGAGAGCACTGACATCACAGACGTGGCCCAACTGGCCATATTTGTTTGAGGAGTTGATGTGACATTGACTGTTACTGAAGAGTTTCTTGAGTTGGTGCCAATGATGGACACCACAACAGCCGAGGACATTTTCGGCTCTGTCGCTGGCTGCTGCATTGGACAGAGTTGGAGTGGACTGGTCCCGCGCTGTCAGCCTGGCTACAGACGGCGTGCCATCCATGGTCGGAAAGAAAGCAGGTGTCGCGACAAAGTACAAGCCCTTAATGGAGGAGATCGTTTCTGGACATTTCACTGTATTTTGCACCAGGAGGCATTGTTTTGCAAGTCGCTGAAAATGGACCACGTCATGGAGGTGGTTGTTCGCACTGTAAATTTCATCCGGTCCAGAGGTCTGAACCATCGTCAGTTTGACAAACTTCTCAGCGACAGCAACATTACCCACAGCCTGCCATACCACACTGAAGTGAGATGGTTAAGCCGAGGCGCTGTGCTGAGGCATTTCTTTGATCTACGAGAGGAAATCGGACAGTTCATGGAGAAAAAAGGAAAACCGGTGTTGGAATTACAATCTCAGGAATGGCTACGGGACCTTGCATTCTTGGTTGATATTACTGAACACTTGAACAATCTGAACAAAATGTTGCAAGGCCGCAAAAAAGTTGTTACACAGTTTTCTGACAACATACATGCATTTAAGTTGAAGCTGACTTTGTGGGAGATGCAACTGGCAAATGGCAACCCTGCTCATTTCGCCTGAGAGAGATGTGTGTGTGACCAGACCTGATGCGGACATGAAACTGTACAAAGACAAAATTGCAGGACTACTGCGGGAGTTTGAGAAACGTTTTCAGGTATTTGGTGAACTTGAGACAGAATTTTCAGTTTTTCGCTCACCTTTCACAGTTAAAGCTTCTGATCTGCCGGTCGAAATTCAGCTAGAGATAATTGATTTGCAGTGTGATGCAGATTTGAAGGGCAAAATTGCCTCTGTAGGTCTGGACAGATTTTATCAGTATCTACTACCAGGGTACCCCAAATTAACAGCCCTGGCTGCTAAATTTTTTTGCATGTTTGGGACAACCTACCTTTGTGAACAAATTTTCTCAGTGATGAATATCAATAAAACAAAAATGCGTTCAAGGCTCACAAACAAGCACTTAAATGACATTCTGAAAGTGACAGCTAGTCAGGACATGACACCTGGTGTTGATGAAATTGTACAGGCCAAAAGATGCCAAGTTTCAGGAACAAATACAAGTCCAGATTAGACTAACACCTTTAAAATGCTGCTTTAGATACTGTTTGCATTGAAAGAATACAGCTCTGTGAAGATGAGTCCTTACTGTGGTGATTTAAAAAATGTGCACTTTAATGTTAGTCAGCAGCTTCAAAACAACAGTTGTGTGATGGAATTCTACTGTTCATAAAACTCCATACATTTTCAGTATGTATTGTATGTGTGTGTAAGTTTCATGTATGAAGTTTACAGATTTACAGGACAGGCAAACACTTTCTTCATTACACATTTAAAATCACTCTCCTTAGTTTGTAAGGTGTACGCAGGGATTACATTTAGATTTTATATGCGTATGTGTAAGTGGTTTAAAAATTCCTTTTTTTAAAAGTCTCATTTAATCTTAAAGTGCATTACTATATTTTTCAGTACCAATTAAAGTTTTGTGCCTTTGTACAATCAGTGGGATCAGTTGCAATGCATATTTGTGAATGATAAAAGTAAATTGCACATTTGTCTATGGAAATATGAGGTGTTTCATGAAATGTTTTGTAAAAGGATAGTTCATTAAATTTCAATATTTTCCTAATGTTCTTGTGCTTCTTTACACCAAAACAAAGGGAAGACATGATATTTTGGTTATTTATAGAAGAGTATGGTATAATTTTAATGGTCCGGCCCACTTGACATCTCCCTAGGCCGTATGTGGCCCACGATGCGAAATGAGTTTGACACGCTTGTATCCCCGGACTCTGCCAAGTTTATCTTCTCCCCTCGGTCCTGCCGTCTGTCGGAACCGCTCTGGTTAGTCACGGTGCTGTGGATGCAAGGAGAGGCAAGTTTATTGGTATGGCACAGTTCCTACACAAGGCAACTCTAAGTGCTGAACAAAACAAGATAGAAACAGTCACAGAAGGATTTAAAATCATAAATAATCACAGCCCAATTAAAAGAGTGAAGTTGTACAACTCTGGGCATCAGCAGGAGGCCAGTCCCTGTGCTCCTCAGAGTCCCAGCAGGAGGCCAGTCCCTGTGCTCCTCAGAGTCCCAGCAGGAGGCCAGTCCCTGTGCTCCTCAGAGTCTGAGCAGGAGGCCAGTCCCTGTGCTCCTCAGAGTCTGAGCAGGAGGCCAGTCCCTGTGCTCCTTAGTGTCCACATTGGTTCATATTGCACCCACAAAAACTAAATTCTCCAAGCCACAGGAAGTAAGTAATGTTTATCTATGTAGCGCATTTTACAGCCCAAAGTCTCCCAAAGCGCTTTGTTGTTCAGAGTTCAGAAATGGTTCAAGTCTTTCCCCAAACGGTGATGACGGAAACAGAAAGCTGAGGCCTGTACCGATGTGCTGTACGTCTCCATTCCATTCCCAAAGTCTTACACGAGCCCTTTAACACGCAGGATGATGGAATGCTTTTGTGGTGCGCGTGGCGTCGCAGAGAGAGGACACGGTTGGACGAGAGAATACTGGACTCGAGTTTCCCGTAAAAGTAATAAAAGTAATGTTACAGCTTCCATATGACGAGCCACAGTAACAGACGTGTGTGATGCTAGGCTAGTTTTACAGCCGCTCAATCTGGTGTGACTAATGAGTGAGCGGCGACTGCTTATTGTTGACGACTGCTTATTGTTGACGACTGCTTTTTCTCTTGATAAGAGCGAGTTTGGATTCATAGATTGTGTGCAACCTCAAGTTTTCAGGTTCAAACTCGGGCTGAGATATGTTTTCTAATGAAATGAATGATTAGAAAAAAACAATAAAAAACAAAGAATTATGAAAACAAAAACACATCAAATAAAAACAGTTTGAAGAAGTGCTAAAGGCCATCTTATTTTTTTCTTTTTTTAATTTTTTAATTTTTTATTTATTTAATTTGTACATGTATGAAGAAAGGGGCAGGCAACATAAGACTTTTTTTCTTCTTTCTGCTTTTCATTTGTGAGACAAGACGACAATTATTTGAAATGTAATTGTAATATGTGTAGTATTGTTTTTGTCTACAATTGAAACAAATAAATAAATAAATAAATAATGTGAGGAGTGTAGTATCTGTAATATGTATTAAATATCTGTTTTACTGCTCCATCACATGCAAACGCACATTTCTGACAGCCTGGATAGCAAGTGTTTTATGTGTGTGTGTGTGTGTGTGTGTGCACGAGTCATCATTTGGTAGGTACACATGTATTTCCATGTATTTTATGTGTGTGTATGTATTTTAAGTGTGTGAGTTTGTGTGTGCCTGTATTTTTTGTGTGTGTTGTCTGAATCTGTGTGTGTGTACGTGTCCTCATTTGGCAGGTAGTGTGTACATGTGTGCAATAAGTGTGTGTGTGTGTGCATATGTGTGTGGACTAAGTGTGTGTGTGTGTGCATATGTGTAGTGTGTATGCGTGTGTACATGTGTGGACTAAGTGTGTGTGTGTGTGTGCATATGTGTAGTGTGTATGCGTGTGTACATGTGTGGACTAAGTGTGTGTGTGTGTGTGTGCATATGTGTAGTGTGTATGCGTGTGTACATGTGTCGAGTAAGTGTGTGTGTGCATATGTGTAGTGTGTATGCGTGTGTACATGTGTCGAGTAAGTGTGTGTGTGCATATGTGTAGTGTGTATGCGTGTGTACATGTGTCGAGTAAGTGTGTGTGTGCATATGTGTAGTGTGTATGGGTGTGTACATGTGTGGAGTAAGTGTATGTGTGTGTGTGTAGTGTGTATACGTGTGTACATGTGTGAAGTGTGTGTGTATGTGTGTGAGTATATATGTAGTGTGTATGCGTGTGTACATGTGTGGACTAAGTGTGTGTGTGTGCATTTGTGTAGTGTGTATGCGTGTGTACATGTGTGGACTAAGTGTGTGTGTGTGTGTGTGTGTGCATATGTGTAGTGTGTATGCGTGTGTACATGTGTCAAGTAAGTGTGTGTGTGTGCATATGTGTAGTGTGTATGGGTGTGTACATGTGTGGAGTAAGTGTGTGTGTGTGTGTGTGTGTACATATGTGTAGTGTGTATGCGTGTGTACATGTGTGGACGTTGTGTGTTTGTGTGCATATGTGTAGTGTGTGCGTGTGTACATGTATGTGTGTGTGTGTGAGTCCTCATTCTGCAGGTAAGCGTGTACATGTGTGTGGGCTGGAGCCTGCCGAGGTGTTTACCTCGAGCAGAGAGCGTGACCGGGAGCACAGGCCACGCTGCCACCGGCCCACAATGCACTGGGGCGTGTGTGTTTGTTTGGGAGTGTATGGAAGGGTCATTAGATCGGAGCAGAGCAGGTGGTCACCCTCCCCCCCTGCCTCCCCCCTCCCCTCCCCCACTGCTGCACTGGGGGTCGCTCAGATCAGAGTTCATGTCCGGGAAAAGGCTGTTGGAGCGGAGCCAGAGACACGCTGCATTCCTCCAGTACAGCCGCAGAGATTATTATTATCCTCCTATAAATCTATTTAAAGCAGCTGCATGTAAGATGTTCATGTCAAGTTATCATTAAAGGGCCCTAATCTGTCTTCATTAAAGGGCCCTAATCTGTCATCATTAAAGGGCCCTAATCTGTCTTCATTAAAGGGCCCTAATCTGTCATCATTAAAGGGACCTAATCTGTCGTCATTAAAGGACCCTAATCTGTCTTCATTAAAGGGCCCTAATCTGTCATCATTAAAGGGCCCTAATCTGTCATCATTAAAGGGACCTAATCTGTCGTCATTAAAGGGCCCTAATCTGTCTTCATTAAAGGGCCCTAATCTGTCATCATTAAAGGGACCTAATCTGTCGTCATTAAAGGACCCTAATCTGTCTTCATTAAAGGGCCCTAATCTGTCATCATTAAAGGGCCCTAATCTGTCATCATTAAAGGGACCTAATCTGTCGTCATTAAAGGGCCCTAATCTGTGATCATTAAAGGGCCCTAATCTGTCTTCATTAAAGGCTCTAATCTGTCATAATTAAAGGGCCCTAATCTGTCATCATTAAAGGGCCCTAATCTGTGATCATTAAAGGGCCCTAATCTGTCATCATTAAAGGGCCTTAATCTGTCATGATAATAATATACTCTTTTCCAATCCTTCTTTAACTGATAACAGTAGTTCAGAGATATTTGATTTGATTTAATTTTTAAATTACTTTTCCAGCCTCTAAATCTTGTTATTGTTTTCATTTCGATGTCCCGCCCTCCACCGTTTCACCAATCAGAAAGTCTGTGATCCGGGCGCCAGAACTCACCGCGTGGAGCTAATCTCACTGGTAAAGTACCATGTGGCGCAGAACTAAAAAAGGTCTCGTTATGATTCTCAAATCATTAACGACAAAACAAGGAATAAAACCAGGATTTCTATCTTTGTGAAAAAGGTGTTGGTTATAGATTTGTTGTTGACTAAACTCTTGTCTATTCAGCTGTTATGGTCCCAGCTGGATTCGTCTGCATATCTGGCAACCTGAGTCAGGGAGAGTGGGAGAGGCTGCAGTACCACTTTTGGCCGAATCTCTTACATTTTTAGCCCAAAAATACATCCGTGTGATTTCTGTCTCTCAAACTTAAACAGTTTCTAGAGCTAGGGACTGGTTTCATGGACTTCTGTCGGTGACGTACACATGGTTAAGGCAATGTCCTATTTACAGGACATTGATTATACGTGTGTCGTTATTTTGACTGATTTGGTTTTGATTTTGATTTCGGAAATACCAAATTAAAAAAAAAAACTGTGTCTCTTTAGGCAAGACACTTCCCCACATTAGAATGAGTCTGGTGTGTGTGTGAATGGTGAAAGTATCAAGATCTCAGATTATAATATCTATTAATGTACTTTTATACCATAAAAGTAACTCTGTAATCACGGGTAAAAATCTGCAAGCAATATATTAAGTAACACATTTTTTGACTTGCTTTGTTCTAGACATCGTATATGAAACTAGATTGTTGTTGTAGCTGTGCGTTGTTCCAATTAATTATATAAAGAATTAATATATTTTTGTTGTTTGTTGTAATTTGGTCTGTACAAATGTAGCTGCTTGAAATGTTTTGAAATGTTCTTTTTTTATGTATTGCACTTGGGGGTGGGGGCTCATAAGCTTTTTGCTTCAGCCCACTCCTTTTGAGCACAATGTGTATTGCTCAAATAAACAAATAAACTAAACTAAGCTAAAACTAATGGTTGGTGGTGGTGGGAGGGGCCAATGGCACAGACTGGTTGCCTCGCTTCTGTCAGTGTGCTCCAGGGCAGCTGTGGCTACTGTAGTAGTTAATCACCACTGTGTCTGGAGTGAATGAATAATGAAATTTGAAGCGTCTTTGAGCGTCCAGAAAAGTGCTGTATATAAAACCAATGCATTATTCTTATATTTGTCATTATCGGAATAACCCAGAGGGACAGAGTTGAAACACAGACTGAAACCTTTTTGAAATGAAACTCGCAGAACCGTCTCCTCTTTCAGTCCTGCGCTTTGTATTTGTGCGGCCGTGGGTTTGTTCAGGCGCTGACAGACGACACCGCTCTGCTCCTGGACCTTTTTATCTCTGCTCCAGACGACATCGCTCATCGCTGATCCCACGGACCCGGCTCGGACCTGACACATTCTTAAATGATTTACATGGGCTGAAAATATATTTGAGAATCGCAAACGTTCTCCAAAGAGGCTCCCGACTGGATTGTGGGAGGTCCAGGGATATTTCAGATTGGGCTCCCTGCACAGATCACAGATGGTCAATCTTTAATCACGTTCCTTTATTGTGCAGGTTTAGGCTCGGCTGCTGCTCGTAGAACTAGAACCAGAACCGACTGAACAATTGGGCCCGTCCTATTGGCCAGAAAACAAAACTCAAAGTATGTGACGTCTTATTTGAGTAACGGCGTCAGGATATGTTACCTTAATCCTTTTCTTTATTATATTGTGTTATGTATTTGTCTATTTGACTTTGATTACATTTGGAGCCAATTTCTCTCATAGCAACCTCATAGCAACCAACGAGCCAATCACAAGTTAGGTTTATTCAGCACTTTGGGGCTTCCTTGAAATGTCTAGTCTTTTTTAATAACAGATAATAATACAACTTTACTCTTTCAAAATTGTGTGGAGTGGAGTGTGGAGTGCAGCGGTTCCAAAAGTGGGGTCCCGAGATGATACTGACACATTATTTATATTATATCTTTAAATATTTGTTAAATATTTCAGTAGAATTATATCTAGTAGCACAATAAATTACTTTTTCATTCATTCATTTTAACTTTTATGTTTTCATTATGTGTCGCAATGATTCAATGTGGCTTTTTTTGTAAGGTTTTTCACTTTTCGGACATTTATGGACAGAGGTCGTCCCACTTCCTTTGGACCAATGGCTTCTATGTGTTTTATTATTGCATTTCCTGTGTTTTATTCTCTGATTTGGGACCAGTCTGGGCGGGTTCCAGGTTTAAAAAGTCCATGATGTGTGCTAGGATTCTGCAATCTCACCCGTAGCCGGTGGGGGTGTACCCGGAAAGAGAATTACGCAATGACCTCTAAATAAAGTGGCTCTTGGTCCAAAAGTGGCTCTTGGTCCAAAAGTGGCTCTTGGTCCAAAAGTGGTTCTTGGTCCAAAATTGGCTCTTGGTCCAAAAGTGGCTCTTGGTCCAAAAGAGGTTCTTGGTCCAAAAGTGGCTCTTGGTCCAAAATTAGCTCTTGGTCTAAAAGTGGCTCTTGGTCCAAAAGTGGCTCTTGGTCCAAAAGTGGCTCTTGGTCCAAAAGTGGCTCTTGGTCCAAAAGTGGTTCTTGGTCCAAAAGTGGCTCTTGGTCCAAAAGTGGCTCTTGGTCCAAAAGTGGCTCTTGGTCCAAAAGAGGTTCTTGGTCCAAAAGTGGCTCTTGGTCCAAAAGTGGCTCTTGGTCCAAAAGTGGCTCTTGGTCCAAAAGTGGCTCTTGGTCCAAAAGTGGCTCTTGGTCCAAAAGTGGCCACGCAGCCATTTTGAAAAAGCCACAGAAGGCAAAAGTGATGTCACATTAGCTCCAACAGCAGAGATAGGTGTCACTGCGTCTGTTATATATTTACAGTCTTTTGTGTGTGTGCAATTTAGAGCTGAAGAAAAATAAATCAACTCTTTAAACCCACACTGGTGTTAGCGGCATTTACTTCTCAATGAGAGTCTGTAGAAGCCAAATCTCCTCCTTGAGCACTTTCCTCTAACACGACCCACGGATGTAATAGTTTTACCATGAACTCTCTGTTTCCAGGACGTTACATGTTTCTCCAGTTCCCACAGTCATCGGAGCTTTAGGCAGATTTTCAGCTCAACTCCAGTGTTTGTAAAACACAGAGAGGCTTTTACGGGGGGGCTTTCCCTCTTCTCTTCCTCACTGTTGTGTGGTTTGGGCTGTTTTGCTGTGTCTGCAGTTACAGCCAGAGGAGTTATAGCCACTTATGCTAACATGCTACTGTGTTTAGCAGCGCTGTAGAGGCTAGAGGACGCAGCCTCGTTCTGTGATTGGAGGAGAGCGGGCGTCACGCTAAGTCTCTACTGAGCACTTTTTACGCCTGAATTCATACACAGCTGAATCAATGAGCTCCAGTTTTACATTAAATTATAGATTATAATACAACTTGTAGGTAGTGATAAGCATTTTTATGAATTAATTAGAAAATAAATTGGGTATAGCTTCTTTAAATTGTTTCAGGAGGTTTCATTCTCGCGCTTCCACAACACCCACTGCAGATTTTACAGTTTGTCATTTTTACAGGTTTTACCAGAGCAAACCCGTAAACTAAAAAGCATTGAATGAATTATTAAAAATACTCGAGACGATCGGTTCATATGGTCAAAAATATCTAATCTTTTCCAATTGAAATACAGTTAAATTAGCAGCACCTTTTGACTGTTTGAGGTCTGTAATTAAAGGGAGTTTCCTTCTAGAATGTTTTGGCGAAATGTCAAACTTTTTTTCATGTTGAATCTAATTAAATCAAAAGCTGAAAGGCACTCTCCGGGGTCTGACCATTTGTTCCCAATTCAACTTCCTGCCTTTGTATATATTTACAAATCCACTTTACCCTAGAATCCAAATGTGGCGTTGACGTCTCTCCCGTCCGCAGCCGCTCACGAAGCTTCTTTTGTGGAGAGATGGGATTTTGAAGCGCAATTTGTGAATGATTTTTCTGACCTACAGCGGGAAGCTTTGTGTTTCATTGTCTCTGCATAAATTAATATTACAACTGTGCAAAGTAATTACACGTATTCGTCTCTGAGCCTCGGGCGATCGAATGTGACCCGAGGTTTAATGAGGAGTTTTAAAGGCGCTCGACAAAGCTGTTGAATTACAAACTCTGGCGATTCAGGAAAATGTTCCGGCGGCAGAAAATATATCTTTAATAAAAAATAAGTTCATAAATGATCTAGAGTTTGGTCTATTTCATCTGAAAAGAGAAACCTAAACCGACTGATCGGAGAGGTTTGAAGCTCTGTGCCTGCGAGGAAGTATTAGCATTTTAGCAATTGGCAAAATCACATCCCCCTTTCCCCTCTCTCAATATTCTCCTTTTTCAAACTAGTCATGGTAGCAGAACACACACAACCGCCCTCCCCCTCTCCTCATGTATGTAGGTTCATGGTGTAGTGAGGCTACAGGACCAGGACTGAGACTACAGAACCAGGACTGAGGCTACAGGACCAGGACTGAGGCTACAGGACCAGGACTGAGGCTACAGAACCAGGACTGAGGCTACAGGACCAGGACTGAGGCTACAGGACCAGGACTGAGGCTACAGGACCAGGACTGAGGCTACAGAACCAGGACTGAGGCTATAGGACCAGGACTGAGGCTACAGGACCAGGACTGAGGCTGCAGGACCAGGACTGAGGCTATAGGACCAGGACTGAGGCTATAGAGCTGAAGCGTCTGTAATGTGTTTGTAACATACTCTCTGCGGTTGTGTCGAAGCCGGCGCTCCAGACAGTCCAGACTCCGGTCCCACGGAGCCTCTGCCGGCGATGGCGGACCAGGCCGAGCAGGCGGCTTTGACCCACAACGAGGAAGAGACGTTTGCCCTGGAGCCCATAGACATCACAGGTACCACACGTTCAGCTCCACAGGAGGACGGCAAAGAGGAAATACACTTTATAGGGGCCTGAAAGAAAAACATAACAATTTTATATAATTTGGAAAAATTCAATTCACTTTATTTTTGTATAGCCCTTAAATCACAACAGCAGTCTTATTTGGCAAGAGCTCATGTGCACTATCAGCTCTGTCTGCTACACACTGGAGTAGTCTTGCTCAATTATTCCAAAGTGGTTTAACTGCAAATGGCAAATAAATCTGAATCTGATTTATGTTATCGATTCCTCAACAACAAAACAAACAGTTCAAACAAATAGTAGATATTTGCACATAGCAGATATTGCAGATAGTAGATATTTGCACATAGTAGATATGTTCACATATTTGCACATAGTAGATATTGCACATAGTAGAAATTGCACATAATAGATATTGCACATAGTAGAAATTGCACATAATAGATATTGCACATAGTAGATATTGCACATAGTAGATATTGCACATAGAAGATATTGCACATGATAGATATTGCACATAGTAGATATTGCACATGGTAGATATTTGCACATAGTAGATATTGCACATAATAGATATTGCACATGGTAGATATTTGCATGTAGTAGATATTGCATATAGTCGATATTGCACATAGTATATTTTACACATAGAATATATTGCACATGATAGATATTGCACATAGTAGATATTGCACATGTTGGATGTTGCACATGGTAGATATTGCACAGGATAGATTTTGCACATAGTAGATATTGCACAAAATAGATATTACACATAGTAGATATTGCACATGGTAGATATTTGCATATTGTAGATATTGCACATAGTCGATATTGCACATAGTAGATATTGCACATGATAGATATTACACATAGTAGATATTGCACATGATAGATATTGCACATAGTAGATATTGCACATAGTAGATATTGCACATGTTAGATGTTGCACATGGTAGATATTGCACAGGATACATTTTGCACATAGTAGATATTGCACAAAATAGATATTACACATAGTAGATATTGCACATGGTAGATATTTGCATATAGTAGATATTGCACATAGTCGATATTGCACATAGTAGATATTGCACATAATAGATATTACACATAGTAGATATTGCACATGATAGATATTACACATAGTAGATATTGCACATAGTCGATATTGCACATAGTAGATATTGCACATGATAGATATTACACATAGTAGATATTGCACATGATAGATGTTGCACATGGTAGATATTGCACATAGAATATATTGCACATGATAGATATTGCACATAGTAGATATTGCACATAGTATATATTGCACATAGTAGACATTGCACATATTAGATGTTGCACATGGTAGATATTGCACAGGATAGATTTTGCACATAGTAGATATTGCACAAAATAGATATTACACATAGTAGATATTGCACATGGTAGATATTTGCATATAGTAGATATTGCACATAGTCGATATTGCACATAGTAGATATTGCACATAATAGATATTGCACATGATAGATATTGCACATGATAGATATTGCACATAGTAGATATTGCACATGATAGATGTTGCACATAGTAGATATTGCACATAGAAGATATTGCACATGATAGATATTGCACATAGTAGATATTGCACATAGTAGATATTGCACATGTTAGATGTTGCACATGGTAGATATTGCACAGGATAGATTTTGCACATAGTAGATATTGCACAAAATAGATATTACACATAGTAGATATTGCAAATGGTAGATATTTGCATATAGTAGATATTGCACATAGTCGATATTGCACATAGTAGATATTGCACATAATAGATATTACACATAGTAGATATTGCACATGATAGATATTGCACATAGTAGATATTGCACATAGTAGATATTGCACATGATAGATGTTGCACATAGTAGATATTGCACATAGAAGATATTGCACATGATAGATATTGCACATAGTAGATATTGCACATAGTAGATATTGCACATAGTAGATATTGCACATGTTAGATGTTGCACATGGTAGATATTGCACAGGATAGATTTTGCACATAGTAGATATTGCACAAAATAGATATTACACATAGTAGATATTGCACATGGTAGATATTTGCATATAGTAGATATTGCACATAGTCGATATTGCACATAGTAGATATTGCACATAAAAGATATTACACATAGTAGATATTGCACATGATAGATATTGCACATAGTAGATATTGCACATGATAGATGTTGCACATGGTAAGGCAAGGCAAGGCAAGGCAAGGCAAGTTTATTTATATAGCACAATTCATACACAAGGCAATTCAAAGTGCTGAACAAAACAAGAAAGCATTAAAATCATAAATTATCACAGAACATTAAAAAGAAAGATAAAAATATAAAATCCCTCAGTTGTATGCACAGTTAAACAGAACCGTCTTTAACCTGGTTTTAAACATTGTCAGAGAGGAGGCCTGTCTCACATCTTCAGGAAGACTGTTCCAGATTTTAGCAGCATGAATCTGAAAAGCAGCCTCCCCATGTTTAGTTCTGACTCTGGGCACTAACAGGAGTCCAGTCCCTGTGCTCCTCAGAGTCCGGGCTGGTTCATATGGTAGATATTGCACATAGAAGATATTGCACATGATAGCTATTGCACATAGTAGATATTGCACATGTTGGATGTTGCACATGGTAGATATTGCACAGGATAGATTTTGCACATAGTAGATATTGCACAAAATAGATATTACACATAGTAGATATGGCACATGGTAGATATTTGCATATAGTAGATATTGCACATAGTCGATATTGCACATAGTAGATATTGCACATAATAGATATTACACATAGTAGATATTGCACATGATAGATATTGCACGTAGTAGATATTGCACATGATAGATGTTGCACATGGTAGATATTGCACAGGATAGATTTTGCACATAGTAGATATTGCACATAATAGATATTACACATAGTAGATATTGCACATAGTAGATATTGCACATAGTAGATATTGCACATGATAGATGTTGCACATGGTAGATATTGCACAGGATAGATTTTTCACATAGTAGATATTGCACATGGTAGATATTTGCATATAGTAGATATTGCACATAGTCGATATTGCACATAGTAGATATTGCACATAATAGATATTACACATAGTAGATATTGCACATAATAGATATTGCACATAATAGATATTGCACATAGTAGATATTGCACATGATAGATGTTGCACATGGTAGATATTGCACATAGTAGATATTGCACATAATAGATATTACACATAATAGATATTACACATGATAGATATTGCACATAGTAGATATTGCACATGATAGATGTTGCCCATGGTAGATATTGCACATAGTAGATATTGCACATAGAAGATATTGCACATGATAGATATTGCACATAGTAGATATTGCACATGTTGGATGTTGCACATGGTAGATATTGCACAGGATAGATTTTGCACATAGTAGATATTGCACAAAATAGATATTACACATAGTAGATATTGCACATGGTAGATATTTGCATATAGTAGATATTGCACATAGTCGATATTGCACATAGTAGATATTGCACATAATAGATATTACACATAGTAGATATTGCACATGATAGATATTGCACATAGTAGATATTGCACATGATAGATGTTGCACATAGTAGATATTGCACAGGATAGATTTTGCACATAGTAGATATTGCACATAATAGATATTACACATAGTAGATATTGCACATGATAGATATTGCACATAGTAGATATTGCACATGGTAGATATTTGCATATAGTAGATATTGCACATAGTCGATATTGCACATAGTAGATATTGAGATACCGGGCGGCACGGTGGCTGAGTGGTTAGCACTCTCGCCTCTCAGCAAGAAGGTCCTGGGTTCGAATCCCGGTGGGACCAGGGCCTTTCTGAGTGGAGTTTGCATGTTCTCCCCGTGTCTGCGTAGGTTTCCTCCGGGTGCTCCGGTTTCCCCTACCACTAAAAATATGTACAATAGTTCTGGCATGTGCCTCCTGTACTGGCCCCGCTCCCAAAAATAACAATTGTAAACCGCTTTGAGACTCCGATGTGCAGTGAAAAGGCGGTATATAAATAAACATTACATTACATACATTACATATTGCACATAATAGATATTACACATAGTAGATATTGCACATGATAGATATTGCACATAGTAGATATTGCACATGATAGATGTTGCACATGGTAGATATTGCACAGGATATATTTTGCACATAGTAGATATTGCACATAATAGATATTACACATAGTAGATATTACACATGATAGATATTGCACATAGTAGATATTGCACATGCTAGATGTTGCACATGGTAGATATTGCACAGGATAGATTTTGCACATAGTAGATATTGCACATGATAGATGTTGCACATGGTAGATATTGCACAGGATAGATTTTGCACATAGTAGATATTGCACATGATAGATGTTGCACATGGTAGATATTGCACAGGATAGATTTTGCACATAGTGGATATTGCACATAGTAGATATTTGCACATAGTAGATATTGCATATGATAGATGTTGCACATGGTAGATATTGCACATAGTAGATATTTGCACATAGTCAATATCGCACATGATAGATATTGCACATAGTCTTTACCTGTGCCTGCAGTGAAGGAAACCAAAGCCAAGCGGAAGAGGAAGCTGATCGTGGACAGTGTGAAGGAGCTGGACAGTAAGACGATCCGGGCGCAGCTGTCTGATTACTCCGACATCGTGACCACGCTGGACTTGGCTCCGCCCACAAAGAAGCTGATGATGTGGAAGGAGACGGGCGGCGTGGAGAAGCTGTTCTCTCTGCCCGCGCAGCCGCTGTGGAACAACCGGCTGCTCAAGGTGAGGCTCGCTCTCTCAGCCGCGTTCTGGGAAAAGTGTGTGTGTATGTGTGTGCGTGTGTGTGTATGTGTGTGTGTGTGTGTGTAGGTGTGTGTGTGTATGTGTGCATGTGTGTGTGTATGTGTGTGTGCATGTGTGTATGTGTGTGTGCATGTGTATGTGTGTGTGTGTGTGTGTGTGTGTGTGTGTGTGTGCATGTGTGTGTGCATGTGTGTGTGCATGTGTATGTGTGTGTGTGTGTGTGTGTGTGTGTGTGTGTGTGCATGTGTGTGTGCATGTGTGTGTGTATGTGTGATTTGAACTGTATCATGTATGAAAACTCTTGTTATTCATGTTGATAATACCACTATTGTAATTTAGTGAATCTTGCTGTTGTGTTCATGTTGTTGTGTTATGTGTTCATGTTTTCATTTGTTGTTGTTGTTGTCGTTGTTGTTGTTGTTGTTGTTGTTGACTCCTGCAGATGTTCACCCGGTGCCTGACGCCTCTGGTCCCAGACGAGTTGAGGAAGAGGAGGAAAGGAGGAGAAGCCGACAGTTTGGACGAGTTCCTCAAAGACCTGGAGAACTCTGAGGTGCCGCGCGAGGAGACCACAGCGCCACAGCAGCAAGGCATCATGGGTAATCACTGAGAAACAGCTGCTGTCTTTACTGCTTTTATCATTTTAACATTATAGTGATAAGTGGTAACATGTACAAACTTAGGCAAGGAAAGGCAAGTTTATTTGTATTGCACAGTTCATACACAGATGTTGTGTGTGCGGACTGGGTCGCCGAGGTCTCCGCCTTCGACTGCTGCCCAGTCCTCTCTGCACCTCGCCACCACGGACCCCTCTGCGGGTGGTGGGTCTTTCGGGCGCTCGCTTTCGAGCCCCGACCCCAGGCCTGGCTTCAGGGTGGGGCCCCGGCTGCGCCATGCCGGGCGACGTCACTGTTTTAATTGTAGTGCTGTCCATGGTTGGTTTTGGACTGCGCTTCGTCTGACTCGTCACCCGGGACCTGTCTGCCATGGGAGACCCTACCAGGGGCATGAAGCCCCAGACAGCATACTAGCTTCCAGGATCATCCGAGTACTCAAACTCCCCCACCACGTTAAGGTGGCAGTCCAGGGGGGAGGCGTACCTGGAAAATTGTCAGAGTAGGAACCTGTCTCCCAGATTTTAGATTTTAGTCCCGACTCTGGGCACCAGCAAGACCTTGCTGGTGCCCAGACCTTTAAAGTCTATTACTGCTATAACTCAGTGAAATTCAAATGGGACACATGTTTTATCCAGTGTAATGCTTTTCTTCAAAGAATCCATGTTTCCAAGTTCTTTCTTACACATATCGAGTGATGGAGGTATGTTCAGCTCCCAGTATTGTTATCCTCTGATTAACAGTGGTACCTAACTTTCAAACCACAATCAGCTCTATAAAATAAAGTCCATGTAACCATTTCCTCACTCTTAAACAGTTTGGTTCCATCGCTGGTTTTAAATAAATAAAATGCTCAGAAAAGTGACAGTTGAACCTTGTGCTCCAGACCAGACGCTGATGGAGGAGGCCAGCACTCTGCAGTCCGCGGCCGTGGAGGGCAGCAGGACCCTGGACGAGTCTGCGATGCCGCCCCCTGGTGGTCAGAGAGGAGTTAAGCGCAAGACACCGGAGGCAGAGCCAGCACTGCCTGTGAGTTTGCATTTACTTATGACTAAAATGCTGCTGTAAAATGCTGTGGATTGTTTACTCGGACAGTTCATAGATGTCACATTGCACGAATAGTAAAATACAATACAATACAATTTATTGTTGTATAGCCCTAGGTCACAACAGAAGTCATCTCAGAGGACTTAACAAAACCATTGAAATCACCAACACAGGTCAGAGAATCAACAGTTAAAACACATGAAGAATATAAAGCACACACAGAAGAAAATGTCCATACATGTTGTAGAATGCTAAAGTGTCCTGATCATCACCATGTTTCAAAAAATGTCATTGGCTCCAGACTCAGGCAAAGATTGAGTTTAGAATCCTTGTTCTTAAAAGCCTTTCAAAGTCTGACGCCTTCATATGTTTCTGATTTACTTGTCTTTTACCTTACTTATAAACCTGTGCACCGTCTTAAATCCTCAAACCTCAACCTTTTGCCGTTCCTCGTCTAAAATTGAAAGTAGGAGAAGCAGTTCTAACATTATCCTGAAGCACACTTAGATTTTTGTGTTTGATAACCACAAATAAAGACAGATTGGATGAGTTGTTATTATTTTAGTGTTTTTCTTCCCACTTTCGAGCTCACGGAGTAAATTGTGTGTAATAACGATGTATAATGGCTATGTAAATATGTAAATATGTAAATGTGTAAATGTGTAAATATGTAAATATGTAAATGTGTAAATATGTAAATATGTAAATGTGTAAACGCTTGCTCTTTTAATGCTCGGGTGCATCAGTGATGTGGGTTGTATATATTTGTTGGTGTGGTCTGTATAAGCTCGAAAGGAATACATTAATAAATAGATATTGTTCCATGTGGTGATGGAGCTGTTACATCTGTTACTGTCATTTCTTTCCCCTCGGGTCCAGACTGCAGTGTGCTGTGACTTTAGAAGACTTAAATCCAAAGTCCTTAGTCTGTTGTGACATATTCCTGTCTGCTCCATGGTGAAAGATCAGCTCTAAACAACACGCCCACCTTTCCCCTGCTGTGTGTTCTGCAGTTGGGTGCAGAGGAGCAGCAGCAGACCTCCACAAACGATCTGCCTCCAGAGGAACCGTCCATCAGTCAACTCCTGGACCTGGACCTGCTCAGCGACAAGAAGAAGACGGACGACGACTCCGAGGACGAGGTCGCTCCACACTTTTACTGTCATCAACGTTTCACTTTTGCAGTAAAGCAGCAGTTCTTTAAATCCGACTAAATGTCTTTTTTTTGCCGCTGAGAATCTGGTTTGAACACAGTCAGAATGTGTCAGATTAAGAAGTCATTATTACCTCAAATTTTATCATTTTTTGCAGTGTATCAGTTCGTTTTAGCCACTTTTACCATCAAACTTATGGTAGAAGCCTATAATTAAAATACAAAGGTTTTATAAGAAAGAAAATCATTATTTTCTTCAGTGAGTAAAGGTTAAACAGATCCAGGTAAATGGGATAATGACCCATTATCACATTTTCTGATGACGACATGACAATAACAACTGTGCATCCAGTTACTTTCTGCTTCAGCACCACGTACCGTATGCTAGCAACAACTATCACAACAACAGCTGATGGTTGTTGTGGATAGTTGGCTGAGTGGTTAGCCCTCTCGCTTCTCAGCAAGAATGTCCTGGGTTTGAATCCCGGTCGGAACAGGACCTTTCTGAGTGGAGTTTGCATGTTCTCTTCCTGCTCCGGTTTGTCCTAAAAACATGTAACATATTGTGGTTCTGACATGTGCCTCCTGCAGGACCTCCCATCTCTGTGAGGAGTCAGAGACAAATGCCACAACAATTGTAAAGATCTTTGTGACTGTGGTCTGAGAAAGGCGCTATATAAAAAATACGCACTTACTTCCTTATCCATGTAAATTCTGTAGTGACCAACAATGTGTTCCCTGTCGGTTTGCAGGAGGAGGAGGTGCAGGGAGGAGACCAGGACCAGGAAGAACGAAGATGGAACAAAAGAACGCAGCAATGCTTCACGGGCTCCAGGTCAGAACTTTCACTTTTGGTTTTATTTAAAAGGAAAAAGACATCGGTCACATTAGCCAGTACCACACCATAGTACAAATTACATCTGGATTTGCTCCATTGACTCCGTTAACAGGTGGAAGGGGTTAACTCCTTTTGCAGATTGAAACCATTGGATCTGAGTTTACTGTGACGTTTGTAATGAGCACGAGTGAGTTGCTAGCATTTAGGATTTAGCATTTAGCCTAGCTTTAGCATTTAGCCTAGCTTTAGCCATCTCCTTTGACGCTAACGGAGCCCGTGGGGAGTAGAGCCTCGATCTTTGCAGCAATTACCTTTGCTAAACATTCCTCTTGCTCCGGTTTCAGTTTCTTCATAGATAAAACCAAACCACAAAGAACATGTGTCAAAATAAATCAACGTATAAAATAACAAAAAATGACAGTATTGCCCCCAAATTAGTTTTTAGCAATTTTTAATTTACATTCTTTTCAATTGCATGATGTGTTGACAGCCGATCCTTTTTATATGTGACAAATTCAAAACAAATCCATCTCCCCCTGGTGGTAGGATCGGGAGTTACATGCAGATAGGCTTTTTTTACCCTTCAGACAGTTTTTTACCAAATACAAGATAATATTCCACATTCTAAAACACAAAATAACAAAGTGAAAAGTCTCATTATCATTGTTCATGGGCAAAAATAACGCATAGTATGTTTTCTTTAAAACAGATGCACAAATATTTAGCCAAGACAAACTTTACAACTTAACACAACACATTCTACACATTGGTCCCTGTCTTCTATAGTTTTCCAGTCTTCCTAAAATGTGAGACAGGCTTTCTTCTCTGACAATGTCCAAACCTGGCCTTATCCATCCATCTCCTGCATGTAACGTCTGGGTCTGGTCCCTGTGTTTGTGATTACAATCGGTTGAATTCTATCCGACCAATCAGAGAGCGCGGGAGGCAGGTGTTGTAGTTAGTTGTGGGTGACGTCAAGAGTTTGAGTCGAACGGGCAGGTTGTAGTTTGGTGAAGAATGTGATAGTAAAGTATTCTGCTCTGGTTCTATCAAGAAACTGAAGCCGGAGCAAGAGGAATGTTTAGCAAATGTAATCTCTGGAAAGATTGTGGCGCTACTCCCCACGGGCTCCGTTAGCGGCAAAGGAGATGGCTAAAGCTAGGCTAAATGCTAAATGCTAACGGCTCACTCGGGCTCATTACATACGTCACAGTAAACTCAGATCCAATCGTTTCAATCTGCAAAAGGAGTTAAACCCCTCCCACCTGTTAACGGAGTCAACAGGTGGGAGGGGCTAATCCATAGAGCAAATCCAGACCTTAGTATGAAATGTAATTTGTACTATGGTGTGGTACGACCAGGCTAACAATGTCTAAATCCAGGTTAAAAAAGCGACTGGACTACAACTGAGGGATTTTATATTTTCATCTTTCTGTTTAATGCGCTGTGATTATGTGTCTTGTTCTGTTTTTGAGTGTCCTTGTGTATAAACTGTGCAATACAATTAAACTTGCCCTTGTCCCTTGCCTTGGGTGTGGTCAGAGGGTGATGGACAAGACCGGGGCCCAGTCCGTGAGTCTCCTGGACCTCTGTCGGAACAACAACAGGAAGCAAGCGGCTGCAAAGTTCTACAGCTTCCTGGTTCTGAAGAAGCAGCAGGCGGTGGAGTTGGTGCAGGAGGAGCCGTACAGTGACATCACCGCCACCCCCGGGCCGCGCTTCCCACGTCATCTGAGCCCACCGCCTCCAAATACAGTAGAAGAAGAAAGAGGCGGGACTCAACCCAACGTTTGGCGGAACAAGTAGATTTTCTTTTCTCATTTGATTTCCAGATTGACCCGCCCCCACACCATCGACGAAAGCTCGACTGGACACGACAACGGACATGGTTTTGGTCAAGACGCCATGTTGTTTTATCAAAGAACTATTATGTATTTTAACAGGAAGAAAGGGTTAAATTACTGTTTTCATCGTGGGAGAAAACGCTCAAAGACGCTTTACACAGGGACAGGTTGATAAAAAAAAATATATATATATATATATATATATATACAGCTAAAATAGGCAGTTTTGAGTCGGGTTTGAAGCAGTGGTTTGAAGTCTGAGTTCCTGGTGTGTTGTGGGAGAGAGCTCCAGAGAGCTCCAGAGAGTGGGACCAGCTGCAATGAAGGCTCGGGCCTCAAGATTCAAGATTAATTTATTTAGTCCCGTAAGAAATTTGTCTTGGACTCACAGCTGCTACCTTGAAAATACCAGACACAAGACAGAAAACACAGACAGAAACCATCGCCTCTCTGCTCCGTGACCTGCATTCAGGAGGTTCACAGATATGGGTAGGAACCAGTTCTGATACCGGTCACCGATATCTTTGTTTCTTGTTGGTTCTCTGTAGCGGCGCCCCGATGGGAGGAGCTCATACTGAGAGTCAAGGACCTTAGAAGGGTCTGAGGTGAGTTTCTTTGCCTGTCTAGAAGAAAATCAGGGTTTAGTATGTTCCGACCTAAAGGTTCAGAAGGCTCGGTCCTAAAGGTTCAGAAGGCTCGGTCCTGAAGGTTCAGAAGGCTCAGTCCTAAAGGTTCAGAAGGCTCAGTCCTAAAGGTTCAGAAGGCTCGGTCCTAAAGGTTCAGAAGGCTCGTTCCTAAAGGTTCAGAAGGCTCGGTCCTAAAGGTTCAGAAGGCTCGGGCCTAAAGGTTCAGAAGGCTCGGCCCTAAAGGTTCAGAAGGCTCGGCCCTAAAGGTTCAGAAGGCTCGGGCCCTAAAGGTTCAGAAGGCTCGGCCCTAAAGGTTCAGAAGGCTCGGCCCTAAAGGTTCAGAAGGCTCGGCCCTAAAGGTTCAGAAGGCTCGGCCCTAAAGGTTCAGAAGGCTCGGTCCCCTAAAGGTTCAGAAGGCGAGCTCGGCCCTAAAGGTTCAGAAGGCTCGGCCCTAAAGGTTCAGAAGGCTCGGCCCTAAGTTCGAAGGCTTCAGAAGGCTCGGCCCTAAAGGTTCAGAAGGCTCGGCCCTACAGGTTCAGAAGGCTCGGCCCTACAGGTTCAGAAGGCTCGGCCCTACAGGTTCAGAAGGCTCGGCCCTACAGGTTCAGAAGGCTCGGCCCTACAGGTTCAGGAGGCTCGGCCCTACAGGTTCAGAAGGCTCGGCCCTAAAGGTTCAGAAGGCTCGGTCCTAAAGGTTCAGAAGGCTCGGCCCTACAGGTTCAGAAGGCTCGGCCCTACAGGTTCAGAAGGCTCGGCCCTAAAGGTTCAGAAGGCTCGGTCCTAAAGGTTCAGAAGGCTCGGTCCTAAAGGTTCAGAAGGCTTGGCCCTAAAGGTTCAGAAGGCTCAGTCCTCAGGGTTTAGGGGCATAACAGACATATTTATTCAACATATATAATCTCAATCTTGGTTCCCTCCCCCACCTTTGATCGTGAGCTTCTGCTAATGACCGAAAGGAGGAGATCACGGACACAGGCGGTCGAAATGAGAGCTTCCTCCGCAGAGTGGCTGCTCCCTGAGAGATTGAGGAGCTCAGTCACACGGGAGGAGCTCGGAATAGAGCCGCTGCTTCTCCACGTCTGTTCCGCCTTGGGGTCCACCCGTATGAGCTGGAGGAAGTGTGTGTGGATAGGGAAGTCTGGGCGTCTCTGCTTAGACTGCTGCCCCCGTGACCCGGCAACGGATGAAGTGGATAAAAATGGAATGGAGTATTCATAAATGAGACCGAGTTTGTCCGTTCAATATGGAGCATGCATACACCATTACATTCAGCAGTTTTAAATACAGGACTTTCTCATTATCAACCTGTGGGTATTTAGCTGCGTAGAGTCTGTGGTGGTAGAAACTCATCTGCGTTCATGAAAATACAGCTGTGGTTACTCTGGACAGGACCGTGCATGCTCTGTCTGAAAACACTATGTAAGGGTTCTCTTATAGTTCTAATCATTGCAAATTAAAACATTGAATGCACTTTATGAGTAGAGGTCAATCTTAAATCTTCGCAGCATTGAACACGCTTCTGATAATTGCTGTGGTCCATTTCTTGAAAACAAAAGTCTCAGCACCTTATTTAAAATGTTCAGAGTCAGTTTTGAAGATGTGTAACTTATTGCTGGCGTAATGTTGTATTTCTGCCTTTTTATTTTTTGTATTGGAGATATGACAGGTGCAAGCCGCGCTCTTTACCATTTTTCTGGTTTCATTGAGCTGTTTTCCAAATAAAAACAATACCATATGTTTCAAGTACATTGACTTTTATTTCATTTGTCTGTGTTGAAAAGATGGAGTAGAGTGGAAACAGAAAAGAGCTCCCATGTGTCAGGCATGTCCAAACTCAAGTAGCCATTGAATACTATTGCAGTGTCACCCAGCCAACTCCAGCTTCACCGATATAATCTACAGCTCGTTGTAAAGCTGAGAACCTCTGAAACCCAGCCCTCAACTAAATTTGTATATAAACTCACTCACATATGGCCTTAATGTAGCAGTGGTGTGAATCAATACAGACATTAAAGTCCAAATCCAGTCAAAACCATTTTTACAATCCATCGGCTCCTGGACAAGTCGTGTGAACTAAAGTGGCCCATTTACTAAAAGAGTTGGACGCTCCTGGTTTAAGTAGTTCAGAGATCCCTGGAGTCAATGTAGAGGGAGCAATGTTCTTCTCCTTATCTGTGAAACTATGACATATTTATCCAAGCTACTTTTCAAACAGACTTATAATCTATTACTCTGTCCTTTAAACAATCTATACTTTTCTGCTGTCATAGAGTCAAGCTAAATCAAATATCCCTGAACGGAGACGTTCTAAAAGCAGCTCTCGATGTAATCCATAGTTCATGTCCTAAATACACCTTTTATGAGCTTTTTTTCATGTTTGGAGAATGAGGAAGTGGAATGCTAAGCTAACGAGGCTAACTCCAGCAAACGGTACAGTCTCTTCAACGTTGTAGAGACTAAACCAGTGATCCCCGACTGTAGCTTAGTGTTTGAAATGACAAATAATTAGCCACTTTGTTTAATTTAATGATTCCCATCCCTACACATTTTATAAATCCAGACTTTGTGCATGAATACACGGGAACATGGATGGTTTCCTGGTCGTCAAACTGTCATTTCATTTCCTTGTCATTTTCCTCTTCAGCTCTAAAACAGTTGAAGCCCCATTTCTACTTGTTCTCATCTCATTCCGATAAATACAGGAATAATATCACAACAATTCAAAATAGTTTACAAAATGAACAATGTTTTTTGTGATGTGACAGCAGTAAAACTCCAGCCCAGGCTCTTTAAAAAGTCGTATTTCCTGTACATTGTCCGGTTTATTGACTGGGAGCTTCAGGGTTTGTCACAACGCCGCTACTTTTCCGTCTTTTATGTCGGCTCCTTCTCTTCTTCTGTCCGTCCTCAGGTTTCTTCGCCGGTGTGGGCTCAGTTTTCTTCTTCTTCTTGAGGCAGCTCAGTGGATTGGGGCCCTTGCGTTTCCTCTTCCTGGGCCTCCTCTCCGGGTCCTTCTGCCCCAGACCCTGCTCCTCCTTCAGGCTGCGGATGCTCTCTTGTTGGGACAAACTCACCAGCTCGCCCAGCTGCACCTTCTGGACGTAGTCGAGTGACGCCTGGCTCGGCTTGTCCAAAACTATGGTGTTGAGAATGATGTAAAAGAGCGGGACTCCGGGGATTTCCTTCAGGCCTGAGGTCAGAGTGTGGTCCTGTGGATAAGACCAGACAAATGAGACCAAGGAGGGTTTAAAGTCACGCTGTGTAAACTAGATTTTACAACGAGAATGTGTAACAGGAACTGCCGAGTCTGCACAAGTGTTTCTGATAATTCACTAGTAACTTTGTCACTACTCACTTTACCCGTTATCAGTACTACTACAGTACTACTTACAGTGCCTTGCGAAAGTATCCGGCCCCCTAGAACCTTTCAACATTCTGCCACATTTCAGTCTTCAAAACATAAAGATATAAAATTTAAATTTTTTGTCATGAATCAACAACAAGTGGGACACAATCGTGAAGTGGAACAAAATTTATTGGATAATTTAAACTTAAAAAAAATTAAAAAATGAAAAGTGGGGCGTGCAATATTATTCGGCCCCTTTACTTTCAGTGCAGCAAACTCAGTCCAGAAGTTCAGAGAGGATCTTTGAATGATCCAATGTTGTCCTAAATGACTGATGATGATAAATAGAATGCACCTGTGTGTAATCAAGTCTCCGTATAAATGCACCTGCTCTTTGATAGTCTCAGGGTTCTGTTTAAAGCGCAGAGAGAACCATGAAGACAAAGGAACACACCAGGCAGGTCCGAGATACTGTTGTGGAGAAGTTTAAAGCCGGATTTGGATACAAAAAGATTCCCAAGCTTTAAACATCTCAAGGAGCACTGTGCAAGCAATTATATTGAAATGGAAGGAGTATCAGACCACTGCAAATCTACCAAGACCCGGCCGTCCCTCCAAACTTTCATCTCAAACAAGGAACAGACTGATCAGAGATGCAGTCAAGAGGCCCATGATCAAACTGGATGAACTGAAAAAGTAATTTTTTATATCTTTATGTTTGAAGCCTGAAATGTGGCGAAATGTTGAAAGGTTCAAGGGGGCCGAATACTTTCGCAAGGCACTGTATCTGATATTTACTGTTATCAGTACTACTGTATTATTTCATATCTGATAATTCTGCCTTCCACCGTCACTTTACCTGTTGATATCTTACTGTATTATTCATATCCATCTGATAATTCTCCCATTCAAGTCACTTTACCTGTTGATATTATTTCTGATGTTTATTCTGCTCATATTCTCATATTCTCCGCTGCTAATGTATAATATAGACATCTGTAAATACTCCGAACCAAGTGCAATTATAGCCCAGATTGTATCTTATTTTATTTTATTTTATCTTAAATGTATTGTCTATTATCTTAAATAATAGACTTTGATGTGTGTAATCTGAGTTTCCTTATTTCCTCTCACTGCTGTAATGTGCAACGATGACACTGACATTTCTCCACTGTGAGACTAATAAAGGTTTATCTTATCTTAAAAAAACTACTGTCATTGTAACAAGAGCAAAATTCTTTCACAATACCGCATTAGAATGATCTTATGAATACATCCTGTTTGCTTCATACAAAAGTTTGTTTTTAGTTTTCCCTTTAACAGATGGTGACCTTCCTCTACTCTGACAATATTCAAATCCAGATTAAAACAGTTTCATTAAATAAAACCCTGGATCGATAATGGCACCTAGTTATGGAGTGGAAATAGTATAAGTAGTGACTGATAAAAGTTAAATAATTCTGGTAGCAGAGCACCTCAAGAAAAAATAAACATTAGCCTATTCAAAGGTGCATAACTAATTATATCCTCCATTCATTTTGTTTTTCATTAAATATGCACAAGATTGAAATAAATACATAATAAATATACATCCTACGTGTTTTTACTTGAAGCCCCAACACCCATAAAACCTTAGCCATGAATTACCGCAAACATCCACATGTTTAAGAAAAAAAATCAAAGCAACAGTGAAATCGTACGAAATGAATGATTCGAGAAAAAAACAATAAAACAAAAAATTATGAAAACAAAAACACAAATAAAAACAGTTTGAAGAAGTGCTAAAGACCATCTTATATTTTTATTTTTTTAATTTTTTTTAATTTAATTTGTACATGTATGAAGAAAGGGACAGGCAACATAAGATTTTTTTTTTCTTCTTTCTGCTCCTTTTCATTTGTGAGACAAGACGACAATTATTTGAAATGTAATTGTAATATGTGTAGTATTGTTTTTGTCTACAATTGAAATAAATAAATAAATAAATTAAATAAATACATAAATACATAAATATAAAATAAAATAAAATAAAATAAAAAATAAAATAATAAAATAAAATAAAATAAAATAAAATAAAATAAAATAAATAACCTACCTGAGTGGCTATAAAATAGTGGTGAGGGTTGGTCTTCCCCAGCATGGACAGCAGACACTCCGAGGCTGGGATGGGCTCTTTGAAATGGGCACATCTTCTGGTCTGGTACCGCTGAAGGATGAGTTTAGCTCCATACAACTCTTTCCCCAGAGTCTCAAGTTCTTTCAGGGCACAACTAAAAGTAAACGGAAAAAATATAAATGAATAAAACTATGAATCCTAATCCACCATGATCATACTTCAGTGAGATTATTATAATGATTAGGAATTTCTACAGTGTTATAAAACAGAAGGAATGGGTAGCACACAGCACAAGATTAGAGAATATAAGGTACAACTCTAATAAGATAAAGATATTGATTTTATACGTATAAAGTATACATCTGCAATACTCCAGTGCAAGAATATGAAGTAATAAGTCAATAACTCTGAGGGTTCAATTATTCTCACTGATGATCCTACTGCACATGTTAGCATCATAGACTGAATGCTAGCATGTGTTACTACTGTATATACTGTACGAGTTAGCAGCTGTAAAGTGGACACATGAGGTCCCATATTGCACATCCTGACTTTATTGCACAGATGCATGCCACGTGAGGTCAGGTCGGCAGTGCTCATCAATCTAAATTGTTCATTGTACAGTCTGACAGCAGCATGAAGGAAAGAAAAACACTAACCTAGTCGTACATAGTTGCACTTCTCCCATCAGATATTTTGGCATTTGCTCCTTGATTTGAATCTTATTCTTGAGGGCTGCTTGACAAAAGGTTCCATCCACGAGGATCTGGAAAGGTTCTCTGAAATGAAAGTTGTATTTGTAGAAGCTGATGTTCTTCTTGGCTTGTTTCTGTCGCTTGATCTTCATCCTCGAAACAAAGTCAGTATAATTCACAAAACTAAACTAACAGAAACTGCGGCTCAGCAGTATGACACGTTCAACGACAATAGTTTAACAAAAAAGAAAAGAGAATTCAGCGTGGGCTCGTGGGAAGTAATCGAGTAAACACGCTTGTCGTGCGCTCTTTAAAATGATTCCGACTGGAAACATAAGTCAAGTCATTAAACAGTTCCGCGATGCAAATTATTTAACGATTAAGAAAAATATATATCTTTATTATATTCCAATATCATTAGTAATAGACAACTATTTGAGTCTTTATTTGAATATTCTATAATTCATATTTAATATAAACCATTTCAATTATACGATTTTTAACGATACAAGTCGTTTTTCATGTCATTATTCATTTCATTATCATGTGTATGCATTTCATGTATTTACAAACAGAATGGGCTTTAATTTTCACTCGAGCCTTCGTCAACGTTCGGAAATCTTCGTGCTTCTCCGTAGCCGGGGTGTGTGGCTGATCGGCACGTAGAGCGGAGTTGCCAAATCCGCCTCTTTATAATGAACTTCGGCTCTTATTATTTTCAACAGTTGCTTGTAGATTTTATGCTATCACACTAGTTTCTGATAGGTGTAGTTACAAAGAGTATGTACTCATTTAAAATAATTACTTTTTATTTAAAGAAATGTGTTGTTATTAGTGTCTGTCCCTTGTTTTTTTCTAACAATATGGCAACCCCTCCCGTAGTCTGCTGACTGCTCCATGGATTCTTCACGCTCGCAGCATTAGCATTAGCATTAGCAGCAGTAGCTAAAGGAGCAGCAGCATTTGTAACTTGGACCCGTTCTCTTTTCACTTTTGGAGGTTTCTATTCGCATTTTCTTCCCCGTAAACATGTCGGCCGGAGTCGGGGGGGTACCGGCCGGGGAGAGCAGCAGTGACCGCAGTGGATCTGGAGGTCCGAGCGGGGGCGGAGGTGATGCAGAGACGGACCGAGAGAGGGCCACCTTCGAGTGCAACATTTGCCTGGACACGGCCCGAGATGCGGTCATCAGTCTGTGCGGCCACTTGTTCTGGTACGAGCTTCATTTGAGTTTGCTTTGGTGAATGTCGTTGTTGTGATCGAAGAATATCGTAGTCGAATAGAAATCGCCATTTGAGTAGATGCTATTCTTGCAAATCTCGAGCAGTGCATTTGTTTACCTGGATATGTTTCCTTTCAAATCATCCTATGTCCCAGTAAACAGCTTCTCGTATGTCATGAGCATTATTTATCTTGTCTATTTTGTGTCAATGCTTGTCATTTTCTTAAACAACATTTAAGCTTGTTGAAGATCGTACCCTACATCCCCACCTTACCCATATCAGGTTACATATAATTTAATATTTGTGACAGTATAGACCTTTATAAATGGATTATAATTATAATAAATGCATCATTAAGTAATCTATAATGTTTTGCTGACTGGCTGCTGTCTCTTGTAACCCTTTTGGATCTTTATTATATTATTAATTCAAACAAGTCTTTCTGTTGTTATGTACAGGGACAGGTTTAAAGTGAGTGTTATAAAGGGCGTACACTTCTGTCCAAATAGGGCTGTAATTATAAACTATTTTTAATCGATTAGTTTTATTGATTAGTTGGACTTATTGTCAACCAATTGATTTCCCAGCTGTCTAATTTAATCATTTTTCCCCAAAGATCTTTACAGAAACATGAAACAAAGTGGATTGTTTGATTGCATTGTCTATATATTGTTATCTGAATACAACATAGTCTACCTGAACTCTCCCTCGGTTTGATAATTCCAGTGACAGCCTTGCGTGTTACGGTGACGGTAAATGCTTTGGCTGACACAGGTGAGAAGATATTTTGATCCAGCGATAAGACTGAACTCGCCGTGGAGGAATGTGGATCTAAAAGTTGCTTCTTCGGTTCAGTGGCCTCTTGTAAGCTATTCTTTCCACGCATCACCACCCTCTCCAACTGCTTTAAGTGCCGTAAAAATGCCCTAAAAATACCCAAAGAGAAAAGACAGCTGAATGTACACTGGGCCATAAAATCGGGAGCTGACCTGAAAGATAAGCAGGAGCCCATGTGATTTGTTGTAGTGTGACCCTACGACACAATGAGCTGGTTGATCCAATTGCTCCAACCACCCCCCTGTTGTTTTCTGAAAGGCTGGGATTGTAAATAGCAGTGAGTCCATGTTCTATCTGCAGAAAAACCTGAGGTATAATGTCGTCTTATCTCTTAAGTAAACAATTGTTGAACTTTTGTCCTTGGCAGCTGTTAGAACAAACTCTTTGGGACATAAACAGAACAACTTGATATCTATGATGACCGATAACTTGATTTGTATCCGGCTGTACTTTTAAAATGTCTTTCCGAGTTACATTACACTATCAATAAAACATCTGGGTTCAGACTGAAAGGTGTATAGGAGAAAGAACCGGCTTCTCCACTTTCTGAACAAAACTCTTTGGTCTTATTGGACGAGCACGTATCACCAGAATGATTGACAGCTGGGAGGACCAATCGTCTTGATGCAGGTTTTCTGTAGTATTCATCTTCCGTAACTCCCACTTCTACAACACGTCTCTGTCCTCTCTTTTGTGCGTCAGTAAATGACCACAGTTGACTATTTCAATTAAACTAGAATTTTAGCATGAACGCCTATGAATCTTATGTTGTTTGTAGAAAACTTATAAACACTGACACTAAATAAAAAATAAATAAATGCAACGGTAATTTTCTCTGCTTTGAACCTGGGAATGAAAAGTTATGTCACAAATGTTTCTCTGTTACTAATAAAGATTAAAAGATCCTTTGTTGGTCTCACAGTGGGTCTCAGTACTTTGCACTTTAAAGCTGGGATAGCTGGATACTTTTTCATAAATAATAAAATATTTATAAACATAAAGTTTGTAAAGTCACTATTGCCAGTCTCTTTGATGCAGAGCAAGAGAGATAGAGACCCCTTTTTCACTTTTCTGCCTGAAAAAAGGAATCAGAATAATTTTTTTGGACCTGTACGTAACAGGAAGTCACAGACGAGGAAATTGCTTTGGCTTTGAGAAGTAGTGAAATCTAATGAACGGATCTACATACGTGACGGACCCCCCACGATGCATACATGTGATAGAAGCAAACTGTCTCCAGAGCGAGGAGCATGTGAAATGTCATGTGAAAATCATACAATGGAAATGTCATACTGTCCTATGTCCATTTAAGGTGCCTTGACTTGAGTAATGTTTACACTTTTAAGGTGGTATTCTCGGTTCTTTTTCATACTATCGTTGTGTGAAGCTGCTGCAGTATGTGGCGACATGTTATGTGCTAGTTCAGCCAGGTTTCCCTAAACAGTCGCCCGATGAAAGGAAGTAGTGCCGTAGTAGTAGTAGTAGTAGTATTTAGTATTAGGGGTATTAATAATAGTAGTAGTAGTAGTGGTATTTGCTGTTAATAATGGAGGTAGCAGTAGTAGTAGTGGTAGTATCTGTAGTGGTATTTGCTGTAGTATTATTAGTAGTAGTAGTAGTATCTGTAGTAGTATCAGTAGTAGTAGTAGTATCTGTAGTAGTAGTGGTAGTATCTGTAGTGGTATTTGCTGTAGTAGTAGTATCTGTAGTAGTAGTAGTAGTATCTGTAGTAGTAGTAGTGGTAGTATCTGTAGTAGTAGTAGTATCTGTAGTAGTAGTAGTAGTGGTAGTATCTGTAGTAGTAGTAGTATCTGTAGTAGTAGTATCTGTAGTAGTAGTAGTGTAGTATCTGTAGTAGTAGTCTGTAGTAGTCTGTGGTAGTATCTGTAGTAGTAGTAGTATCTGTAGTAGTAGTAGTAGTAGTAGTATCTGTAGTAGTAGTAGTATCTGTAGTAGTATCTGTAGTAGTAGTAGTAGTAGTAGTGGTAGTATCTGTAGTAGTAGTAGTATCTGTAGTAGTAGTAGTAGTAGTATCTGTAGTAGTAGTAGTAGTAGTGGTAGTATCTGTAGTAGTAGTAGTATCTGTAGTAGTAGTAGTAGTAGTAGTATCTGTAGTAGTAGTAGTATCTGTAGTAGTAGTAGTAGTAGTATCTGTAGTAGTATCTGTAGTAGTGGTAGTATCTGTAGTAGTAGTAGTATCTGTAGTAGTAGTAGTAGTAGTAGTATCTGTTGTAGTATCTGTAGTAAACACAGCGTCTTGTTGTCGTGTCCTGTGACCGCGGCTGGATTATGACCAGAAGGATTCAGGTCAAACCAGAAACTGCAGCTGGTTATTTCTGGAACCAAAACAAATGTCTGTTTCACCGACTGTGGATTTGAACAGTATTTAAACATGAGACCCACCATGAGCTTAAGGACCGTAGTATTTAAACATGAGACCCGCCATGAGCTAAAGGACCGTAGTATTTAAACATGAGACCCACCATGAGCTAAAAGACCGTAGTATTTAAACATGAGACCCGCCATGAGCTAAAGGACCGTAGTATTTAAACATGAGACCCACCATGAGCTAAAGGACCGTAGTATTTAAACATGAGACCCACCATGAGCTAAAGGACCGTAGTATTTAAACATGAGACCCACCATGAGCTTAAGGACCGTAGTATTTAAACATGAGACCCACCATGAGCTAAAGGACCGTAGTATTTAAACATGAGACCCGCCATGAGCTAAAGGACCGTAGTATTTAAACATGAGACCCGCCATGAGCTTAAGGACCGTAGTATTTAAACATGAGACCCACCATGAGCTTAAGGACCGTAGTATTTAAACATGAGACCCGCCATGAGCTAAAGGACCGTAGTATTTAAACATGAGACCCACCATGAGCTTAAGGACCGTAGTATTTAAACATGAGACCCACCATGAGCTAAAAGACCGTAGTATTTAAACATGAGACCCACCATGAGCTAAAGGACCGTAGTATTTAAACATGAGACCCGCCATGAGCTAAAGGACCGTAGTATTTAAACATGAGACCCGCCATGAGCTAAAGGACCGTAGTATTTAAACATGAGACCCGCCATGAGCTTAAGGACCGTAGTATTTAAACATGAGACCCACCATGAGCTAAAGGACCGTAGTATTTAAACATGAGACCCGCCATGAGCTTAAGGACCGTAGTATATAAACATGAGACCCACCATGAGCTAAAGGACCGTAGTATTTAAACATGAGACCACCATGAGCTTAAGGACCGTAGTATTTAAACATGAGACCCACCATGAGCTAAAAGACCGTAGTATTTAAACATGAGACCCACCATGAGCTAAAAGACCGTAGTATTTAAACATGAGACCCACCATGAGCTAAAAGACCGTAGTATTTAAACATGAGACCCACCATGAGCTAAAAGACCGTAGTATTTAAACATGAGACCCACCATGAGCTAAAAGACCGTAGTATTTAAACATGAGACCCGCCATGAGCTAAAGGACCGTAGTATTTAAACATGAGACCACCATGAGCTTAAGGACCGTAGTATTTAAACATGAGACCCACCATGAGCTAAAGGACCGTAGTATTTAAACATGAGACCCACCATGAGCTTAAGGACCGTAGTATTTAAACATGAGACCCACCATGAGCTTAAGGACCGTAGTATTTAAACATGAGACCCACCATGAGCTTAAGGACCGTAGTATTTAAACATGAGACCCGCCATGAGCTAAAGGACCGTAGTATTTAAACATGAGACCCACCATGAGCTTAAGGACCGTAGTATTTAAACATGAGACCCACCATGAGCTTAAGGACCGTAGTATTTAAACATGAGACCCGCCATGAGCTAAAGGACCGTAGTATTTAAACATGAGACCCGCCATGAGCTTAAGGACCGTAGTATTTAAACATGAGACCCACCATGAGCTAAAAGACCGTAGTATTTAAACATGAGACCCACCATGAGCTAAAAGACCGTAGTATTTAAACATGAGACCCACCATGAGCTAAAGGACCGTAGTATATAAACATGAGACCCACCATGAGCTAAAGGACCGTAGTATATAAACATGAGACCCACCATGAGCTAAAGGACCGTAGTATATAAACATGAGACCCACCATGAGCTAAAGGACCGTAGTATATAAACATGAGACCCACCATGAGCTTAAGGACCGTAGTATTTAAACATGAGACCACCATGAGCTTAAGGACCGTAGTATTTAAACATGAGACCCACCATGAGCTAAAAGACCGTAGTATTTAAACATGAGACCCACCATGAGCTAAAAGACCGTAGTATTTAAACATGAGACCCACCATGAGCTAAAAGACCGTAGTATTTAAACATGAGACCCACCATGGAGCTAAAAGACCGTAGTATTTAAACATGAGACCCGCCATGAGCTAAAGGACCGTAGTATTTAAACATGAGACCACCATGAGCTTAAGGACCGTAGTATTTAAACATGAGACCCACCATGAGCTAAAGGACCGTAGTATTTAAACATGAGACCCACCATGAGCTTAAGGACCGTAGTATTTAAACATGAGACCCACCATGAGCTAAAAGACCGTAGTATTTAAACATGAGACCCACCATGAGCTAAAAGACCGTAGTATTTAAACATGAGACCCACCATGAGCTAAAAGACCGTAGTATTTAAACATGAGACCCGCCATGAGCTAAAGGACCGTAGTATTTAAACATGAGACCCACCATGAGCTTAAGGACCGTAGTATTTAAACATGAGACCCGCCATGAGCTAAAGGACCGTAGTATTTAAACATGAGACCCGCCATGAGCTTAAGGACCGTAGTATTTAAACATGAGACCACCATGAGCTAAAAGACCGTAGTATTTAAACATGAGACCCGCCATGAGCTAAAGGACCGTAGTATTTAAACATGAGACCACCATGAGCTTAAGGACCGTAGTATTTAAACATGAGACCCACCATGAGCTTAAGGACCGTAGTATTTAAACATGAGACCCACCATGAGCTTAAGGACCGTAGTATTTAAACATGAGACCCACCATGAGCTTAAGGACCGTAGTATTTAAACATGAGACCCACCATGAGCTTAAGGACCGTAGTATTTAAACATGAGACCCGCCATGAGCTAAAGGACCGTAGTATTTAAACATGAGACCCACCATGAGCTTAAGGACCGTAGTATTTAAACATGAGACCCACCATGAGCTTAAGGACCGTAGTATTTAAACATGAGACCCACCATGAGCTAAAAGACCGTAGTATTTAAACATGAGACCCACCATGAGCTTAAGGACCGTAGTATTTAAACATGAGACCCACCATGAGCTAAAAGACCGTAGTATTTAAACATGAGACCACCATGAGCTAAAGGACCGTAGTATTTAAACATGAGACCCACCATGAGCTTAAGGACCGTAGTATTTAAACATGAGACCCGCCATGAGCTTAAGGACCGTAGTATTTAAACATGAGACCCACCATGAGCTAAAGGACCGTAGTATTTAAACATGAGACCCGCCATGAGCTTAAGGACCGTAGTATTTAAACATGAGACCCACCATGAGCTAAAGGACCGTAGTATTTAAACATGAGACCCGCCATGAGCTAAAGGACCGTAGTATTTAAACATGAGACCCACCATGAGCTAAAAGACCGTAGTATTTAAACATGAGACCCACCATGAGCTAAAAGACCGTAGTATTTAAACATGAGACCCGCCATGAGCTAAAGGACCGTAGTATTTAAACATGAGACCCACCATGAGCTAAAGGACCGTAGTATTTAAACATGAGACCCACCATGAGCTTAAGGACCGTAGTATTTAAACATGAGACCCACCATGAGCTTAAGGACCGTAGTATTTAAACATGAGACCCACCATGAGCTAAAAGACCGTAGTATTTAAACATGAGACCCACCATGAGCTAAAAGACCGTAGTATTTAAACATGAGACCACCATGAGCTTAAGGACCGTAGTATTTAAACATGAGACCACCATGAGCTTAAGGACCGTAGTATTTAAACATGAGACCCACCATGAGCTTAAGGACCGTAGTATTTAAACATGAGACCCACCATGAGCTAAAGGACCGTAGTATTTAAACATGAGACCCACCATGAGCTAAAAGACCGTAGTATTTAAACATGAGACCCGCCATGAGCTTAAGGACCGTAGTATTTAAACATGAGACCCACCATGAGCTTAAGGACCGTAGTATTTAAACATGAGACCCACCATGAGCTAAAGGACCGTAGTATTTAAACATGAGACCCACCATGAGCTTAAGGACCGTAGTATTTAAACATGAGACCCACCATGAGCTAAAGGACCGTAGTATTTTACCTAAACTGAAGCCCAACGACGTCTGTGTGATCTGGACTTATACTGTTGTTTTTGCTCTACTCTCCTGAACTTTGCAGATATTTGAGGAAAGTATAGAATTTTAGGCAAAAAAACAAGAGTTGGTTTAATCAGAGTCATGTGATGTGTGTGTCTGGTGTAAATACTGCTGTAAGTATGATGTCATAGAGGTACAATTACATCATACTGTTACTGAGACAGGAGGGGGCGGAGCTACATGTTGGTGTTAGCATGGATCTAAACATAAGGTGTGTGTGTGTGTCGGTGTCTCAGTGTGTATCTGTGTGTGTCACTGTGTGTGTGTGTGTTGTGTTGTGTCTGTGTCTCAGTGTGTGTCTGTTTGTGTGTGTCAGTGTCTGTGTTGTGTCTGTATGTCAATGTGTGTGTGTGTTTGTGAGTGTCTGTCTCTGTCTGTGTGTCTCTGTCGTTGTGTGTGTGTGTGTGTGTGTCTCTGTGTGTGTGTGTGTGTTTTCTGATGTAATGTCTCTGTGACGTTAAAGAAATGATGAAACGGGCGGCGAGGGACTCCTGCAACACTGTCCTCTCACTTACACACAATTTACACTGTATTACAATAAACGTAAACAAACATCACTTTAAGATAGATTTAATTAATTTAAAATTCTGTAAATAAATAATAACAATAAATAAACAGATGTCTTCCTTAATATTTCGGTATTTTCTTAAATTAATCTCATTTTTTAAAATCTCTTTAGTAAAATCTCCTAATCTTAATTTGTGTGTTTATTTACTGTGTTGTGTCCAGATGTGGCTAAATAGCAATTAAAATGGTTGTGTTTTGTGTTTCCGCAGCTGGCCGTGTCTTCATCAGGTGTGTATCTATTTTATGTCATGTATTTTTATAACTCTCAGTAATTCAGTTTATGTAAAGAATTTGTAAAATGCTCCAGTTTGATCTAAAAACCCTTTTCTTTAAGAGCGGGTTCTAAGTCTCCACATAATAATTATTATAATAGAGTTTTTAGAAATATAGTTTTAGAACTTTGACACCAGTGCATTTTGGGGCGTGACGGTAAAACTAGCAAGAGTTTAGTCTAAGTTAGCGTCCTTAGCCAGAGTTAGCGTATGCTGCCCTCATTAGCAAGAATTATTATTATCCATGAGTTAGCCGATGGATGCTAACTCTCCAGCTAATTATAAAGTAAAGGACCAGGAAGTAGGAGCACCCGACTCCGCCCATTTCCGCAGGTCTTCGGGTTCAGACTGGACCGAGTCTGTGTGTGCTCCTGCTTGTTTGGACTGAAAACCTGCAGCCACACGGCCCTTTAAGGACCGGCTTGACTCCTGCTTTTGTACATTAGTCATTTATTTGGTCGACTTCAGTCATTTTCTTGCTGCAGAAAGTTGTGTTCTGGGGCTTTAAAGGCAACAGTGATGTAAGGTCCTCAGAGCAGATGAAGTCCTAATGCCCATAACACTCTTCCTCTTCCTCCTCTTCCTCCTCCTTCACATCTGTGACCGTGGCCTTCTGCTCAAACACGTGTGGAGCTCGTTAAAGTCACACATTGTCTATTTCTGCCTCCAGTGTAAAATCCAAACCGGTTTGTCCTGAACCTTCTGACAGCGAAAGTCAGAGTAAAAACAAATGTGAAATTAAAACATGTCTGTCGTGGAGCGGCTGCTAAGGTCTGCTGTTGTCACTGTCCAGACTGTCAGACGAGAAAGACTGATGCAAAGGGAAGATTGCTGCAGTAAAACCACATTGGAATAGACGCACAAGTCCCCACGGTGCACAAAACAAGAACAGGAATAAAACAATCGTCACTGTGTTTGTGATGTTTACCAAATATGGTCGGATCTTACGACTTCCTCTGCCCTGGAGTTTTTCCCGTGTTCACACTTTTATAATGTTATGTTTCTGAATTAACGATGATCATAGTTTAGTTTAGTTTATTAATGGAAAGCCCCTTGATGTGTCATCTAGTTCTCGAGGGGTCCATAAACACGAAAGACAGATTAGAATAAACGCGGTACAAAAACAGGACCAAACATCCTTCAGGACAGTCACAAACACAGACAGGATTTTAAACAACAAAAACATGCAGAAAGTGTAAAAGGAAACAAAAGCTTTGAGACCAGTAACAAAAGCAGAATGACACATATTCCAAGGACTGAGTAAAAACACACAAAAAACACAGAAACTTGATTATTGAATTGTTGTCAGATTATTCTTTCTCATGAATTTAACCAAAACAAAGTTTAAGTTAAGCTGCTTCTAGAGAACGTCTTGTATTTACTGTTGGTAAAGGCTGGATGCAGAAATAACTTTCCCCCCGTAACTGTGCGTAACTGTGTGTAACTGTGTAACTGTGTGTAACTGTGTAGTGTTGTGTGTAACTGTGTTGTGTTGTGTGTAACTGTGTTGTGTTGTGTGTAACTGTGTTGTGTTGTGTGTAACTGTGTTGTGTTGTGTGTAACTGTGTTGTGTTGTGTGTAACTGTGTTGTGTGTAACTGTGTTGTGTTGTGTGTAACTGTGTTGTGTTGTGTGTAACTGTGTGTTGTGTTGTGTGTAACTGTGTGTTGTGTTGTGTGAAACTGTGTGTAACTGTGGTGTGTGAAACTGTGTGTAACTGTGTGGTGTGTTGCGTGTATTTGTGTAACTGTTTAGTGTGTTGTGTTGTGTGAAACTGTGCGTAACTGTGTTGTGTGTAACTGTGTGGTGTGTTGCGTGTATTTGTGTAACTGTTTAGTGTGTTGTGTGTAACTGTGTGTAGCTGTGTGGTGTGTTGTGTGTAACTGTGTGGTGTTTTGTGTGAAACTGTGTGTAACTGTGTTGTGTGAAACTGTGTGTAACTGTGTGGTGTGTTGCGTGTATTTGTGTAGCTGTGTTGTGTGTAACTGTGTGTAGCTGTGTTGTGTGTAACTGTGTGTTGTGTTGTGTGAAACTGTGCGTAACTGTGTTGTGTGAAACTGTGTAAGTGTGTGGTGTGTTGCGTGTATTTGTGTAACTGTTTAGTGTGTTGTGTGTAGCTGTGTTGTGTGAAACTGTGTGTAACTGTGTTGTGTTGTGTGTAACTGTGTGTAACTGTGTTGTGTGAAACTGTGTGTAACTGTGTAACTGTGTGGTGTGTTGCGTGTATTTGTGTTGCGTGTATTTGTGTAACTGTTTAGTGTGTTGTGTGTAACTGTGTGTAGCTGTGTTGTGTGTAACTGTGTGTTGTGTTGTGTGAAACTGTGCGTAACTGTGTTGTGTGTAACTGTGTGGTGTGTTGCGTGTATTTGTGTAACTGTTTAGTGTGTTGTGTGTAACTGTGTAGCTGTGTGGTGTGTTGTGTGTAACTGTGTGGTGTTTTGTGTGAAACTGTGTGTAACTGTGTGGTGTGTTGCGTGTATTTGTGTAGCTGTGTTGTGTGTAACTGTGTGTTGTGTTGTGTGAAACTGTGCGTAACTGTGTTGTGTGAAACTGTAAGTGTGTGGTGTGTTGCGTGTATTTGTGTAACTGTTTAGTGTGTTGTGTGTAGCTGTGTTGTGTGAAACTGTGTGTAACTGTGTTGTGTTGTGTGTAACTGTGTGTAACTGTGTTGTGTGAAACTGTGTGTAACTGTGTTGTGTGAAACTGTGTGTAACTGTGTGGTGTGTTGCGTGTATTTGTGTAACTGTTTAGTGTGTTGTGTGTAACTGTGTGTAGCTGTGTTGTGTGTAACTGTGTGTTGTGTTGTGTGAAACTGTGCGTAACTGTGTTGTGTGTAACTGTGTGGTGTGTTGCGTGTATTTGTGTAACTGTTTAGTGTGTTGTGTGTAACTGTGTGTAGCTGTGTGGTGTGTTGTGTGTAACTGTGTGGTGTTTTGTGTGAAACTGTGTAACTGTGTTGTGAAACTGTGTGTAACTGTGTGGTGTGTTGCGTGTATTTGTGTAGCTGTGTTGTGTGTAACTGTGTGTTGTGTTGTGTGAAACTGTGCGTAACTGTGTTGTGTGAAACTGTGTAAGTGTGTGGTGTGTTGCGTGTATTTGTGTAACTGTTTAGTGTGTTGTGTGTAGCTGTGTTGTGTGAAACTGTGTGTAACTGTGTTGTGTTGTGTGTAACTGTGTGTAACTGTGTGTAACTGTGTTGTGTGAAACTGTGTGTAACTGTGTTGTGTGAAACTGTGTGTAACTGTGTGGTGTGTTGCGTGTATTTGTGTAACTGTTTAGTGTGTTGTGTGTAACTGTGTGTAGCTGTGTTGTGTGTAACTGTGTGTTGTGTTGTGTGAAACTGTGCGTAACTGTGTTGTGTGTAACTGTGTGGTGTGTTGCGTGTATTTGTGTAACTGTTTAGTGTGTTGTGTGTAACTGTGTGTAGCTGTGTGGTGTGTTGTGTGTAACTGTGTGGTGTTTTGTGTGAAACTGTGTAACTGTGTTGTGAAACTGTGTGTAACTGTGTGGTGTGTTGCGTGTATTTGTGTAGCTGTGTTGTGTGTAACTGTGTGTTGTGTTGTGTGAAACTGTGCGTAACTGTGTTGTGTGAAACTGTGTAAGTGTGTGGTGTGTTGCGTGTATTTGTGTAACTGTTTAGTGTGTTGTGTGTAGCTGTGTTGTGTGAAACTGTGTGTAACTGTGTTGTGTTGTGTGTAACTGTGTGTAACTGTGTGTAACTGTGTTGTGTGAAACTGTGTGTAACTGTGTTGTGTGAAACTGTAACTGTGTAGTGTGTTGCGTGTATTTGTGTAACTGTTTAGTGTGTTGTGTGTAGCTGTGTTGTGTGTAACTGTGTGTTGTGTTGTGTGAAACTGTGCATAACTGTGTGGTGTGTTGCGTGTATTTGTGTACCTGTTTAGTGTGTTGTGTGTAACTGTGTGTAGCTGTGTGGTGTGTTGTGTGTAACTGTGTTGTGTTGTGTTGTGTGAAACTGTATAACTGTGTGGTGTGTTGCGTGTATTTGTGTAACTGTTTAGTGTGTTGTGTGTAACTGTGTGTAACTGTGTGTAGCTGTGTGGTGTGTTGTGTGTAACTGTGTGGTGTTTTGTGTGTGCAGTGGTTGGAGACCCGTCCCAGTCGGCAGCAGTGTCCCGTGTGTAAAGCCGGGATCAGCAGAGACAAAGTGATTCCTTTGTACGGACGAGGCAGCTCCAGTCAGGACGACCCCAGGTACTGTGTGTGTGCGTGTCTGTGCGTGTCTGTGCGTGTCTGTGTGCGTGTCTGTGTGTCTGTGTGTCTGTGTGTCTGTGCGTGTCTGTGCGTGTCTGTGCGTGTCTGTGCGTGTCTGTCTGTGTGTCTGTGCGTGTCTGTGTGTCTGTGCGTGTCTGTGTGCGTGTCTGTGTGTCTGTGCGTGCCTGTGTGTGTGCGTGTCTGTGTGTCTGTGCGTGTCTGTGTGCGTGTCTGTGTGTCTGTGCGTGTCTGTGTGCGTGTCTGTGTGTCTGTGCGTGTCTGTGTGCGTGTCTGTGTGTCTGTGCGTGTCTGTGTGTCTGTGCGTGTCTGTGTGTGTGTGTGCGTGTGTGTGTGTCTGTGCGTGTCTGTGCGTGTCTGTGTGCGTGTCTGTGTGTGTTTGTGCGTGTGTGTGTGCGTGTCTGTGTGCGTGTGTGTGCGTGTGTGTGTGTTCTCTTTGGACCAAGAGCCACTTTTGGCCCAAGAGCCACTTTTGGACCAAGAGCCACTTTTGGACCAAGAGCCACTTTTGGACCAAGAACCACTTTTGGACCAAGAGCCACTTTTGGACCAAGAGCCACTTTTAGACCAAGAGCCACTTTTAGACCAAGAGCCACTTTTGGACCAAGAACCACTTTTGGACCAAGAGCCACTTTTGGACCATGAGCCACTTTTGGACCAAGAGCCACTTTTGGACCAAGAGCCACTTTTGGACCAAGAGCCACTTTTGGACCAAGAGCCACTTTTGGACCAAGAGCCACTTTTGGACCAAGAGCCACTTTTGGACCAAGAGCCACTTTTGGACCAAGAGCCACTTTTGGACCAAGAGCCACTTTTGGACCAAGAGCCACTTTTAGACCAAGAGCCACTTTTGGACCAAGAGCCACTTTTGGACCAAGAGCCACTTTTGGACCAAGAGCCACTTTTAGACCAAGAGCCACTTTTGGACCAAGAGCCACTTTTAGACCAAGAGCCACTTTTAGACCAAGAGCCACTTTTGGACCAAGAGCCACTTTTGGACCAAGAGCCACTTTTGGACCAAGAGCCACTTTTAGACCAAGAGCCACTTTTGGACCAAGAGCCACTTTTGGACCAAGAGCCACTTTTGGACCAAGAGCCACTTTTGGACCAAGAGCCACTTTTAGACCTAGAGCCACTTTTGGACCAAGAGCCACTTTTGGACCATCCTGTAAAGACGTTTTCAAGAAGAAAGAAGGTGCCATAAAAAAAGCATTGGGTAATTCTTTTTCCGGGTACACCCCCACAGGCCCAGAGTGGTTGCAACATGAACCTTTCTCCACTGTTGGATGAATAATTCTTCTGCTTCATGTTGGCGTCTCTCTCCCCAGGTTGAAAACGCCGCCGCGGCCTCCAGGGCAGAGGACGGAGCCGGAGAGCAGAGGAGGAGGCGGGGTCAGTACTGGCGTCCCATCATGCATCTGTGCTGTGTGTGTGTGCGTTCTGCTCATGTTGTCGTCTGCGGCAGATGTTCCAGGGTTTGGGCGACACCGGGTTCCACATGTCGTTTGGCATCGGGGCCTTTCCCTTCGGGTTCTTCACCACAGTCTTCAACACCAACGACCCGTTCCACAGAGCCGGTACAGAGACGCACAACAGTCGGCCATTTATTTGTATAGCACAAGTTGTGTATAAGGCAAATCAAACTGCTTCACAAGAGCAATTTAAAAACACAGATCCAGTCCATACAAAACAAAAAGAAAATAAATTCACAATAATTTTCGTTTAAAACATTATCAGCATAAAAGTATTGGCTTAAAACGCTTCACTAACCTGGTCTTACCACACCACGGTACTCGTCTCATTTGGTACTAAGAGCTCTGTTACCAGTGGGAGGGGTTAGGGTTAGCTCCTGAGTTTACTGTGACGGATGTAATCAAGTGAGTCGTTAGCATTTAGCTTAGCTTTAGCCTAGCTTTAATCTCCTTTGCTGCTAACGGAGCCTGCGGGGAGTACACCAGCAGACACCAGCAGACACCAGCAGACACCAGTACACACCAGTACACACCAGCAGACACCAGTACACACCAGTACACACCAGCAGACACCAGCAGACACCAGCAGACACCAGCAGACACCAGCAGACACCAGCAGACACCAGCAGACACCAGCAGACACCAGCAGACACCAGCAGACACCAGCAGACACCAGCAGACACCAGCAGACACCAGCACTGCTGCTGTAGACTGAGTATGAATGTCACAGAGCATGGACTATAGACACTGCGGAGACTTGGCTCCCTCTTGTGGTCAAAATGTGAAACTGCTGAAGTTTTCTCTTTAACTCATGTGTCTTACTATGTTGTATTTTTAGCATTAAAGAATGTAATAAAATGACAAAAAAGTCTTAAAAAACAATAAACTAGAACTTTTCAAATGACCAGTCTGCCTTCATCATCATCATCATCCTCTCTCTCTCCTCAGACCAGTACGCGGGCGAGCCACAGGCCAACGGTAACCATAACAACGGCAACAACAACAACTGGCAGGACTCGCTCTTCTTGTTCGTGGCCATTTTCTTTTTCTTCTGGCTCCTCAGCGTGTGACCCCCGTCTCCCGGAGCTCACAAACACACGCCACGAACTCTGGCTACGGCGAGAGAAACGGCCCAAACCAGTCTCCTCCACGCCGCACAGGGAAACGCCGCGGAGATGACGGGAGCTTCGCCGTACGCCACAAGGCCAAAGAGTAGCAGCGTTAGCATTAGCATTATTCTCCGAGCGAAATGGACAGAGATGGAATAATAAAAAAGTAGCAATGTTTTAATTTTACAGCTATGTTTTGTTTCTCACCTTGAGCTGCCATGACTCTGTGACGCTAAGCTAACCGCTAAGCTAATGTCCAGACGTGAAAGATGTTGTTGTTGTCGTTGTTCAGCGGGAAACTCGGGTGGAGGACGGCGGCCGGACGCACCTCTGTCCGGAAAAAGTTATTCCACAAATTAATAATGAACTTAGTGAATGATTTTAGTGTAAACGAAGACCGTGGCATAAATCAGAAGGTCCAGAAATCACTCCATTTGTCTGAATCGAGGCAAAGAAAGGCAAGTTTATTTGTATTGCACAGTTCATACACAAAGACAGTGACATGTTTTTAACCTGGATTTAAACATTGTCAGAGAAGAAGCCTGTCTCACGTTTTCAGGAAGACTGTTCTAGATTTTAGCATATATCTGAAATGCCGCCTCTTCATGTTTAGTCCTGGGACCAGTCCCTGTGCTCCTCAGAGTCCCAGCAGGAGGCCAGTCCCTGTGCTCCTCAGAGTCCACAGCAGGAGACCAGTCCCTGTGCTCCTCAGAGTCCCAGCAGGAGACCAGTCCCTGTGCTCCTCAGAGTCACAGCAGGAGGCCAGTCCCTGTGCTCCTCAGAGTCCACAGCAGGAGGTCAGTCCCTGTGCTCCTCAGAGTCACAGCAGGAGGCCAGTCCCTGTGCTCCTCAGAGTCCACAGCAGGAGACCAGTCCCTGTGCTCCTCAGTCCACAGCAGGAGACCAGTCCCTGTGCTCCTCAGTCCACAGCAGGAGGCCAGTCCCTGTGCTCCTCAGAGTCCCAGCAGGAGGCCAGTCCCTGTGCTCCTCAGAGTCCACAGCAGGAGGCCAGTCCCTGTGCTCCTCAGAGTCCCAGCAGGAGTCCAGTCCCTGTGCTCCTCAGAGTCCCAGCAGGAGGCCAGTCCCTGTGCTCCTCAGAGTCCCAGCAGGAGGCCAGTCCCTGTGCTCCTCTGAGTCCCAGCAGGAGGCCAGTCCCTGTGCTCCTCAGAGTCCACAGCAGGAGGCCAGTCCCTGTGCTCCTCAGAGTCCCAGCAGGAGGCCAGTCCCTGTGCTCCTCAGAGTCCCAGCAGGAGGCCAGTCCCTGTGCTCCTCAGTCCACAGCAGGAGGCCAGTCCCTGTGCTCCTCAGTCCACAGCAGGAGGCCAGTCCCTGTGCTCCTCAGTCCACAGCAGGAGGCCAGTCCCTGTGCTCCTCAGTCCACAGCAGGAAGCCAGTCCCTGTGCTCCTCAGTCCACTGCAGGAGGCCAGTCCCTGTGCTCCTCAGAGTCCCAGCAGGAGGCCAGTCCCTGTGCTCCTCAGAGTCCCAGCAGGAGGCCAGTCCCTGTGCTCCTCAGAGTTTGTGTTGGACTGAATACGTGTTTGCAGCCGCCTTTTGAACTCTTTTGAACGAAGCTTGAAAAAACCCGTTAACGGCAAAAGTTGAGGATTTTGAGGTTGCAGCTGAAACAGATCTTTCATTTGTGATTCTCTGAAGTCTTTCCTCTCGTCGTCCTCCGCCTGAATCTAAACATCACATTTTGAACCTAGCTTTATTGAGGCAGGTTTCACAAAGATCCAGCGTCATCTTGGTTCTTAGTAAATATTTATGAAAAGATCAAAACTTTTCTAAACCTCTTCTTTTCCAAATACATGGCTTTCAGTGACCAACACAAAAACATGAAATAAAAGTCAAAATAAGTGTCATTTATGGTCATATTGAAGCATAATTGTCACACGCACCTTTTAAATCATTGTTGTTTGTTCTTTTGTCGCTTCTCTTTGTGAAACCTGCCTCTGGTTTGAAATATGAACATTTGGGAGATTTTTTTTTTTTTAAGTAAAAAGTTGTGAGGATTGAATGAGTTTTGTCCCTCTTCTGTCTCCGTACACGTTCGTCTGTGTGAGTTTGAAAATATATTTGTACATATGAATATTGTAAAAAGAATGAGGTTCGTGGAAAGTGTTAAACGGAGCAAGTTTGTGAACAAATGTGACCTGAAGAGGATTTAAATTTATTTTGTTCTGAATCTGGATTTAGCAGAGAAACGGGCGCGGTACGAAAAACTAAGCATTTGGTAAAACTTTGTGTTTAAGGCTGAGAAGGTTCTTTTACCTCTTGTGTTGTTCTCGGGTCCGATTCAACCGCAGTCATTACAGAATATCCTAAATTATAATTCTTTTTTTAGCTGAGCTTTGATGACTTTTCTGACTCGACCAGCATTGGGTCGTTTTATTTACTTTTAGACAAATTTTAGGGTTTTCTCTACATTTAATCTGTGGAAGGTCATTTTAACCCAAGAACAACACATGGAATAAGAAAAGTGTGAAGAAACTACAAAACTGTTTAATTTTTTTTTATTATTTAAAAAAAAATCTGATAATTAAAATACTGCTTAAAATAATATAAAATGATCTCAAAATCGAACAAGAAAATGACTTAATATTTCTGAAAATAAAATAAAACGAGCCCCAAATGACTTGAAGTATTATTTACTTATTTAAAAAACAAATGTTTTTGTAAAATACAGCATCAAACTTATTATTTCCAAACAAGAAAAGTCTGGAACCAGCTAAAAAAAAGTCACTGCTCAGACTTTTTCTCTGATAAGATTATGAAGTATTCTCTTAAAACTAGTAAAATAATCTTTGACAAACTACATTGAAGCCAAAAACTTAAGCATCATTTATGTTTTTAGTGAATACATCTTTTTTTCACTGCTGGATCTAACCTTTTCTGAGTCGTTTCTTGCCGATGCTGATTCGTTCTTAAACGTTCCGGATCATTTCCCGATCGACCGATGCCTGTTGTTGATTCTCTGATCTGTTGTCGGTGAATCAAGTCCGAGTCGACTGTTGTTGGGGTTCAGGGCGATAGACTCCGGCTTCTTCACACTCGTCTCAGAAGATCATTCTGAGCCTTAAACATGATTCACTTTTACATGTATTTACATGTATTTTCATGAGTTCTAATATATACAGTCTGTGGTTCTAACATCGCAGCCGTTTGTAATGTTTTATGTTCAAACAAAAAGGCTCAAGGAAAAGCATTTGTTTTTCCAGAGACAGGTTTTAACAATGTTTTTCTTCTGTTTGTATAGTTTCAATTTAAATGCATTGGTCATTATTATTATTATTATTATGATGCAAGCTGATCTAAGTTTAGGACATATGTATAATTCCACAGATTTATTTCTAGATATTTTTTAAAACTTTGATTAGATTTTTGATTCCACTCGGTCCTCGACAGGAAAAGACTATTTGACTTTGGTATAAAAAGGACTAATCTGTGGAGTTGGTACTGACGGTACTGGTACTGGTCCTGACGGTACTGGTCCTGACGGTACTGACGGAGGCTGAAGCCTGTGTCTGAAACCGCTCCGTTTCATAACAAACTGTTTTTGGTCTGAAACGTCCAAACTGATGGATCTCAGGTCATTTCACTTTGTATTAAGATTGTGCTGAAACATTGTGGAAACATCGTCCTCGAAATAAAAAGAAAAATGAAATAAAATTGGAGTGAAAGTTGGTGTTTATTGTTTATAGCCAACAGTAATTTACAAAGTGTCTCGAGGAAGGCTTTAAACAGAATTTAAAAACACATTTAACGTAATAATACTTATCTTACAAAAGTGTCCTCCAGACGCAGTCCCAGTTCAGTTTTAGCTGTGGTTCTTCAGAGGTTCTGAGGGAACCTTCACATTCCCATTAGAGGAACTATGACTCATTCAGAACAGCAGGGGGCTCCACTGTGCAAACATTTATACAATCATTTACAATAAGAGTTTAGTAAAACTAAAAAAGTGTAGTCTCTCTAACACCGGGCAATGTGTTCCTGAGGCTCTGTAGAGCGTTCTTGGTTTGATGGTAGAGGCTGTGGCCCGGGAACCAGCAGATAAGATACAATGTGTATTCAATTCAATTCCATTATTTTTTGTTTAGCCATAAATCTCAACAGCAGTGGTCAGAGGACTTTGATCCGTCAGAAAATGCTAAAATTACAACACAAGTCTACAACCATTGGACCATCAGGAGAGAAAGTCCATCAATGTCCCCCAATCTTCACTGTCCTGAGACCCTCCAGCATCAGCAGAGAAAGACTCAACAAACCTCCAGAATAATGAGATCCCTCTGCTCCCACAGGCTGTAGATCCAGGACTGAGGCTGTAGAACCAGGACTCAGGCTGTAGATCCAGGACTGAGGCTGTAGAACCAGGACTCAGGCTGTAGATCCAGGACTGAGGCTGTAGATCCAGGACTGAGGCTGTAGATCCAGGACTGAGGCTGTAGACCCAGGACTGAGGCTGTAGATCCAGGACTGAAGCTGTAGAACCAGGACTGAGGCTGTAGAACCAGGACTCAGGCTGTAGATCCAGGACTGAGGCTGTAGATCCAGGACTGAGGCTGTAGATCCAGGACTGAGGCTGTAGATCCAGGACTGAGGCTATAGAACCAGGACTGAGGCTGTAGATCCAGGACTGAGGCTGTAGATCCAGGACTGAGGCTGTAGATCCAGGACTGAGGCTGTAGATCCAGGACTGAGGCTGTAGATCCAGGACTGAGGCTGTAGATCCAGGACTGAGGCTATAGAACCAGGACTGAGGCTGTAGATCCAGGACTGAGGCTGTAGATCCAGGACTGAGGCTGTAGATCCAGGACTGAGGCTGTAGATCCAGGACTGAGGTTGTAGATCCAGGACTGAGGCTGTAGATCCAGGACTGAGGCTGTAGACCCAGGACTGAGGCTATAGAACCAGGACTGAGGCTGTAGATCCAGGACTGAGGCTGTAGATCCAGGACTGAGGCTGTAGATCCAGGACTGAGGTTGTAGATCCAGGACTGAGGCTATAGAACCAGGACTGAGGCTGTAGATCCAGGACTGAGGCTGTAGATCCAGGACTGAGGCTGTAGATCCAGGACTGAGGCTGTAGATCCAGGACTGAGGCTGTAGAACCAGGACTGAGGCTGTAGATCCAGGACTGAGGCTGTAGAACGAGGACTCGGGCTGTAGAACGAGGACTCGGGCTGTAGAACGAGGACTCGGGCTGTGCTGTGTAAATGACTCCACACGGGGGCAGTACTGAGCAGCCCGGTGTGAGAGAACCTGGTTTCCATTCGTTTCCTGGTATTTTATCTTCTGCTGAACTTCGTAAAAAATTGGGGGATGCAAAGGTCAAGTTTAAGTAAGAGATGGAGAGAAATGTAAAGCTGGGGTACCTAACTTTCAAACTACAAACAATTGAAGTGCACAAAATGTTCTGCTGTAAAGTGTTTTTACTTAAGTATAATCTCTAAAATGTAACCGTAAACATAGAATAACGATGTCACAGAAGGTTTAGTATTTACATGTTTATTACATGTTTATTACAACTTTATTATTAAAACATAAAACCTTCAATCTTTTGAACATCTGTAAAAACAGTTTATTTATTTTAACGTCCTGAGGAGCTTCACATTTGTTAAAGTCTTTATAATCAGTCTTTATTGACAAACATAACGAAAAAGTGCAAAATCAGCAAATGTTTCAGTAAACGATCGGGATAAAGGTGATAAAAAAGGTCTAAAATGTTTTGACACGAAGCGTTTTTGAAATATCTCATTTCTTGTTTTTCTTGTTGAGGAGTTTCATGAGGCTTTTGGACATAAAGTACGGCTTCTGAGGAGAGCCGTCGTTCCGCTCCAGGTCCTCCACTGCAACGACCGCAACAACACACCAGACGTCATGTGACATCATGAGACACGTGACATCATCAGACATCATGTGACATCATCAGACACGTGACATCATTAGACATCATGTGACATCATGTGACATCATGAGACATCATCAGACACGTGACATCATGAGACATCATGAGACATCATGAGACATGTGACATCATGAGACAATAATGAAAAGACTCACAGAAGCAGAGGAAGAGCGTGTCCACACACATGTTGTAGACGCTGAAGAAGCCGTGAGCGATGAGGTAACTCCCGAACACCACGGTCTGAAACACGGAACAACAAACAACATTTACTACAGTTATAACATTAACATTAAACCGACAGTTTCGTCTCTGAGCGGCTGAAAAAAGCCATTGCTGCAGAATAAACATTTTACAAACTGGAAAAGTCTGGATCAGCAGCATTCTGGGAGAGGGGCGTCGTTTGAGAGAAATGGGAACTTTACAAATTGATTTTCCAAACGATGGAATCTTAAATTTTTGACAATCTTTGATTTTTCTCTCAGTCCAGAGCCGTGACTCACAATGATGGGCATCCAGTAGTAGTTGAGTGTCTCCGAGCGGAAGTTGGAGCCCGGCAACAGGATCCTCCCAGAGAAGAAGAAGAACGACAACACGCCTGAACAAACACATGAAATCATTCACATAAAACAAATACAGCAACACAACTCTTTCTCCTAAGAATAATCTAATCAATGAATCTAATAATCTACAATAATCTAATCTAATAATCTACAATAATCCAGACTGATCCTCACCCACTCCTCCAACGACCAGCAGCTTCCCAAAGAACATCAGTAAATCAGTGACTTTATCCAAGACCACCACTCTGAAAACACGTCAGAGGGTATCAGGGGGTATCAGGGGGTGTCAGAGGGTGTCAGAGGGTATCAGAGGGTATCAGAGGGTGTCGGAGGGTGTCAGAGGGTATCAGAGGGTATCAGAGGGTGTCGGAGGGTGTCAGAGGGTATCAGAGGGTGTCAGAGGGTATCAGAGGGTATCAGAGGGTGTCGGAGGGTGTCAGAGGGTATCAGGGGGTGTCAGAGGGTATCAGAGGGTGTCGGAGGGTGTCAGAGGGTATCAGGGGGTGTCAGAGGGCATCAGAGAGTATCAGAGAGTATCAGAGGGTATCAGAGGGTGTCGGAGGGTGTCAGAGGGTGTCAGAGGGTGTCAGAGGGTGTCAGAGGGTGTCAGAGGGTATCAGAGAGTATCAGAGGGTATCAGGGTGTATCAGGGTGTATCAGAGGGTGTCAGAGGGTATCAGGGTATCAGGGTATCAGAGAGTATCAGGGTGTATCAGAGGGTATCAGGGTATCAGAGGGCATCAAAGGGTATCAGAGAGTATCAGAGGGTATCAGAGAGTATCAGAGAGTATCAGGGTGTATCAGAGGGTATCAGAGGGTGTCGGAGGGTGTCAGAGGGTATCAGGGGGTGTCAGAGGGCATCAGAGAGTATCAGAGAGTATCAGAGAGTATCAGAGGGTATCAGAGGGTGTCGGAGGGTGTCAGAGGGTATCAGAGGGTATCAGAGGGTGTCAGAGGGTATCAGAGAGTATCAGAGGGTATCAGGGTGTATCAGAGGGTGTCAGAGGGTATCAGGGTATCAGAGAGTATCAGGGTGTATCAGAGGGTATCAGGGTATCAGAGGGCATCAGAGAGTATCAGAGGGTATCAGAGGGTATCAGAGGGCATCAGAGAGTATCAGAGAGTATCAGAGGGTATCAGAGGGCATCAGAGGGCTTCAGAGGGTATCAGAGAGTATCAGAGAGTATCAGGGGGTATCAGAGGGTATCAGAGGGTATCAGAGGGCTTCAGAGAGTATCAGAGAGTATCAGGGGGTATCAGAGGGTATCAGAGAGTATCAGGGGGTATCAGAGGGTATCAGAGGGTATCAGAGGGCATCAGAGGGCTTCAGAGAGTATCAGAGAGTATCAGGGGGTATCAGAGGGTATCAGAGGGTATCAGGGCATCAGAGGGCATAAGAGAGTATCAGAGGGTATCAGGGTATCAGAGGGCATAAGAGAGTATCAGAGGGTATAAGAGAGTATCAGGGGGTATCAGAGGGTATCAGAGGGTATCAGGGTATCAGAGGGCATAAGAGAGTATCAGGGGGTATCAGAGAGTATCAGGGGGTATCAGAGGGTGTCAGAGGGTATCAGAGAGTATCAGAGGGTATCAGAGGGCATAAGAGAGTATCAGGGGGTATCAGAGAGTATCAGGGGGTATCAGAGGGTGTCAGAGGGTATCAGGGGGTGTCAGAGGGCATCAGAGAGTATCAGAGGGTATCAGAGGGTGTCGGAGGGTGTCAGAGGGTATCAGAGGGTGTCAGAGGGTGTCAGAGGGTATCAGAGGGTGTCAGAGGGTGTCAGAGGGTATCAGAGAGTATCAGAGGGTATCAGGGTGTATCAGGGTGTATCAGAGGGTGTCAGAGGGTATCAGGGTATCAGGGTATCAGAGGGTATCAGAGAGTATCAGGGTGTATCAGAGGGTATCAGGGTATCAGAGGGCATCAAAGGGTATCAGAGAGTATCAGAGGGTATCAGAGAGTATCAGAGAGTATCAGGGTGTATCAGAGGGTATCAGGGTATCAGAGGGCATCAGAGAGTATCAGAGGGTATCAGAGGGTATCAGAGGGCATCAGAGAGTATCAGAGAGTATCAGAGGGTATCAGAGGGCTTCAGAGGGCTTCAGAGGGTATCAGAGAGTATCAGAGAGTATCAGGGGGTATCAGAGGGTATCAGAGGGTATCAGAGAGTATCAGGGGGTATCAGAGGGTGTCGGAGGGTGTCAGAGGGTGTCAGAGGGTGTCAGAGGGTGTCAGAGGGTATCAGAGAGTATCAGAGGGTATCAGGGTGTATCAGGGTGTATCAGAGGGTGTCAGAGGGTATCAGGGTATCAGGGTATCAGGGTATCAGAGAGTATCAGGGTGTATCAGAGGGTATCAGGGTATCAGAGGGCATCAAAGGGTATCAGAGAGTATCAGAGGGTATCAGAGAGTATCAGAGAGTATCAGGGTGTATCAGAGGGTATCAGGGTATCAGAGGGCATCAGAGAGTATCAGAGGGTATCAGAGGGTATCAGAGGGCATCAGAGAGTATCAGAGAGTATCAGAGGGTATCAGAGGGCTTCAGAGGGCTTCAGAGGGTATCAGAGAGTATCAGGGGGTATCAGAGGGTATCAGAGGGTATCAGAGGGCTTCAGAGAGTATCAGAGAGTATCAGGGGGTATCAGAGGGTATCAGAGAGTATCAGGGGGTATCAGAGGGTATCAGAGGGTATCAGAGGGCATCAGAGGGCTTCAGAGAGTATCAGAGAGTATCAGGGGGTATCAGAGGGTATCAGAGGGTATCAGGGCATCAGAGGGCATAAGAGAGTATCAGAGGGTATCAGGGTATCAGAGGGCATAAGAGAGTATCAGAGGGTATAAGAGAGTATCAGAGGGTATAAGAGAGTATCAGGGGGTATCAGAGGGTATCAGGGCATCAGAGGGCATAAGAGTATCAGAGGGTATAAGAGAGTATCAGGGGGTATCAGAGGGTATCAGAGGGTATCAGGGTATCAGAGGGCATAAGAGAGTATCAGGGGGTATCAGAGAGTATCAGGGGGTATAAGAGAGTATCAGGGGGTATCAGAGAGTATCAGGGGGTATCAGAGAGTATCAGGGGGTATCAGAGAGTATCAGGGGGTATCAGAGGGTATCAGGGGGTATCAGAGGGTATCAGGGGGTATCAGAGAGTATCAGGGGGTATCAGAGAGTATCAGGGGGTATCAGAGGGTATCAGGGGGTATCAGAGGGTATCAGGGGGTATCAGAGGGTATCAGGGGGAGACTCGTGAACAGACTGACCTCACGATGTTTCTCATCAGGAGCATGAAGGCGTTTTTGGCCGAAGTGCAGAAGTTTTTTCCATAAATGGCGACCTGTGGAGAAAACAGCCCTAAGTCACAACTGTATTTATTAAAAAAAATTCAATTCACCAACACAGATCAGAGACTCAGGCTGGACCTCCAGTTTGTGATTTTCTATATCACTGTAAATCATTCACTCTGGAGGATTTACTCTGTGCAGAGTAGTTTGTAATGAGCATAAAATGTTGTTCGTACTTGTCGACTTGTTTTTCTTTTTGTGTAAATGTGACTTATTCATAATAATCACACTGCCGTAGCCTGCTGTAACCAGCCCTACCCTGGTTACCTGCCGTAACCAGCCGCAACCAACTGAAACCTGCTGTAACCAGCCGTAACCAACTGAAACTTGCTGTAACCAGCCGTAACCAACTGAAACCTGCTGTAACCTGCCGTAACCAACTGAAACCTGCTGTAACCAGCCGTAACCAACTGAAACCTGCTGTAATCTGCCGTAACCAACTGAAACCTGCTGTAACCTGCCGTAACCAACTGAAACCTGCTGTAACCTGCCGTAACCAACTGAAACCTGCTGTAACCAGCCGTAACCAACTGAAACCTGCTGTAACCAGCCGTAACCAACTGAAACCTGCTGTAATCTGCCGTAACCAACTGAAACCTGCTGTAACCAGCCGTAACCAACTGAAACCTGCTGTAACCAGCCGCAACCAACTGAAACCTGCTGTAACCAGCCGCAACCAACTGAAACCTGCTGTAACCAGCCGTAACCAACTGAAACCTGCTGTAACCAGCCGTAACCAACTGAAACCTGCTGTAACCAGCCGTAACCAACTGAAACCTGCTGTAACCAGCCGTAACCAACTGAAATCTTCTGTAACCAGCCGTAACCAACTGAAACCTGCTGTAAGCTTCTGTAACCGTCCGTAACCTGGCGGAACCTGCCGTAACCAGCCATAACCTGCCGTAACCTGCCGTAAGCTTCCGTAACCTGCCGTAACCTGCCGTAAGCTTCCGTAACCTGCCGTAACCTGCCGTAAGCTTCCGTAACCAGCTGTAACCACCCGTAATTACTTTGCTACTGGCTTGGGACACACAGGTGTAAGTGTGACGTTCACTGGGTTAAGTGTCTTGCCAAAGGACACACAGCAGTGTGCTACAGTGCCTTGCGAAAGTATTCGGCCCCCTTGAACCTTTCAACATTTCGCTATATTTCAGGCTTCAAACATAAAGATATAAAATTTTAATTTTTTGTCAAGAATCAACAATAAGTGGGACACAATCGTGAAGTGGAATGAAATTTGTTGGATAATTTTAACAAATAAAAAACTGAAAAGTGGGGCGTGCAATATTATTCGGCCCCTTTACTTTCAGTGCAGCAAACTCACTCCAGAAGTTCAGTGAGGATCTTTGAATGATCCAATGTTGTCCTAAATGACTGATGATGATAAATAGAATGCACCTGTGCGTAATAAAGTCTCCGTATAAATGCACCTGCTCTTTGATAGTCTCAGGGTTCTGTTTAAAGCGCAGAGAGAACCATGAAGACAAAGGAACACACCAGGCAGGTCCGAGATACTGTTGTGGAGAAGTTTAAAGCCGGATTTGGATACAAAAAGATTTCCCAAGCTTTAAACATCTCAAGGAGCACTGTGCAAGCAATTATATTGAAATGGAAGGAGTATCAGACCACTGCAAATCTACCAAGACCCGGCCGTCCCTCCAAACTTTCATCTCAAACAAGGAGAAGACTGATCAGAGATGCAGCCAAGAGGCCCATGATCACTCTGGATGAACTGCAGATAACTACAGCTGAGGTGGGGATGGTGTGTTCAGGGTGATGAGCTGTGTTGCTTTTACGCCAAACATATCGTTTTGCATTGTGGCCAAAAAGTTTGATTTTGGTTTCATCTGACCAGAGCACCTTCTTCCACATGTTTGGTGTCTCCCAGGTGGCTTGTGGCAAACTTTAAGAGACTTTTTATGGATATCTTTGAGAAATGGCCACTCTTCCATAAAGGCCAGATTTGTGCAGTGCACGACTGATTGTTGTCCTATGGACAGACTCTCCCACCTCAGCTGTAGTTATCTGCAGTTCATCCAGAGCGATCATGGGCCTCTTGTCTGCATCTCTGATAGTCTTCTCCTTGTTTGAGATGAAGGTTTGGAGGGACGGCCGGGTCTTGGTAGATTTGCAGTGGTCTGATACTCCTTCCATTTCAATATAATTGCTTGCACAGAGCTCCTTGAGATGTTTAAAGCTTGGGAAATCTTTTTGTATCCAAATCCGGCGTTAAACTTCTCCACAACAGTATCTCGGACCTGCCTGGTGTGTTCCTTTGTCTTCATGGTTCTCTCTGCGCTTTAAACAGAACCCTGAGACTATCAAAGAGCAGGTGCATTTATACGGAGACTTGATTACACACAGGTGCATTCTATTTATCATCATCAGTCATTTAGGACAACATTGGATCATTCAAAGATCCTCACTGAACTTCTGGACTGAGTTTGCTGCACTGAAAGTAAAGGGGCCCAATAATATTGCACGCCCCACTTTTCAGTTTTTTATTTGTTAAAAAAAGTTTAAATTATCCAATACATTTTGTTCCACTTCACGATTGTGTCCCACTTGTTGTTGATTCATGACAAAAAATTTAAATTTTATATCTTTGTTTGCAGACTGAAATGTGGCGAAATGTTGAAAGGTTCAAGGGGGCCGAATACTTTCGCAAGGCACTGTAAGTGCTGCCAATCAAGGATTTCTCACACATGAAATTCCTCTAAGATTTTTTCCAAAAGGACGACCCTCGGATATCGAGAGCAAATGTAAGTTGATTTTTAAGTCGTTTTATGAATCCTGTGAATAATGACATTAACGTTCATGCAGAGGGTCTCGCTGTGTTTGTTATCGTCTTTCCTGTGTTCGAACTGTTTGAGTCTTTGATCTGTCGTTGAGGAATCGACAACAAATCCTCCGAGACGACTGTGGTCAAATATAAACGGAGAGAGTTCACCATGATGTAGGCGTTTCTGTTCAGGAACTTGATGAACTTCTCCAAACACCATAAGCAGCATTTCAGACAGCACAGGATGAAGCGAGCCACAGGGTTCTGGGCCGCTGTGGACACAGGTCAGAGGTCAGAGGTCAAGACACAGGTCAGTCAGAGGTCAGAGATCAGCGACAGGTCAGAGGTCAAGTACAGGCGTTCAGTGAGAGTCTCACATCGTGTTTTGTGGTCGATGTATTCCAGAATGATCCGCACCAGCTGCACCAGAGTCAGGATGAGAGCGCCGAACGCCACGGAGCCCGTGTGATACCTGCAAACACATCAGTTTGATTCAGAGGAATGTGACGCACAATATGCTTTCTCTGGTTACACAAGACATCTTTATTATGCTACAGTTTGAGCTGAAATCCATTCTTGTATCAGATGAAAAAAAAATGCCTTAAGCCACAGATCTGTGAAAGACAGAACCTGTCAGACCTCTGAAGCTAAGGCCTGGTTAGTGCTGTGATGGGAGACCTCTGGGAACATTAGGTGCCACAGTGGGGCGGCTGCGGCTGTAAATCTATGTAGGTATTCCATTCACAATCACCAGCGAACGGTCATTTAAAAAGTTAATGGTTAATGTCTAGAACGAGTCTGGTGTGTGTTGCTGATGGTCGAGGGTTGCTGATGGCACAGACTGGTTTCCTGGCTCCTCCCCCAGGGCAGCTCTAGCTACAGTAGGAGTTTATCACAACTGTGTCTTTGAGTGTCCTAAAGGCACTAAATAAAACCAATGTATTATTAAAGTGCAGTGAGCATGGGGTGGGCTTGAAAACAACGTAAGGTCTGTTTTGAAGAGGGAGCATGAGAGCAGAGGCAGTAGCAGAGTCTCACCGGAGCGTCCGCAGGAAGGCGCCGGACAGCGGGAACGTGGGGATGTCCTTGGGTTTGTTGTAGGCCCAGTAGTACGAGGCGAAGGCTCCAGCCAGAGTGCACTGACCCAGAGCGAGGGCAAAGTTCACACACCACAGGAAGGCCACCACGTTGTAGATCTGCAGGTTGAACAGATTCTGCTGGAACATGCCCTCATCGTTGTATTTGAGGAAGATGCAGCTGGCAGAGGGGCATTCTGGGTAATCGGTCTGGTTGAAGTTCTGTGGAGGACAAGAAAACGGGTGAAGGACTTCTCAAGGATACAATATACAGCCTGCAAATAAACCTAAATAAATATCTTTGTAAAGGACATGACCCTCTGCTTGACCAGAAACCTGTCATTACAGTTGTAGGGTTTTGTTGGCCCCTGTACAAGCCGGGTTAACTAAAGCGGCCCTCTTACTAAAAGGATGAATAATTCTTATCCAACGCAGATAGAGTGCCACTTTATGTCTGATGAAAATGGTTTGTTTGGTTCCATTTTATTTGGTTTTACATCAAGGAACCCTAGTATCTCCAGAGATATAATTAACAACTAATTAAAACATGTGTAAAACTAATCAGAGCTTTACCAGAGGATCACACATCTCAGAGCCGTTGATCTTCTTGCATCCGTCCAGTGTGGAGTTCAGAGCCACCACCGTGTAAATGGGAGCTCCTGAAGTGGCCAAATACCTGCAGGATTCGCTCAGGAAATGCACACAGCTTAAGTTTTGTTTCTTCCTCCATTGGACAATAAACTACTTGGCACTTCGTTTGTCACTTAAGTGCAGAGATAAGAGCAAATAGAAGAGAATATAGCAGATTAGGTTCAAGGCAAATGTTGACTATAAATGTTTGTGGAAACTGTTTCCCAATGCTATTCTGGAAATGTAAGCCCCAAGTGTCCGGCTGCTACATGTTTGAATGTGAGGATACAGGGCGGTGGCGCCCCAGTACGCCACGCAGACCAGCACCATGACGAAGGTGATCACCGGGTAGAGCAGAGTCGACATCATGTGAGACACCGCTCTGGAGACAATCAGGGTCAGAGTGATACAAATATTCAATACAAATCATACCATCCTCTAAAGACAGATTCTACAGACACTACCAAACAACCCCATTTACGGACGAGAAGACTAAAGCTTGACTTATACGATATTCAATGTTTTGGGGTCCCTTTAAAACATCTGTGTTTGTAAAAAAAAAAAAAAATAACTTCTTGGGTCAAACCCCAAAACACACCAAAGCATTATTAAGGAAGGGCTTTTTTCATCTTTTTAAACAGTGTAGTGTTTTGAACTGAGGTTATTTAAAAAAACATTTGGCGATCAACATGAGAAGAGCAGACGTTGTGTGAGAAGGACACAGGTGCTGGATCAAAGCAGATTCTACGGAGTGAGATTTCTTTGGAAACATAGATCCTTCGGTCTTCATGTCTACGCTAACAGCAGGACAGACAGGACGCACTTGCTGGACTCCTGGATGAGGGCGATGGCGATGAGGATCCTCTTCCTCAGAAAGATGACGGTCAGGAGCACGACGGCCTCCACGATAGAAATGATGATCACTGAAGGACACCAGCAAACTTATCAAAGACTTCATCTGTGGTTTACGACAGCGAGACAAACCTGGAAATTCTACAGCATCTCAGTTACACCAATATGTGGGTTTACAGCAGAGTTTATGTGAAACTAAACTTGTGAAACTTGGGTCACATTTTGAGCACTTTTATCCATCAACCTTTTCCTACTCTAAATATTCAATTAAAATACAATTAGATTTACTTCATGTAAACAAGTGAGTCAATTTTGTTATATTTTCATATATTTGAGAAACAATTATATTTTGAAGGAAGCATGTATAGAATACTAATAATCATCATGTTTTATTTACTTATTCCGTTTTCATGCTTTGACTCTGGAATTTGACAAATTGACACAAAACTGCAATGAAATTCACTTTTACATTACATTTGACTTTTTACTGCATGTGTGTGTACACGGCTCTAAAAAGTGAAATATCTAAACTCAATAATGAATACAATGATAAACCTCTGATTATTCTTTCAGTATGGGTATAACTAGGACGTTGGTACTCACGGATGCCCAGCCACGTCTCCTTGACCTGCAGATAAGACTGGATGTTGGTGGTGAGGCCGATGTCGGAGATGGAAGCAGAGTTCCGGCTGTAGTTGTCGTATTCCCAGTAGCAGTGATATATTCCTGAGAGGAACAAGCCGTTTACAAAGTAACAATAAACAATCTAATATATAACAATATTATTTTCTCCAGCCCGATAAACACAATGTAAATCAGGATAGAAAACATAATAACTGGTTGCCATATCGTGTAACCCTAGTGAAGATAGATAAGAAATAAAATCAGAGAATATTGAATGTAATGAACTCTTATCAATATGCCTACTGTATTTAAGTCTTTGCATTACATTCAAAATAATTGTTCAATAAATGTTTGTTTGGATAAAAAGCAAGAGAAAAGTATGAGCCAAAATGTCACTGTTGACAAATGCATCAAAGAAATGAAAAGATTTACAATAAGGTATGTCAGCCATAACAGATTCTCTCGTCATTTTCTTTCATCCATGGTTGTAACGTTGTGTTCAAGAGACGTTACCATAAGCTCCAGCGACCAGGACCCCCACGATCAGGACCCAGACCATGACGGGGGCCGTGAACCTCAGCAGCAGCAGGAACAACAGACTGGTCACCATGGCGATCAGCAAACCACTGCACCCACAAGAGCTATTGACACATTCTGTATAACAGTTTGTAATGGAATCATACACTTACAGTAGAATCCAAGGCCAGGCAGACGCAAAGTCCTCAAAGATCTGCACTCCGAGGTCTTTGGCGTTAAATCCGGTGATGACGTCACTGCAACAGGTTTTTGAAAACTCAAAAAAACTCCAGCAGTTACGTTTAAAGCTCTACGATTCACAAGCTCTACGATTCACAAGCTCTACGGTTCACAAGCTCTACGGTTCACAAGCTCTACGATTCACAAGCTCTACGGTTCACAAGCTCTAAGATTCACAAGCTCTACGGTTCACAAGCTCTACGATTCACAAGCTCTACGATTCACAAGCTCTAAGGACTACAAAGATGGGACCAATGACGTCAACTCAAAACAATGAAAAGGGATCTATACCAGCGATTCTCAAACAGACACAGCCAAGAACACATTTTGATGTGAAGTTTAACAGTTCCAAGCTTAGTTAGTAATAGTTGATGCAATCTCACAGCAGAAGGACAGAGACTGAGATTGCCTGCTCCTGTTCGTGACGCCAATGACCACAAATTGAGAAAGGTCAAGACGGTCAAAGAAAAAGCAGGAGAACACTAGAGGCAGTGTTTCACCATCGGAACAAGCCCATGTGAAAGGAACCCTCCAGACTCTGTGATATTGTCCATCTGAGTCCATCCAAATCTGCCTGTGTTTTGTCTTTTGCAGAGAATAATGTTACATTGAAATGGCAGGAGCATAGACTAAAGTCTCATCACTATGGATCAAACCGGTCTCAAACCAGTAGGTTGGTGCCTTAGTTTGAGAACCACTGGTCTAACTTTCCCATCCATGCAAATACATGATTGTATTAGTATTTGAATCTACAGCATCTCAAACTAAAAAAACTCACTGACCGACTGCTGCAGGTGAGACAGGGGAGGGTCAAACGTTAGGTCCATGTGAATCATTATTACAGGAGTAAATCATATATTGGCGAGTCTTACCTTGTGCCATTTTTCAACAAATTGACGGTGCTGTTTAAATCAGAGGGCAAACCTGGGATCTGGGCAAAGGACGGGGGAATTGCACCCAAAGACGAGATATTGGGCAAACAGCGGCCGAGGACTGAAACAAGAATCACAATAAGAATTGTTTTTATAGTAAATAAGTCACAATCTAAGAATCTGCTTTTGTAAAGGGTGCAAACAAGTTATAAAAGTGACCAATGTGTATTCAAAAAAGCCTTAATAAAATCCAAATGTATATAAGTCCACACAATAGAAATTTAACTGGGAAGATGCTCAAGCTATGATATTATAAAGTGGGTCTAGTGATGACTTATGAAGAGTCCATGAGCCCAACTGCAGAGAGGGAGAAACTGTCCTTATGGCCTCAGGAAAGTGTGTCAAATCATTTTATCTTAGAAACTGAAATTCAATAAATATCACCAGGAAACTACTCCTGTGTCTCCATCTTATTCTTCTGCCTACCGTCATTTCTAAACCAGGTCTAAACCAACAGTTCTCAGTCCTAGCTAAACCAGGACCCACAGGAAATGAAGATGACACAGTGGAACCAGGACCTACCCCCAATCAGAGGCGTCGTGAAGAACGGGCACAGATCTTTGGCAATAATTTCTGGAACTTTCTGAAACATAGATGTTTATCTCTTTAAAAAAATCTCTCCCAGAGGAGTTGAGTTTGTCATTCACCTTTTGTTGAAACTGTACTCACCATTGGGGTTGTTTTGAGATCCAAAGAAGGCACACAGTAGTCCTGCTCAAACACTTCTGAGGGTTTTTTTAACCAATCCAAAGGGCTTAGTCCCCAAAACTGGTCGGGGCATTCCTTCACACAAACCTGAAACGATGTACGATGAAAACGGGTACGGCAATCATTACACTAAAGGTGCATTCACCAATCACCAGGGGCAACTAAACAATATGGACAAAACCCTCTTCCATTCCATTAAAGCACACACAGAACACTCGCCTGCGTGGTCGGACACTGTAACCCTTGGAGCGATCCGGCCATTATGTTGTTTGCAGAAGCACATTTGATCATGTCTAAATAAAAGAGGTTTGGACGGCCCCTGAAAAGAACACGATAAATCGGTGAGGATGTTTTTTACCTGTTTGTACAAAGTCAAATGAAAAGTCGTTACTCGTTTGGGCCGATGCCGCAGAACCATCCTGTGGAGTTCCGTGGATACAGGACGTGTCTGGGGTCGCCGTAGATCCAGGCTGAGGACGGAGAGCAGAACGAGGACATCCATCACTCAGGGGCCTGATATTTACTAACTTCATTTTCCAGTTTAAGCTCCAATGTTGATTCAGTTTCACTGTTGGACTTAGTAAGTATTTGTTTTAGCAGACGAGTTGTTCAAGTTCACCTCAGCGTCCAAATAATTGTTTTATAATCATCATAACGTAACGTGACGTTTGGTTTGTGTTGGAACAGACCATCATCATAGAGCTTCATCATAGAGCACCATCATAGGGCACCATCATAGAGCTTCATCATAGAGCTACATCATAGAGCACCATCATAGGGCACCATCATAGAGCTTCATCATAGAGCACCATCATAGAGCACCATCATAGGGCACCATCATAGAGCTTCATCATAGAGCACCATCATAGGGCACCATCATAGAGCTTCATCATAGAGCTTCATCATAGAGCTTCATCATAGAGCACCATCATAGGGTACCATCATAGGGCACCATCATAGGGCACCATCATAGGGCACCATCATAGAGCTTCATCATAGAGCTTCATCATAGAGCACCATCATAGAGCACCATCATAGAGCACCATCATAGAGCTTCATCATAGAGCTTCATCATTGAGCACCATCATAGAGCACCATCATAGTTTGTTCATTGCTATTCACCCGTTGTCCCATTGTCTGTTTCATGGTACGATGACGGGATCTCTGAGCCTGGCCTCTTCCATCTACACCTGCGGACTGCCCCGCCCGACCCGCCTGGGAGTGCTTCAGTCCTGCACCGGACCTGTCCACGTTCAGCGGCCAGCGGCCACGTTCTGTAGCTAGCTTAGGTCCTGGATCATTAGCCTGTCCGTCCGGAGGAGCGGATCCCTTTCTCAAATGGGTCTCCCTCCCTGTGGGTTTCCCTAGTGCTCCCCAAGGTTTCTCACTTTTTCCCACTGGGTTTTTAAGAGTTGTTCCTTGTGGATGCAGGAGGGTCTTGTTGGACAGTTAGTGTCCAACAGAAAGGATTGGTGATGATCAGGACACTTTAGCATTCTACAACATGTATGGACATTTTCTTCTGTGTGTGCTTTATATTCTTCATGTGTTTTAACTGTTGATTCTCTGACCTGTGTTGGTGATTTCAATGGTTTTGTTAAGTCTCTGAGATGACTTCTGTTGTGACCTAGGGCTATAAATGAATAAATTGTATTGTCATAGAGCTTCATCATAGAGAATCATCATAGAGCTTCATCATAGAGCTTCATCATAGAGCACCATCATAAAGCACCATCATAGAGCACCATCATAGAGCTTCATCATAGAGCTTCATCATAGAGCACCATCATAGAGCATCATAAAGCATGATGCTTTATGATGCTCTATGATGGTGCTGACTTCTGTTGTGACCTAGGGCTATACAAGAATAAATTGTATTGTATTGTCATAGAGCTTCATCATAGAGAATCATCATAGAGCTTCATCATAGAGCTTCATCATAGAGCACCATCATAAAGCACCATCATAGAGCACCATCATAGAGCTCCATTATAGAGCACCATCATAGAGCTTCATCATAGAGCTCCATCATAGAGCACCATCATAGAGCATCATAAAGCATCATCATAGAGCTTCATCATAGAGCACCCTCATAGAGCTTCATCATAGAGCACCATCATAGAGCTTCATCATAGAGCTTCATCATAGAGCACCATCATAGAGCTTCATCATAGAGCTTCATCATAGAGCTTCATCATAGAGCATCATCATAGAGCATCATCATAGAGCTTCATCATAGAGCATCATCATAGAGCATCATCATAGAGCATTGGGCCAGAGTAAAAATTATCCATTGTTCCATCTCTCACTTCTGGGTGTGGTCTGTTTGCCTTATACCAGAGTTATGCAGTTTTGATCAAAGGAAACCCAAAATAAAGAATATAACTGTGTTGTCAACGGCAGAGACAGAAGCAGCAGTTACATAAAAGACAATTCAGCAGATTAACTATCATTCCATTAACAATAAACTTTAGAATGAACCTGGAAGTGCACAGTCCAGTAAATACAAAAAGTCTTTCATTTCAGACTCAAAAATCGATTTCGTAAAAGTATCAAAATATAACCAGATAAAATTGGTAGAGCACAGATCTGAGCTCACTTTACAGTTGGTCAGAGTCTGAACTAAAACTGTTTCTGAGCCATTGAGCTGTGAAAACCAAAACCTTTGTACTTCCTTATGGAGCGCGGCGACAGTGACTTCTGACCCTAACCCAGATAAGAGAGAGCAGTACAGGCCTGTTGACCGCAATATACTGATGGACAGATTAGACTCAGACTAACTTTATGGATCCATGAGGTAACTGGACACAGCAGCTCAAAAAGTACACATTGAAACACACATTAAAAAATGGAAAAGAAAATTCTTGCTCCTGCAAGAATTTTAGATCGTGTTGTGTCCTTAATAAAGCCTTATAATATACATGCCAGATCTCAGGGTCAGAAAATCTAAAGTATTTAATCTTAGAACATTAGTGCAGATAAATGAATGAAGTATTATCCATCCATCTATCCATTTTCTTCCGCTTCATCCGTTGCCGGGTCGCGGGGGCAGCAGTCTAAGCAGAGACGCCCAGACTTCCCTATCCACACACACTTCCTCCAGCTCGTCCGGGGGGACCCCAAGGCGTTCCCAGGCCAGCTGAGAGACATAGTCCCTCCAGCGTGTCCTGGGTCTTCCCCGGGGCCTCCTCCCGGTGGGACGTGCCCGGAACACCTCCCCAGGGAGGCGTCCAGGAGGCATCCTGAACAGATGCCCGAGCCACCTCAACTGGTTCCTCTCGACGTGAAGAAGCAGCGGCTCTACTCAGAGCTCCTCCCGTGTGACCGAGCTCCTCACCCTATCTCTAAGAGAGCAGCCACTCTGCGGAGGAAGCTCATTTCGCTTGTATCCGCAATCTCGTTCTTTCGGTCATTACCCAAAGCTCATGACCATAGGTGAGGGAGGGAACGAAGATTGACCGGTAAATCGAGAGCTTTGCCTTTCGGCTCAGCTCCCTCTTCACCACGACGGTCCGATACAGCTCTGACTGCAGACGCTGCTCCCTCTTCACCACGACGGTCCGATACAGCGACCGCATCACTGCGCACGCTGCACCGATCCACCTGTCAATCTCACGCTCCATCCTTCCCTCACTCGTGAACAAGACCCCGAGATACTTGAACTCCTCCACTTGAGGAAGGACCTCTCCACCTGTAGAGGGCAAGGCACCTTTTTCCGGTCGAGCACCATGGCCTCAGATTTGGAGGTGATGATTCTCATCCCAGCCGCTTCACACTCGGCTGCAAACCGTCCCAGTGCATGCTGCAGGTCCTGGTTCGTTGGAGCCAACAGGACAACATCGTCTGCAAACAGCAGAGATGAGTTCCTGTGGTCCCCGATTCGGACCCCCTCCGGCCCCTGGTTGCGCCTAGAAATTCTGTCCATAAATACAGTGAACAGAACCGGTGACAAAGGGCAGCCTTGGCGGAGGCCAACATGCACCGGGAACAGGTCTGACTTACTGAATGAAGTATTAAATAAAAGCTAATCTGTTTATTTGGTTGATTGATCTGTTAGAAATAAATAAATACAATCAATGCTCTATAGTAATATCTTTTACCAACTCTGCCATTTCTAAAATACAGTCCCTTATGTTCTAACCGGAGGTGGGACGTGTGTTCCAAAAACAAAATGAGACACGTGATCGGGTCCATAAGGACAAGACAGAGTGAGATGTTGGAGGTGGAAATACTACATTATTTTAAAGTTTTGACACAATGAATGATCTACTGTGATTATTTAGCGTCCTACTTCTAACTAACCCATTCTTTATTTCAGTCACGAGCCAAGACTGTGAGGGCCAAGTATTGTTGCAAACTTGTGTAGAATTCTGAAAGTCGTCTCACCTATAACTCCCACTACCAGATAACCGAGGATCACCAGAACAAACAAGATGCAGCAAATGATGTCCGTGCAACTCCTGAAACCAGACGGGAGAAAGAAGAGAGTTTGTGAAGACATTAACAAACAACGAAGACAATCATCAATTAAAAACAGCTTTGACCTGTTCTTTATCGGGCCATTGAAGGTGGGGTCAAACTGCCTCGGCGCTCCTGCAAGACAGAGGAACGGTATCAAGCAAAACACAGACTTTCAATTCTTAAAAAACAAGATCATAATTCATGGAGGATGTGGAGGGATAATAAAAATGAGCTATAAAAGCACAGTTCATACAGAATGCAAAGTGCTTCACATTAGCAACAGGTAAAAACAATTTAACTAAATACAAATCCCTATATTTCAAATGTTTTGTGAAAGAAGTATTTTACTCGGCCATCGGATTGTCCTCACTCTATTCATGTCTTCTCGCTGCGTGTTATCTGCAGCGTTTATACATATATCTCAATTCTAAAGACTATTAATCTAATCTCTCATCTCTGAGAGCAATAGTTTGATTAAACATTTTGAAATCGAAACAAGTAAATACTGCGACACAAAGTCGGTAGAATGCAAACATATTTTACAGTCGGTGGAAACAGTATTATTGGCAAATGCATTAAAATGAAGTCAATCTCCCGTTAGCGCACTTGTCCTCTGTGTGTCGAGTGTGACAGATAAGCTATCAGCCGAAACACAATACAAACACCATTATCACACATTGTTGTAGAAAGTCAAACACTTGTGGAGATTGTGGTAACAACAATCTGCAGGAAATAGGCTCAAGTAACTGGAGTGTAAAAGTGTGTGTCAGAATGATCTGTGCTCTTCCCGGACATCATTAAAAACAATAGTCTCCTCAGAGGCAGAACAACGGAGGCGGAGTCTCGGCTCAATGTCAGAGCAGCTTCTAAAAGGCCTGATCTGCATTTAACCGTTTCTGTGACCCCTGTTGGTGGTTTCAACGGTTTTGTAAAGTCCTCGAAGAAAACTACGGTTGTGATTTAGGGCAGAAACAGCAGCAACAGAGCAGAGAGGATTCATGGTTTTACACTGGTCCAGACCAGAGCAGAGAGGATTCATGGTTTTACACTGGTCCAGACCAGAGCAGAGAGGATTCATGGTTTTACACTGGTCCAGACCAGAGCAGAGGGGATTCATGGTTTTACACTGGTCCAGACCAGAGTAGAGAGGATTCATGGTTTTACACTGGTCCAGACCAGAGCAGAGAGGATTCATGGTTTTACACTGGTCCAGACCAGAGCAGAGGATTCATGGTTTTACACTGGTCCAGACCAGAGCAGAGAGGATTCATGGTTTTACACTGGTCCAGACCAGAGCAGAGAGGATTCATGGTCCGAACCAAGTGGATCAGGAGAAAATCATAATCATGAAGCATTTATCATTTGACTTTGGACCAGAGCAGAGGTCCTGCTGCTGTGACCTGAACGACTGTTGTTATTACTATTGTTAGATTTTTTGTGTTGTTTGTTTGGATGTGTTTCTGCTGCTACTGGACACCTGCATTTCTCCAACAGGATCAAATTATCCAACTATATTTTTGAAACAAGAGTCTAGAATCACTGTTGCTCTCCAACTTTGAGCAGGAACATTAAATTAGATATTGTCACATTTCCAGGAACGCACTGTGTTCCTGGAAATGTGAGACAGGCTTCTACAGAGAACGTTCAAATCCAGGTTAAAAACAGTTCCTTTTAGCAGTGCATTCTGAAGGACTGTATCTTCACTGTCTATGTACTGTGATCATATTTATTTATTTTCACTTCTGTGGTCTTGTGTATCAACTGTGCTATACAATTAAACTTGCCTAGTTCACTTTTTTATAAGCTTCAGAACATTTATGCGTCCACATGCAGCAGAGTGAAAGCCAGTTCAGCTGGAAATACAGGCCCCGTCTGTCCTTTCACGACAGAACAATGAAGAAGACACAAGTTTACAAAACAACAAAGTGTGTATTGACAAAGTGCTGGTCCTCTGCAGGAGCCACATGGAAAGAGTAGTTCGTCTGTGTTTGGTCACATTCAAATCAGGCCGATGCAAATGTGACGGGAGCCGATGGGGTAAGCTTATGTTTGGATGTTAGCGCCGTCGCTGGGGAAGGTCACAGCCTTCATACAACACATTTATACATCTTTTAGTATCCAGAAACATAATCTCCATATCAGCTCATCAGTTTATGTGAGATATGAGCTTCTTGCCAATTTATTTTCCATGGTTCTTAAGACGACGTCAGAAGTCACTCAACAGCTTCTCAGCAGCAGTCTGAACTTCCCACATTACAACACTTTATTATAAGCACTTGATGATGCTACTTATAGTAAACCTGTTGTACTCAAAGCTGTGTCACGTGACATCACTACAGTGCGAATACATTTGGACGTGCAGATGAAGATGATGAAGATGAAGAGTTGAGAGAAAGGCCCACTCCTGTAAACACACTGGTCTCAGGGCAACAGAAGCTCCAGGGAAATAATCATTTACAACATTTACTCTGAGGAAATGGACTCATAGACTGTAAAATATGTTGGAGACTGGAGAGGGTTCAGAGATTCACAAAGACTCAAATTCAGTATAATCTTTGCTTTCAGTCATTTGAAGAAACTAGTGCTTGATGAAAATCAAGTTTTTTACACATATTTTCTAAAATAAGGAAAATATGAATCAGCGTCATTTGTAGTTAGAAACAGTAAAACTAGTTACATATGCTTATATAAGTAATACAAATATAAACTAGTCAAAAATACCAACATTTACAGTGCCTTGCGAAAGTATTCGGCCCCCTTGAACCTTTCAACATTTCGCCACATTTCAGGCTTCAAACATAAAGATCCATCCATCCATCCATTTTCTTCCCCTTAATCCATTTATGGGTCAGGGGGGTGGCAGTCAGAGCTGCACCCAGTCCACAGAGCACCAGCCCCTCATTGATCCTCCTGCAGGTGCTGAGTCCACAGGAGCTGGGATCTTTCAGTGGGAGCTTCAGGCAAAGTGGGGTTAAGTTTCTTGCCCAAGGACACAACGACAGCAGTCATCAGTGGGAGTCGTGAAGTAGGTCTTATGGTGGGCTTGAACCCACAACCTTCAGGCCCAAAGGCCAATGCTCTACCAACTGAGCTATTGTCACCCCAACATAAAGATATAAAAATTAAATTTTTTGTCATGAATCAACAACAAGTGGGACACAATCGTGAAGTGGAACGAAATTTATTGGATAATTTAAACTTTTTTAACAAATAAAAAACTGAAAAGCGGGACGTGCAATATTATTCGGCCCCCTTGCGCTAATACTTTGTAGCGCCACCTTTTGCTGCAATTACAGCTGCAAGTCGCTTGGGGTTTGTCTCTATCAGTTTTGCACATTGAGAGACTGGAATTCTTGCCCATTCTTCCTTGCAAAACAGCTGGAGCTCAGTGAGGTTGGATGGAGAGCGTTTGTGAACAGCAGTCTTCAGCTCTTTCCACAGATTCTCGATTGGATTCAGGTCTGGACTTTGACTTGGCCATTCTAACACCTGGATACATCTATTTGTGAACCATTCCATTGTAGATTTGGCTTTATGTTTTGGATCATTGTCCTGTTGGAAGATAAATCTCCGTCCCAGTCTCAGGTCTTTTGCAGACTCCAACAGGTTTTCTTCCAGAATGGTCCTGTATTTGGCTCCATCCATCTTCCCATCAATTTTAGCCAGCTTCCCTGTCCCTGCTGAAGAAAAGCAGGCCCAAAGCATGATGCTGCCACCACCATGTTTGACAGTGGGGATGGTGTGTTCAGGGTGATGAGCTGTGTTGTTTTTACGCCAAACTTATCGTTTTGCATTGTGGCCAAAAAGTTCGATTTTGGTTTCATCTGACCAGAGCACCTTCTTCCACATGTTTGGTGTGTCTCCCAGGTGGCTTGTGGCAAACTTTAAACCAGACTTTTTATGGATATCTTTGAGAAATGGCTTTCTTCTTGCCACTCTTCCATAAAGGCCAGATTTGTGCAGTGCACGACTGATTGTTGTCCTATGGACAGACTCTGCCACCTCAGCTGTAGTTATCTGCAGTTCATCCAGAGTGATCATGGGCCTCTTGGCTGCATCTCTGATCAGTCTTTTCCTTGTTTGAGATGAAAGTTTGGAGGGACGGCCGGGTCTTGGTAGATTTGCAGTGGTCTGATACTCCTTCCATTTCAATATAATTGCTTGCACAGTGCTCCTTGAGATGTTTAAAGTAGGGATGTAAATCGGCGACCGGTTAACCGGTGGTTGACCGTCACAGCGTTAACCGGTCAAAGCTGTCGGTTAAAAAAGAGAAAAAGGGGAGAGGGGAGGTCTCTTATTAACGCTATTTTAAGCCCTATTTGCACGGTGTGACGAGCGGGTCTGTATCTAGCTGTGTGCGCCCATGTATTATAAACTCCGGGACGACTCTCACGCCGCACGAGCCACATATGCACACACGCACGCGTACGCACGCGTGCACACACACACACACACACTTTCCCCCTCTCCATACGTAACATCCACACGCATCATCTCTCCCCTCTGTTACCGTGAAAGTTGCACACTGGCGCGGGTCAGAACTACATTGGAGCTTACATTTACACACACACACATACACACATATACATACACACACACACACACACATACACCGGTCTGTCGAGCTCCTCTGTGTCACGGAGCCCAAAGGATTCGCACAAATACACGGCTCCAGTCAAACCACATGGAACATGTTTGTGTTTATGGTCCTCGGGATCAGCTCCACACACATCACTTGTATTTAAACTTTTGTGAAGACCTGTGAGACGCGGCTCGTCACTCGCTGCTCTGACCATGTGAACGAGCCGTCGTTTGCTGCTAGAAAGTTTTGGTATTAACCCGCAGCACAGCAGAATGGGAAGATTAAAAAAGCAGTTCTCTGTGCGCAGCTGTTGCGGGTTTTGGCGCCGCTGTCTCAACTCTGATCCAGTAGAACGCAGAGCTGCTCTTATGAGAAGTACGCGGCTCAAAATGGCTGTTATTTCAAAGAACGTGGACTATTTTAAACTACGCGGTTAACCGGTTTCAACCGGTTAATGAGGCTCGGTGGTCGGTCATGAAAATTCATAGTTTTTTACATCCCTAGTTTAAAGCTTGGGAATCTTTTTGTATCCAAATCTGGCTTTAAACTT